GCGGCCGTCCTGGAAGGCCGCAAGCTGGTGTTTCCTCCCCTGGAGCATGGGGGGAACCAAAATCTGAGGGGCCATGGGGAAGATGGACGGCCCCCCCACAGGCGGCCATCCTGGAAGGCCGCGAGCCGGGGGTTTCCTCGTGGGAGCGTGGGAACTGAAACCCTGGTGGGAAGGGGGGGCCGTGGGAAAAATGGACTGCCCTCCATTGGCGGCCGTCCTGGAAGGCCACGAAGCCGTATTTTCTCCAAGGGGGGGACCTGCGGGCGGCCGTCCAGGAAGGCCGCGAGGGACCGTGGGGAGACGAAAAAAAAAACCCTGAAGGGGGAAGGCCGTTCCCACGCCTGAAGCGACCCTGGAGGTCCCTCATAACCCTCTGGCCTAATTATATTGCCTTGCAATTTATCATTATTTCATAGATTTTATTAAAACATCTGCAGATTGCCTTTTAAGGTAACGGGTGCAAGTAAAAGTTTGTGATTATGTAATATACATATAAATGGAAGTTTTGAGATACTTTATGTGAAATTTTGTTTGCCTATCATGGAGATCTGATCATTTTAGTTTTGCAAATAGTTAACAATTTGAGTGGCTTACTGGGATAAGGGTTGCTTAGTAATCAAGGAAGTGAAGCATGATATGTCAAGCCAAGAGGGTCCTGATCATTGTCCCTAAGTTGGATTTGGAATCCTGGCCCTCCTAACATGCATTTTCATGCACCAAAGTTAGAACATACAAATGCAGGATCCGGAGAATAGTCCTGCTGATAGGGTCTGCTGACATCTCTCCCTCTGCATCTCAGCCTGAAGTGCACCATATCGTGAGAGGGTGTTGTGGTGATGCAGCTGTCCTTTGTTGTACCCCCCTGCTCCAAAGGAGGCCTCCAATGCATCTAATCTCCAAAGCCCTACCACAGGAACATCTGATGAGTGTGGTGTGAATGAGATCCCGACATCGACCATTAATTCTCCGTGCTTCCTGTCCATCATGTAATGCCAATCCAGGTCAGGTAGATTTCGAAGCAGGGCTTCTTCAGGTCCTTGAAATCGCCCCCTCTGGCCATCCTTGGTAATGAGCTTGATTCCCTTGCCCTCGAGCACGAAGAAGCATGACCCGAACATGCTTAGCTCCATCCGTCCATCCTTGATTCGATCATGCATTCTCGCCTGCACCTCCATAAAGTCATCGTTTGACAATGGAATTATCTTTGGAGTCCCCCTTCCGCCCATCGCTCCAGATCCCCCCTTATTCTTGTATCTGGCCTCATGGAGCGATTGTTTCATGTACGCCTGCCAGGTAATGTCGGCACAATCACCAATGGATGGCAACAACACTCTGTCCCAGAAGATGTCTTCGACCTCGGTTGGTATTATGGTCACTTTCTTGCCGCTAATGGAATCGTCGTGTTTGAGGCGGGGGAAGAAAATATACACATTGAGGGTGGAAGCTGCAGATGAGATGCGCCCGATGCATAGATGGGGGACAGAATCCATTTTCACTTGTAGAGACAGCCATTCAGCCCTGCCTCCTGGTTCGTGTGCATCCTCTTCTGACTGTGGAATGAGGAGATCCAGATAGGTGTGATTGTGCTTCGAGATGCCTGGCTTGGAATGAAATGGAGGCGTCATGTAGATACCAATGGTTCCACGCAATCTCAATGTCTTCGTCGTCCAGATAATGCTATCGATATCCACTGAGATTGATATGTCTTCTTCGTCAAATTTAATGGCATCCAGCTCAAGATCCACATATATTGGCCTCTCATCGCCATCTGAATCACTTGTGCACCCACGCACAAACAAGTCATGTCCATATCTGCATTCTTCCTGCAGCGGAGGATCATACTGCTCGGCTGATGTGATCATATCTGAAGCGGATAATATGACGACATCACTGATTGCTAATGTTCTGAGCCAGGGAGCATGGGCTGCCCTAGGGTGGCACACCATCAGGTGCGCACCTATCATTAGGCTAGGTGCGCGGAAGTCACCTCCATGTGAAGATCTGATTGATAGCCGTGCTTGACCTACGGACAGATTCATTCGCACACAGACAACTATACACTGCACTTTCCAGAGTGTGATGTCACCAAGGCATTCAAGCACTTTTTGGAATAGAGGATGAGAAGGAAAAGACAATGGCAAACGTAGTATACAGGCATCTATTACTGTAATTGACAATAGAACTGACTGTAATCCCGCATCATATTAGTCAGTTCCAAACCTCTCATGAAGGCACAATCCAACATATTAACAGTCAATAGCACAGATGTACATGGGCGTAGATGCTCATAATAGCGAGAAGGGCAAGAAAGTGAAGTGAGAGTCCTTCAGTAGATATAGGTAATGGAGATGTACTTGTAGATATACAACACATAGCATCACGACATGCGGCCCCAGTCCACTTCATTTGGCCCTATTCATGACAACATGGGACTGGTGGCAGCAGCGTTGTGAGTGTCACTAAAGGGGTATGGGGCTAGCCTTATTGATTCCTTGGTTGGTAACTCATCGTCACCTGCCATTGACCTACCGCCAACCCCAAATGCCTGTGCAAAATCGATCTTCCTACTTGGGTGTATTGACGAGGTGCCACAGGCACGGTTAAAGAAGAATTTGAATGATCCCCCTAACTCTGAGATAAAATCCCCTGGTGGTGTATTAGGCAATAATTTAGGAAAATATCATAAAGCGCTTACAGTAGTTGACGCTATGAAGATATCAGCAATTAAAATGTCCATTAGGCATGGAACATAGACGCACCTGTCCCATAATGGACGCCATATGCTTGTTTTCTTGTCCTCTGCCACTTTATACTCATTTACTGTATAAGCCCACATCATCAATACTGAAAAGAAAACCATCTGTCGTATTGCAAATCAACACGAGGTTCCTACATTGTATCCCCGAGGTGAGAGCTTACCTCAATACAAATGGCCAGCGCATTTAAACCATCTACAATATTGTCCACAGTCCAAAATTCGGTGGCTTTGACGCTCATGTCAGCATCAAGTAAGTCGTGATTCTGAAAAGAACAAACGTTTGATAACACGGTTTTCTAGCACGCTGAACTGCAAATCATTCGGGGGTAAAAGTCGTGTAATAGCTAGATAGGCGGGAAGAACTCACAACACATGACTGATAAAAGGTGAACATCATGATGAGCTTGATGGAGAGAAATTTAGCCCGTGGCCGTCGTCCAAGCAGTTCCTCCTTGGTCAAATCGAGAAATAACGAAAGACCATAGGATGCCACACTATTCATGATATGTTAAGGATTACAGTTCGATCACGATGAATATACCTGACGCTGGCAAAATTCAAGGTTTCGAGATAGATGTTGGCGAAATATAAGCTGAAGAGTGTAGACTCGCAAAGCAAATTGTGCACTTGACAGATGATACCAGCGATAGACACAGCTGCTGGAATGTGAGATGTCTATCCGTATGCGAACTAGTTCGACTCACCTGGCCGGATGATGACGTATTGTAAAACGGACCACTATACTAAAAGTGGGCATTTGCCAAAACACCCAGCAGGCGGCTTACCTTGAGGGTATACATAAAGTAAGGCTGAAGAAGTGCATGAGAAAAATACTTCTATCACTAAAGCGTCACCAACAAACATACCTTTGTTGGTCGGTATCTCCAACAGCAAAACTATAGGCAAAATGAAATGTTGCAGCTGTGGCCAATGTCAAGTGGAATACGCACAGGATTTGGTAAATCCCTTTTTTCCTTTCGTTCTATTGCCTTTGTGACATCGCGACCTGTGCACGTGGCTGCCACGAATTCAACCAGAAGGAGTCTAGCATAGGAACAAACGGGTAGTAAGTAAGGCGTCTATACAATCAAAAGAAAAACCACAGACAGGAATGCGCTCAAGGTGATGGCCTAAGCAGGTGTTGATGAGTCAAAGGAGGTATGCATAGCAATTTATTACCTCATATACTAAGATAATGGAGGCGCCGTCAAGTAAGCATGCGATAGTACTTGCCACGACAACTGACCGACTTCAATGAGCACATAATATGAGTAGGTCCGGAAAAATCTGTAGGAAGAGAATGAAATAATAGCATATACTGGTGGCATGTACAAGATTCGTAGACTGAGAGTATGACAGGACATGAAAAACCGCACTTTAGGAAGAAGTGATGCACGCACATTTGACGCTGTTCGCTGGGTTTGGTATAATTTCTAATGTGAAAAACTGTAATTGATTGGTACTTATAAGATTAATGGTGCCGTACCGGCAATGCCGCAAGACTGAAGTCATCGAAATAAGAACTGTCTGCATGGGGTCAATGGTAAATGATTGGGACGGATATGAACTGGTAAGGATGGACATACCAGCACAGTACATCCTCCCGCGATTGCCCATCCTATTCGATGTTCGTCCCAGTTTAAATTCCCAGCGCCCCAGAAACTGGATTGGTCTACGTCTACAGTGTTGTCGGACGGGCAACTGGACTCCATGACAAGTTGTGGTGGTAACGCTTATGTCGGTATGTGTTGTTCCCTGAGTGGATCCAACTGGGAGGAAGCAATTGAAACGTCCGTTGGAGAGTGATAGTAGTGAGAGTGGTAGTGCGAGTACTTAGCTGTTGCTGCATGTTTAGGTGGGCCCCTCAAAGCTAACATGAGGTCAATGCATGCATCACCAAAACTGCCCAAGTGTCACAACGGGTAACATTACCTTATTAAGAATGTTTTATACGATCGAGTGTTATGGCCCATGTATGTGTGCGTCATTTCCTGTGACACAGCGGTGCCTTCCAATATTTGTCTATGGTATGCATTCTGTCCTGCGGCAAGGTCACCTGTTCGGGGCGACTGAGCGTCAACCAGCATTATTATGAGAAAAACGCACTGTGTGTAAGACCCTGAGTACCACTGACAGTCAGGCTGGCCTGATGACCTCCGCTTAGCGCTAAAGCTTCAATGGAGTCACTGCCTGTGTACAGCCTGTCAGGGCACATACCGGCGCTATGAACAAGATGACATCTGACCAGTCAGGAAAACTTGGAAATAGTGCCGCGTGATACGTATGTAGAGTTAATGTTAACTTTGCTAATCATATCTATTAAAGGCAGCGCTAGCGGGAGTATGACAGTTAGTAGTTGTACCTGTCAGCGCACAGCAGTGATCTAAACCTACATCCACGGTGATACTATGCTTTGGTGCATCCCTGTCAGTTCACGCCGGGCCACTACTTACATTCCGAGTCGTCCTCGAGATCATGGTGTGCTTTGAAAACATTGCTCACCTCAAGTGCCGAAAAGCAGATTGCTTATAGTTAACATTGATATTTAAACAAGTAAAGCGCGGGGGTAACTTGACTCTTGGGTAATCATTAGAATCACTGTGGACACGAGTGGGTGAAAATATATTGATGCGGAGCATGAGAAAGGCTAATTCGAAAGTACCTCGGTGCGTTTTCACCGCCCGGAACTAGACATACATGTCTCGTCAACGAGAAACAACATAAATACTAGTCTCATACATAGAACACTAAGTCGATTAATATGATACAAAAAATATGAGCACCGCAGCATAATAATAAAATACTCAAAATCGTCACGCTAGAGGATGAAACGTAGACTAGTATCCTGAGAAAAGCAGTGTTAATCTGAATCCACCACACTACGACTACAAGTGCTTACAATGGGATGCGAGCTCGACAGTTGCGGTTTCTGTTGATAATGCTGCTTCAAAATTTCCCTAACAGACTTGAGCAGTTCTTGGTAACTTTGTACTGGATTCCTTGCTGTGCGCTAAGTCAGTCTTATGCAAGAAGAAACAGAACGCTCGACCAACATAAAGACTTAACAAAGGCCTGTCCATGTATGTCAGTTGCAAACAGGTGGAGAGATTTGAATGAATATATTTCTCACGTAGCTCATAGCCCCAACAGCCATACCACCCTGTGTTGTATCGGCACTGGTTTGATCATCACGACAGCCAGAGAATGATATCTAGATAGAAGGCAAGCGGCAGAAGCACACAGTACATAACGCCAAGCAGTCACTTACCACGTCGGCATTTGTGGCTTTCTCTACTTGAGCCCGTTGAGTTATATGGGTTCCCTTGAGGCGTCCATTCGAATGATACTGCAAGATGATCAGTCCTAGTACTGACTGAAGCAAGGATCGTGCTTACGATGTATGGCAAGTCTGGCAGTCGTGGGCTTTCAGTCAACCTTTATCATTACGGAACGAGGTACTTACCTAGTGCTGTTCCTGAGTGACAAGACTAGAGAAATCTATCAGATTTGTCTGATGGGCGCGATGTGAAATGACCTTACGTCAAAGATAGCCTGGATGGATGGGGTTCTGTAAGCTCCGAACAGGAAGCTGAATGTCAAGACTTACAGTCAAACGACAGCCTGCTGGCAATGATTTGACCTGTGGAATTTCTCAGATCAGTGTGCTTCTCCTATCGTGCGATAAGCGTACCATTATGCGGTGCATTTCCTGCATTGAAGTCATGAGAGCATAAACAGGTTGAAAATAAAAAGTCCTCACGTCATCAACAATGAATCCGGCCTTCTTGTAGTCGACAGGGTATATAACTGCGAGTGTCGATATCTAACGATGTTCTAAAGAGAAAGGAATATCCCTTACCTTCATCAAGTCCATCAACTTCATCCCCATCCTTGTCTGGGACCTGTCCCCCGTGGCCCGAGTCTAGATGACAATGAGGATATTCGGAAATTATACCCCCAGGTTCGAAAAAATAACGTACAGTGGAAAAACAGTGCATCATGAGGATGGGCGTCCTTCACAAGCCAACGCATCGCATCCAGAATGTTTTTCTTTGTTGGCATTTGCCTCGAATTTTCGGTGTCATCAACCAACATTACAATATCGCCGTTTTTGTAGCCCCAATTGGCTAGGGCAAGGTATAAGTAACGATGCCGCAACAGTCAACCAACAACACACATGTTAAAAACCGTTTCACATTGTGCGCATCATTGATACAGCCCCGAAGCTCGCGTCGTTGACCTTGATAGTTGATTCCGATCTCAAAAAGGACTCAACTTGAATTTTCAATTAATATTATATCTTCACTCACGCAAAGTGCTTTCTTCCGCCCGGTGCACTTCGAATATTGGAAATGAACATGACCGTTATGATGCACGACCTGTTGGTGAACATGTGGCTGCACCTGCTGCTGAGGATGAGCGGTAGGCCTATGCGCGCTATTTGCTGAGTTTACGCGCGATCGTTGACCATTACCTGAGGGACCCGAGTGAGGCGTTGGCGGACGTAGATGTTGTGAAGAACGTGAGCGGTGCAAATTTTGCGAACTGCTTGCGTGCCGAAGTGAATGGGACGAAGGCTGGATGGGTGGCGCGAAACGGAGCTGCTGTGAGGTGGTGCGACGAACAGTCTTAGGTATGGCAGAAGTCGAATGAGAATGTTGGTGATGTCCGTGTCTGTGAGAATGAACTTGAGTGTGAGCATGTGCATCAGTATGATTATTTCTGGATGACGGTTGGACATTGAATGACGTTGAAACAATTTGCGGGACAGGCATGGGTGGAGGACGCGGTGAACGACGAGACATCAGAGGGTGAGGTGGTGGTAGAGACATATAGGGAGACGGGGGTGGTCGTGTTGCATGGGGGATCGGCGGGGGATGTGCGCGCCCCCGAGAAGGGAAGCTTTCCTGGGTAAGCGAAGGGGGGTTCTCATGTGAAAAAATGCTGTAAGGGATCAATGAAGTAATGAAAGCGGCAAATTGAATAAATACCATACGGATATGATATCTAATTCGAAGCTTACCGGGGACTGTGGGGAAATGCGTTGTGAACCCGTCAATACATTCATTGCAGAAAAACCGGGAAAAAATCACTTTGGTGACGCTGATCGCGGAGCGTTGGGCAGACCAAGGGGTTCAAACGGCCGGGGGAACGGATCATGGGATCGATGCAGGTCTCTGTGATAGCCATTTTTATCAGTGACGACCTGCTGCATCATACAGACCGCCGCGTACCTCGCTGGTGGGATTCCAGGACTATACGATTATACTTAGCTATTGAGGACAACAGAGATCAAGGGTATTATAACTCACGATGGCATTGGAAAGCTGGGATTCGGAGAACGCCGCCGATCTTGGTGGGCGTCGTTGCCGCGTAGATCCCACATCATCGTGTTAACTTGGGTATACGACTTAAAGCGCGGGAACAGCAGGAATGCGGGACAGCCTGGCATGGTGGAGATCACAGTGAGCACATTCTAGCACAAGGCTTATATAGTTCTATTGAATGCTTGAGTGACTTACGGTGAGGAGGAAACCCAAGAAGACCTGGAGAGGGAGGTTTGACTGGGAAAGCGATGAAAAAAGAGCATCTCAGCGAGAATAGCGGCTTTATTTGACTGGACTGGGACAGCTGCTGTCAGACTCAGGCTAGACTCGCCGAGGAAATCTGTTTTTGGAAATCATCCTGACCAACGCGCAAGTACTACTCCGCGGCCGTGGGACCCGCGCTACCCTCACGACGAGACCCATAGTACTGCAGCGCTACCGGTCACTGAATTAAACCCAGCACGCAGCACCGCTAAGTAATGTAAGGACTGACGCGGCAGTCTTTATTTGAATTTTGAAGAGATACAGAGCATTTTCGTTCAACGGTGACCTATGATACGGCGATGAGTCACATGTTATGAGATGAAACATCAAACTACACAGAATCCTCGTAAAGTGTGCACTGATGAGTACGCAAGCCCGAATGTTGTCACGACCTGCAGATATGTTATAGCTGGGGCCTGCAATATACAATCACTTATTCCTGCTACTCGTCAGACCGTGGGAATCATTGGAAAATGCACTCCAGAAACTGGTTTCGCGCGGACTCGGACTTGGACTTGTGTCTTCCACTCTTCTGCGATCCAATAATATTTGTCGAGTGGAGGTCCTATGCGGGGTTCTAACAGTCTATGAGTGTCTCGACCCTGCTTATTTGCATGGGTGTCATGTCGAACTCGGACATGATCACATAACTCGTATCTGTCAATCATTGATGCGTCTTCTACTTGTCAATGCTGCGGGCTTTTTTGCTGATATTCCTGCCGTTGTTCGCGTCGACGATTTGTGCTCTCATTCCTAGACGGGGAGACCGTATCTCTGTCAATTGCTGTTGCCGGAGCCTGTCCGTAATTGGCTCGTCTGTGTCACGGGTCTCGCTCTGCGGAAATGGATATAGCCTGGCCATGATTGGGTCTTCCAGCCTGGAGGTACATCTTCCTTGCAAAGCCCAGCTCTTAATGTCTCATGGACTTCTGGTAGACACCACCTTGGATGTACGAGTGTAGTATCCTTAAAAGCTATACTGAGGATTGTACCAACCGTTTCTGTACCTATTTGTGTAGCAGAGTAGCCCTGTCCGCAAGTGTTCTATTTTTTGGGGCTTTGACCCGTCGGTAAAGTTTTGGCTGTGCAACGCGTATGATGTATCCTTGATGTGTTACATGATATATAGATGGGTTGAGAAATAAATAGAGTCTGCCTTCTTTCGGGATATAAGAACCACACAACCTTCTAGCTGAATTATATGATGAGCCACAGCCCTACTAACTTCGCCTTTCCCCTTCCCTTCGCCCCCGTTTACCTCGGTTTAGTGAGCGCTGGCTTCATTTCCCGCTTTACGCATGTCCATAACGCTTAAGGCCGTTCTCCATGTCATTTGTCGTATCTTTCTCGCAATTATCCGCTTTCCTGGCCTTGTCTCCCTCTGTATTTTCGTCACCCTTTACAACGAGACTGAGCAACGGTTTTCCGACAAGTTTTTTGCAGAAAACTACACATGGACACCTGCCTTTCCTTCAAGCTGGAGGGCCATACTCTTCCTCATCCTCGTAGTGCCCGTTTTCGCACTCGTCGAAATACTCCGTCTTTTAGCTTCTCGATTCCTACTTCCCCTGCTTATCGATCGGTGGAATAAGGCTTTTGGAAACCGGGACCCTTCTGTGGAAGGGTATGTTATGTTCCGTCGAGGCAGTCCTATTGGTGGACGTGAACTTTTTGACACTACCGAGGAAGAAAATGCGCTCATGGAAAATGTGGAAGAAGGTGCTAGTGTGCGCCCATTATCTAGACCAAGTTCTCCTACTCCGCGTCTGGTGCCCTATCTCAGACTGTGGAGGATACAACTTTTCGCGTATATCGTCCTGTTTTGTGTGAGCACATGGGTCGGAGTCCACTACGAACAGCCTGGAGATGTACGGTACAGGGATTCCATTCAGGAGGCTGTTGCACATCCTCGAAAACAAGGGTACGGAAAGCAAGGTAAGCTCCTCTGATTTCATATCTCGAACGCAGCTTATCCCGTTTCAGAGAAAATTTTCATTGCTGCGATGTTCCACGATAACGAAAATGTTATTCCGTACTGGCACGACACTCTCATCAAAGTCATTCACTATCTCGGTCCGGACAATGTGTTCGTCTCTGTCGTTGAGAGTCATAGTGGCGATAGTTCCCCTCAGCTCCTTGAAGCACTGGATGCAGACCTTGCGCTTTTGGGTGTGTCACGACGCATACTCACAGGAGATGAAGCAGTACAAAAGCCCGACGATATGGGCGGAAACAACCGCATTGAATTCCTGTCGGCTACGCGTAATCGCGCAATGGAGCCTCTGCTAGTAGGAGGGTATGATAGGGTGGTGTTCTCGAATGACATATTTATCGAGCCCGAGAGCTTTGTCGAGCTGTTAGAAACGAACAATGGGGACTACGACATGGCATGTGGCTTAGACATGGGTCATTTTGGGTAGGCACATCCAGCTGCTATGGCATACCTGTCATTCTAATCGTGGTAAAGCGCATATGATATGTGGGTTCTTCGAGATCGACAGGCAAAGCTAGCCAGTGCAATGTGAGTTGCGAATTCTATTTTCACATATATCTAATTCAGTCCGTTCGGTACCTAGCTGGCCATATTTCTTCGATGAAGCTGACTATCAAGCAATGCGGGTCGAATCTCCTGTGCCCGTATTCACCTGCTGGAATGGTATCGTTGTCTTCACTGCAGATCCTCTTCTCCCGATAGCCTTGCGCTCTAACCGCACGCTTTCCAATGATCCTCTACCATACGAATTGCCAGCAACCCACCCAGCAGCACACAATGCCTCGATGCAGGGTCCGAGTCCTGCCCTGACACCCCCAATACAGTTCCGCGCGTCTGCGCCAGGGGAATGTTTTTCATCAGAAAGTTTCTTGCTCCCATACGATATGAGGCGACAGTTCAATCTGCAGCACATATATGTTAACCCAAGGGTGATCAACGGTTACGACTGGAGGTTTGTCGCATGCTACATTATCAGAATATTGGCTCATGTATCATGTTAGGTTTTATTTCTACTTCAAATGGTTTATGCGCCACCCCGTGCTCCGATGGTGGATCGAAAAAGTGTACAATGGTGCATGGATGGCAAGAAGCGTGCTTGTCGTGGGCGATGCAGACAAGGTTTTCTGGTGGGACGGTGGAGACTGTCATCCATGGTGGTAGGTCGACTTGGTCATGAGATCTTGGGATTTTGGGGTAACAGGTCATGGGACGATATGGTTATTACCTGCCTATTGGCATTTACGACTAATACTTATTCGATGATAGAGTCACTCAGATTCTATGATTATTTATACCTGTTTGCCCTTTGAATTCATCAGTACCGACTAAATTCCAACTTGGATCATCATATCTTCGAGACTAAATCTATATCTACGGTCGATGCTACGTGTTTGAAAGCCAGCTTGGGTATGCAAATTCTACTCTGAACAATCTTCCATGAGTTCTCTGTACGTACTATATCTTGCGATGTTTTTCCTAACTACCGTTCACAGAGGTTATTATTTGGTTGTTATGCCACTATGCTACATTGTCAAAGGTTTAATATTCGACAAACGTCCGTTTCAAGTCCCTAGCTATGGAGACTACCATCATGCATGATCCCCGCATCATGGCGACAATCATTCTATCCATACACCTTGTACTTGTCATTGTTTGCAATGACAAGCTCTTCCCCCGCATTGCAGTCGACCAACTCGCACGAATACAATGCCTCGTCTGTTTAGCAATTTTGACGTGAGAGCAAACATGTAGACCGCTCGCCTCAAGCTATAAAGCTCGCAGTGAAGGCCGTTACCGACCCTGCATTGTCCATTTGCTCTTTTGATTTACTCTAATTCCTTCCCAGCACGCCATGTTACCTAAAGTCATCGAAATTGATGATAATTCTTTCCCTGCTGCGTTTGACCTCCTTCGTCAGGATTACCACACATGTAGACGTCGATGGACGTACGCTTCGTGGGAGCTGTCGAGGACCCCAAAGACAAATATCCTGGAAGAAATCACAGTCCAAGGCCACCACCACCTTGCCGAGTTCTCGAGATGCCCTCGCTCTTCTGCAGCACCGTATCAGAACCGACACATGTCGGAAGCTTCTTATATTCCGATGTACACACAACCCAGTCCACCATCCCCCGGAAGAAAGCGGGCATTGTTGGTAAGTGCTACATAATGAGTTGCAAACCAACGATATTTCTGAAACCGTGCATAAGATTGGAATTAATTACAAAGGTCAACGCTATGAACTTAGAGGGTGCAATAACGACATTCATAATCTCTTACCATGCCTTATTAGTACGTGCAGTTTTTGGCAATTCGGTGGCGACAATGACCCCTTTTCAGATCAGTGGGGATACGATCCTACGGACATTGTACAATTAATTGATGACGGCTGTGGCCCCCTACCAACTAAGCACAATATTTTACTTGAAATGCGCCGCCTGGCATATTATGCAAGACCAGGTAACTCCATGTTCTTTTATTGTACGTATTCCCTTTAATGACACTGTTGGTCTTGTGAATCACGCGGTGTCTTACACAGTTTCGGGGCATGGGGGCCAAGTCCGCGACCTGGATGGCGATGAAGTTGATGGTTATGATGAATGTAGGACTCAGGTCTGATTAGAAAGATTACTGTTGACGTGCACAAAGTCATATGTCCAGTCGACTATCAACAGTCGGGTGTGATTAACGACGATGTCAGGCGTTTGCCTTTTTGATCAAAGGATAAGGCTGATTGGTAGCTCTTCAGGAAATACACGAAATCATGGTCAGTATCGTGATGCGAAGCATGGTATTTCACATGGTATTTCAAATACTCGCTGATAGAACGCTCGTATGATAGGTAAAGCCACTGGCAGCTGGGTCACGGTTGACGGTACGAAGTGTGATCGATGACGCACCATCACCAAATAACTTGGCTTTACAGGCGCTCTTTGATGTAAGCGTGTTCCTTGATACCGTAACTTTCAAGTATCGAATGAACCCCAGTCATGCCATTCCGGCACGGTGCTTGGTGAGCCCCAAATCAACTTGATCGCTGACAAATACTGAATGATTGTTAGATTTGCCTTACCTTGTGAGAGAAACAGTCTCTTCTTTGTGACTTTGTCTGATCGTCACAACAGTATGATTCCAGACAGTGCAAGTTCGTCGATGGCGTTACGCCAAATGCTCGCGTCCGGAAGCACTCCCAGGCACAAGTTGTGAGAATGAATATTTGCGAGTTGGTTGTGTTTCTCAATCAACATCAAATAGTTTTGTTTCTCGGGTTGTGGGGATTCCGAAGAGAGTGAAAGTGTCGTAATGCCTGGTCAACCTATTGGCGGACTTATGACCTTTGTGGGTAAACCTACTGTGACTTCAGTTCCTTCTAATCTTCCCTTGAAGGCTTTCATACATGTTTTCTGTCCGTGTCAGACTCTTATTGCTAGCTCAACTGGCTAATATTTGGACTTTGTTCAGCTTGCACGCAGGCTCTAGCCTTCCAAACCGTATTTGAACAAATACGCGCGTTCGTTCGTGTAACCTTACCAGACGCCAGACAAGAACCTCAGTTTTCCTGCTCAGATCCTCTCGTTTGTTGATATGTTCTTATCCAGACTATAGCCACTGATATTGCACCAGGATACAACACTGCCTTTCTATATCTGAACGCTTGGAAATGGAATTGGGTCGTAATCACTCCTTATATGTTAACATGATCGTGCATATTTGATCTTGGTGACATCGTTCCGATATAAGCCGCTCGCAAGTATGAATTGATTGGGTCCAGATGCTCAGCACGGTTCTCATATCGATCAGTAAAGAACCCAGAGTTGGGCTATCCGAAGCCTTCCCGAACCTCGATGGGGTTCACATGCCGTTCATCTAACATTTACACAGCAATGATTGGCCAGATTGGCACAAGTCGCGCTACTTTTGTATCTTATCGCGCCTCTTCGGCAGCCAATGCTTGCGAGAGCGATTATTGTCTGGCAACAGGTGGTTATTTGATCGCAAGCCCCATATAATCACCGTACCGTCCTGCGAATAAGCACTTCGCCTGCCTCCTATCCGTCGTTTCTAGCGGTGCACCTGTCAAACGAAGCTCGCCGAGACTGGTATATATCATCACCTGGTGACAGTGTGTCATAGTCAAATTGACAAGATCATCTAGCGCTATGATGGCGGGAGCTTGATAATCTTTGCTCTCATAAAACGCGTGTTTCGATCCCTTAAGGGCATCATTAGCTACTTGCCCACGCACGCTTAAGCGATAAGCTACCCTCATCGATAAACACGTATGTTCGACCATCCTTCCAGATTGACTTCGTAAGTTTACATCCTGATCGTTATGTCCTTACTAACGTAGTGCCATTGCTTATTAGCCATCGAAGCAAGGGGTAATGCGACCGTCAATGTATGATGCACCTGCCCAGTATTGATTCATTTTTGGAAGGTTGAACAGATCAAGGAGTCCACATTCTGCACCCACCCCTGTCGTTCATGTCACGGTGAGGCGATCGCCATCTCCCAAGTAAGCTCATTCCACTTCACGTGATCAAGTTGTTCTTCACATCGGTTACCAGACCAACGGCTATCAAAACACGCCAATCGCTAATACGCAAACATCCTCCCCCGGCATCCTCCAGTGCACATGCAGACCTTCCTCCATCGGTTCCTTCCTACCGTTTCGTGTACAATGAGAGGACTGCGCCAGATGCTCGGCCAGTACAACATGATCCTGTAACCTCGCGGCTTCACCGCTTACGGACGCACTCAACTCAATCTCTTCAGCAGCATGCAAGAGAAAGTATAGAGTCATCGAGAAATCACATACACTCACCGTATAGCGCTGTGCGACGACAGGTCATTGCGAAGTGTAACTGTGACCCGAGTGATCAGATAGAGATTCCGCAGACAATCAAAGTGTTGTTCCCACGTACGAGGAAGAAGAAAGCATTATGTGTGAGTCCTTTCAAGTTTGTCCTTGCATGGCTTATCTCTGGGTAGATTGGAATAAACTACAAAAGCCAGGATAGAGAGCTTCGCGGCTGTGTGAATGATGCTTGGAACATGGCAGAATTTCTAAAATGTCTGTTCATTTTCATCTTCTCTTTTTCACTCAGTATCAAGCAACGCAACCATGCAACAGCCTCCTGGACTTATGCGAAAGAGGACATCATGGTACTCACAGATGAGCCATACAATCTGAAATACATGCCGACGAAACGGAATATCCTTAGCGCATTACGATGGTTAGTGAAAGATGCCCAACCTGGAGATTGCTTATTCTTCCACTGTGAGTCACGTATCCGTAATCTTACCAAGCAATTGATGATGCATCCAGACTCTGGACACGGAGGACGAATCATCGACTTGGATGGTCGCCGTGTGGACGGTCACCGTGTGGATGGTTTTGAAAAGGGTAACAGTTACGATAGTCTAAACTTTGAGAAATGCTGATCTGCAACAAGCCATCCATCCGGTTGACTGGGAGCACGCTGGTGAGATTGTGACCGAGGTGCGTTTGTATAGTTGTTTGTTTTGATATATGCGATGTAAATTCTCAAACAGGACCTATACGATGCAATGGCAAGTACTGACAATGCAGACTGTAAGGTTAATACTAACTTTAACATAGGTCAAACCCCTACCTAGTGGTTGCCGCCTTATTGTAAGCCCATGAGCAACCTTATGCGTCAACCAACTTCAATTTCTTTTTTACCAACAGGCATTGTTTGATGTAAGTTTCATTTGCCAATGTTCAAGTCGGACCGATGATATCATGATCACTAGTCATGTTATTCTGGAACCGTTCTTGGTATGAAGCGGTTGCATTACTAAGTTGTGTCTCCTGAATTGATCTATTTCACGCACAGACTTGCCATACACCGTCAGTTCCAAGATATGATTCGATGCATTCGAGACTGTCTAATCATTTACTCAGTATCAAATCAGTGGTCACCCCAAACGGCGTGCTGCGAACTCTCGAGCTCTTACAAGGTACCCGCAAGCTCACGTGGTAAGGGAAATGTACTCGACCCGAAGTCCGTTTGACGTTCAGATGTTAGGTATTGTTTGCGAGTTGTAGCGACCTCCAAGGTAGCGGGGGCGTCATCATAAGGGGCGGAGAGTTTCTCGGAGCCATGTCCTCTGTGCGTAGTCATTAAGAATTCGCTCGTGAATATTATTATGACCAAATACACAAATCAGGCCTTCATCTCGTCACTCAGTGAGTAGTATTCTAGTAATGACGGTTATGCAACTTACTGGCATTAGCAACCAACCCAATCCAGACATATCTGCAGGTGCTTGCGTCTGTGCAGGACATTTTACGTCGGACTCAAAGGCAGACGCCGCAGCTGTCGAGCTCGTATCCAATCGTATGTCAATCTCACGCTCCCTCGCTCATTTGCTGACACTGGGGTTTCATCAGGATTCCAGTCAACAATGCCTCTTATGATTTGAATATTGTGCTTGTTTCTCCCTCCATTGTACATACAACAGGGAAGTTCTGTGGGTAGAAGCCTTGCAATGCCCCCTTTTCGAAGGCCACAACACGATCAGCAGAAGTAATACCTCGTCCAAATCCTAATAGATGTGCTCCCAGACTTCTAGGCATATTAAGTCGCCACATAGATTTTGAAGAATAATAGTTCAGTTTGTTCATTCCTATTCGAATATATAGGAAACCAATTGTGGATTTCGGCAGATCGCTGTAGATGGGCCTCGATACTTGTACCAGCAATAGCCTCAAAATTTCAAGAAATTTACATCATTCATTGCTCGCTACGTACTCCACAGGAAACTATCACCGAGAACCCGGTAATCGTGAGAGACGAAATATACAAACGGTTGCAGGATAATGTTTTCAATGGGCTTGATTGTATCAGAAAAGCAAGAAAGGATGTGGCATAGAACAGTCATAGCATAATGATAAGGAGTTAAGGTAGGAGAACAACGACAGGTTTTCCAGCCCTGTCAAATACGGATGGGCCTCACCGAAGCAGGAGTGGGCCTTCCCCTAGGACGGGGTCGGTTGAGTCTTAATGTTTCTGATGGCCTATGGAAACGGGTTAGCAAAATGTACATGCATAGATGCGATATCCACTCACGTCACGACAGAGCCTTGCGACATATTACTAGGAGCAGCTGCCAGAGAGATGTTACCGATGCTAGCATTCTCCTTATTCTCCAACCCATTGCGGCCAGTGCTCCTCTTCGCCCAACCCAAAGCAGCTCTTCGCGCGACTGAGCCCACGCGGGGACGGGGTGGGAGGCCAAACATGCGCTCGAGTTTACCAGGTGACATCGCTGCGTCCTTCATAAGTTCGCCTGCCTTGGTATTCTCAACCGCATGTGACATGATGTTAGGGTTGACGGAAATCTGTTGCAGCGCCTTAGGTTGACTTTGGGCGCGCATATTGTCACTGGGAGCGTTTTCTGTGACAGCTGCAACAATGGCCGCTCTCACTTGCTCGGTGGCTGGAGAAGATGTGAACGAGGTCTTGAACGTCCTGGGGTAGGGCGAGGGTCGAGAGTTGACGCGAGAACGCATGCGTCGAGGACGCAAATCTGAAGGCAAAGGCCCGTAGTTCTGCATTGAATGTTCTAAGAGCGCTCGCATGCCGGAGGGATGATTAGGAGGGTCGAATGCTGAAAGCGGCATTAAGCACAGTGCAGTAAACAGGCAGCAAGTACTCACATTGAACTGCGAAGACGGAAAACGGCGTGTCGAGCCAGACTCGCTGACTCTCCGTTACCGTATCTTCAGCTTCGTCGCGAAGCGCATAGTACTTGCGTAGCGCCATAATTCCCCTCTCATCATCCCACAACGACATTGAATCCACAGACGCAGTCTCAGGATCAGCAACAAACACGGGAGTACGACCAATTGTCTTTGTCGCCGAATCACGAAGTTGAATATTGTTTGTCACCGGACCTAGAGGCGACTGAAGGGACGAAGTGGGAGGAAACGATGTTGTGAGTTCTTCCTCGATAGTCTCATAAATGGACGTCCGTGATGCACGAGCCTGAGAGATACGTCGTTGATGACCGTGGCCGCGAGCGCGTGGTCGGACTCGGTCAAAGGTAGCATTCGACAGAGGGTGAGTGACGTTAGAAAGCATGTAGTTGACATGTGAGAGGTCAATGCTGGACTGCGAGCCTTCCGAGAACGAGGAATACCCATCCGAGATTGAAAGTGGAGGAGTCTCAGCACCAGAACTCATAGACGTACAAGTGCTGGAGCGAGAACGGCCTACGCAGGGAGGGCGTGTGAAGACAGGGATGCGGACTAGGATCTCAGTGAGCAAGACAAAGACACCCATTGCAAACGACCAACTCACAAGATGCTGAGAGATCTTCCTCTCCTTCTGCGATCAACACTGTGTTCTCCAAACTCTGCCTCTCCAAAAGACCGTGCTTTGCTCTAATCATGCGCTCGTCACCGAACTTCTCTGAATATGCAGTCGAAGCAATCGACGGCTTGGTTTCGAGAACTCGACTCTTCGGAGATTCGTAGTCGTCACCGAACTTCTCTGAATATGCAGTCGAAACAATCGACGGTTTGGTTTCAAGAACTCGACTCTTCGGAGATTCATACTCGCCACCTTTACAACGGAACTTTGGTTGAGGAGCGTCAGACGCCATATGTTTCCTTTTTTCAACTTGGCGACAAGGAGAGGCTTCGATCATGGATCCTACGGAACGGCGTCGAACATGGCCACCACCAAGCATCTGCGAGAGGAAAACATAAACAAGCAATTTACAAGTATAATTCCAACAACTCACGCTGATCATGGTGTCATCTTCCTTCGGCGGACTGTGAACGCTAGCAATGCTGTAGCTTGATAGCCGTTTGAATTGAGGCGGTGCATGCGAGGAGTCTACAGCAAAGAACGCAGAGTCAGACGAAGAAACGGATGTCCTGTGGCCAGTCTTCTCGAAGAGCGAGTCTTCCATATTGGACGCCGGCTGAGGCTCGCCCATGATGGAATCATAGGACATACGATTCATATATTGACCATTCCGGAACTGCTCGCTTTGCATGCTCCCAGCAGGGCTTTCAGGCGGTGATGCAGAAATGGCAGTCAGTGGCATCCCACGATCCAAAGCAGAGTCAAGCATCTTGTCTCCCAGCCCTGGCCTCCCCAAGTTAATCTCCGAGAAATCGCTGAGCATGGAGTCAATGGAAAAGTCGGGACGATGCCTAGCCCACGAGGCACGCCCACCATGAGCATATGGTTGCGAAACGCTGCTCGTGCTAGCGCCCGAGTCATTACGGCGGCGGTATCCATAGCTGCTGCGGTTGTGTCCATAACTGTTGCGGTTGTACAAACTGATTGGTGGACCTAACGATGAGACGGAGGCTGAAGATGAGTGGCGACGATGTGCAGCAGCACGATTATATGGGTGCATCTGTGAGTGAACTGAGGCACGGAAGTAGAAGCTGGAGGCATCGCTGTCAACACGTCGCCTGCGAGGTTGTTTGCGGATGAAAGAGAACGTGTCATCAAGAGAGGACATGGTGAAAGAGAACTCGTCCGAGGAAGGACGCTCCCGAAGGCTTGGGAGTGGCAACGCCCCATAGTCGAAAGGATCTGTAGACCCATGATTGATGACCTGTCCATACGACGAGATAGACGCAATGCTGAACATAGACTCGTGCTTGTTGTGCTGGCTACGCGAATTGGCTCCCGGTGGAGGGTAGAAATTCGGACGATGGTCATGGAACTCGAATCCTCTTCTCACCTCTGCAAATGAGTCAAAGCCTGCAAAGCTCAGTTCAGAAGAGTGTCTGTAGTGGCCTGGAACATTTGAAGCGCGAGTGGCTGAACGCTCGATGCGCTTCGAGTTAGAGTCTGAATCGAGGCGGACGCGAGATGGAGGCGAGGGAATTTCAACAGCCTTTGCAAATATGGAATTGAGAACGGCAGACTCATCGCCAGCTAACGAAGTCGTGGAGAGAGACTTGGCAACGGCCAAAGGAGGGATGATATCTGATAGTGTGAGTGGCTCCTCGGTCTTTTCAGCAGAGGGTGCAGACGATGGCTTGCCGCCAAACTTGAAGTCCATATTGAGCCGTCCATCCGATGGTCGCGATTTCATGGACTTCATGGATTTAGCATTCCTCAAGACTTGGGACCGATCTGCGCAAGGGAAGTCCTCCTCATCCTCCTCCTCCTCCTTTTCCCAGTCGTTTGTCGTGGCGAAGCTATCCGTTCCAGGGAGCAACGATGGTTCAGTGTCTACATCCATCGGGAAGCCTTGAGGTAAGAACTCCTGCGACACATAGTCCATGCTGAATGTGCTATCCCCCGCACGTTCCAGTTCCGCCTGCAACGATGGGATCTTGGGCACAGGCGGCGCATCAAGTGGCAGGTCAAAGTCATACCGCAAATCAATCTTGGCAGGCGTGCGGAACGCGTTCTCCAACTGCTCGACGAAACTAAGCCTGTCAGATCCACCGGACTCGTTCAGCTTCTGCAGCTCGCCCGTGAAGTCAAAGGATTTCTTGGTATCGTCCTCAGAGGATATTCCAGCCTCTTCAATATCAGCATGGTGGTCGTCCTCGTCGATGACTTTGGCGCGGAATACAGGAACGTCAGCGACGGAGCCTTCGGGCAAAGGAAGTGGCATCTCGGGCGGCAGCCCAGGCGAGGGCAGTGGTGGGTGCGTGGTCATCAGGTTAGGATTGAACGATAGCGTGTCATCTGCTTCGTGATCCGAGCTGGATAAAATGATCTGCAATTCGTCAGGAATGTCGGAATCAGGATCACTCGCGTCCAGCTCTTGTCCTCCCACAGACCCGCCCAACGTCCCTGCGAGGCCAAGGTTTCGACGTGCATCAGGGAGTATTAGCAAGCTTGGGCTATCAAGCGGTTTCGGGACATCATCGGTGGTATCGCAACGCAACTGTAAATGCGCATGCTCCGCATGCACAAGTGACGACGGTTTCCTCTCATGACCTCTTGCTTTCTTGAACACAGGGCTTGCACCCAGTGACGCACGGGAACTAGACTTTGAGTGCACAGAGCCAAACGTGCGTGATGATGGTGAACGATCTGCGTTACCCGTGAACGGTAAGCTCATAGGCGCTGCGAACACGGCGCGTCCCGAAACAGGTACCCTGCTTTTCGCAGGGCGGAGTGCTTTGAAGACTGGCTCTGGCTCTGCCGCAGGCGCAGGGCTCATTGTACGCTTGTGCGTGAACCTAAAGGTCGGTGCTGGCTCGTGTGAGTCCCTTGACGGAGATTTCGCAGGTGATATCCCAGCATTGAGCGTGGCCCACGGTGCAATGTGCTGCCCGATGGACGGAACTACAGCGGTGGATATCGTCTTGGCGTATGGGCGGAGTGAGGTGACGCTCGCAGCGCTTGCGCGGAGGCGTTTGACAGGGCTTTCTAGAGTCATGCGTTTCGTGGGGCTGCCAGCTTGGGAAGAGGCCAACAAAGATGGCGAACGCCCACTCATCGGCGACATGTCCGGCGTCGCTTGGAGATCGAGGCGGTTGATGAGCTGCGCAAGATCATTTGTGGCTGCATCCAGGAGGGACATTACTGCACAGTCTATGTCACAAAGTCAAATAAACGAATCAGCACGACGCGAATAATCGACTGGCTGCACGAATGGCTTGACGTACCGTTTTCGTCCTCATACATAGCCTTGGGCCTACTACGTCCCAAAAGTTGCTCGCTCAGCGGCCTTGAACGTGCTCGCTTGACGGGTGTCTCGACGTCGCTGTGGCCGTCAACAGTTGCCTCTTCGATGGTCACAATTGGCAGAGTAGATGCCTCTTCCTCATTCGTTCCTTCACCTTCTTCACGTTCAGACAACCTCCCAGGGAAAACCGATGAGAGCGGCGTCCTTTTCCTGCTATCCGAACTCTTGCGGGTTCCTTTGGTTTTCTTTTCCTTGCTGCTGTCCTTCTCCTTCAATGCGCGTTCCTTCCTCCTGACCTCCTTCACAGTTTCTAACCCAACCTCGTCCCACCTCACCGAGCATCCCCCAGAAGACCCTCCCGAAGACACAGACACAGGCCTCACGCTGCCAGCACTGCTCGCTGTCATTGTGGAACCCGACCTTGCCCTGGCCAGAATACCATACCCTAACGTGGCAGCTGTATCCGCCGGGAGTTTATTCGAGCTCTGCACTTGGGCAGCTCCAATCGACGACGTCATGGACACACTGCGCATAGATGGGAGACGCATTGTGGAGGGGAGGCCCAACCCAAGAATGGACTTCTTCTTGCCAAGAGTTGCTCTGCTGGCGTTCTTATCAGGGCTAGCACTGAGCGCCCCTGCTTCGAAGCTGCTGCCGGAGTAGCGAACGGTTGCAGCCTTGTCCTTCTCTTTCTCCTTTTCTTTCTCTTTGTTTTGACCCTTGTCCTTTTTTTTCTTCTTTTTCTTGGGTTCGCTGATGACGGGAGGAGTGGGTTTAGGAGTGTCATCGGGCGCGGGCATGTTCTTGAGCTGTGCCCAGGAGCCAATACGTGCGAGAGAGCGAACAGAGCGCATAGCTCGAATGGCGACGCTATCTTTACCTGAGCCAATGGGGGGAGCACCTGGTGGAGCAAGTGTGGCACCATGTGCAGCGGACGCGAAGGTCGCAGACGGCGGTGTTGGTACACGCAAATATTGGTTCTCTGCGGGCGACTTGGAGTGTTCAGAAAATACTGGGCTGTTAAGCAAGATGCCCGAGTCGAGAGAGTTGAAGCGAGCTCGGGACTCGGTAGGTTTGCTAGTCGTGGGCGGTTCAGGCGCTGCCAAATAAAATATGTTAATCACGCATAGGAGTGTGAATCATGAGCTTACATCTTGGTCTCTCTTTCTCCTTCGAATCCTTCTTCCCCTTCCCGATAGTCCACCAACCGGATTTCTCATCCACCTTTACCTTCGATGTATTCTCCTTGTCTTTCTTCCTTTCCTTCTTTTCCTTTTCCTTCACATGTGGAACGTTGGTCACCTCGCCAAGAGCGGGACCCCAGCGCATGCCATCCAAGGCCATGCGGCTCTTCTTCTTCTTGACTACGACGATCTCTCCGATCTCGGGATCGAGCATCGGGTCAACGTATATTTCTAGGCCCGTGCTGGCATTCTTGTTTGAGTCGCGTGCGCCAACGCGACGCACCACATCTGATAAATCTGCCTCTCGTGACGAAAGGAGACCAATCTTTGATTTCTTGGGTACGAGACGCCTACGAGGCGTTGCATCTGAGGACGGGGCTTTGGGCGCGAGAGGGAGTGAGAGTGGGGGCTGGGATTCAGACCATGGAGCGACGGCTGGTGAGGGGGTCGCGGAAATGAGGCGAATGGTGGGGATGGCAGGCTTTATAGCAGGTGTTTCGAAGGGTGATGGTGAGCGGGTACGAGTGGTGTCAGTTGGTCGTGAGAGGAGTTGCAAAGGCATCTCGTCTTGTGCGTAAGTGAAATTGATGATATGAACAAACGGTCTTGAAAAACGTTATATGCAGTCGTGATCGTATTAAAAAAAGTTGTCGAGATTCGAAATGATGAAGCAAGCAAAGTAGAAAACGAGAAAGCGTTATGAACCGTCGTGAATCGTGATCAGTGTCGTTAGGAGATCTATGTTGATTTAAACTTGATTATTTGTTTGATGAGATCGTCGTGGTCTTGGTGTCACCTAACGGTCGTTCGACTCTGAGAGCAATTAACTCGTCAGTGCCTTGGAATTAGTAGATGAAACGGAATCTCTAGTAGGCATTAGTGGTCAGTTAAACAACAAAATTCTTGTCTAGATAACAAATACACACCTGAGAGACGAAAGATGACTTACGGTGACAAGCTCGCGTACAAGAGAGACAAGAGCCCCTTCTACCTTCACCGCCCTCCAGAAAGTCGAACTTGTTTGGTCGTGTAGGGGCACAAACAACGCGTAAATAAGATAATAACTCACGTGATCGTACGCTCTGCGACGCATACTTGCCCCGCGCCTCACAGTGTGCACCGTGCATCAAGCTTAAGCTAAGATCAACTTCTACCTCAAAAATTGATATTCGATCAAATACTAAATTGCAGTTGAAAACGCTTTGATAGCCCCTCAGGCTTCTGCCCATCGTCAGAAGGATACTGTGACACTGAAAGATCAATGAAAATGATGCTAGGTGCGGCATAAATGCAGACGCCATAGATGACAACTTTGACGTACCTTTCCGTGGCTGATCTTCATCTCATCCAATTCCAATCGTGTCCATCATGACATGACAGCACCAGCCGGTAGTATCTGGGGACGTGTTTCTTCTCCCCGAGGAAAATACCAATAACTTTCCTCCGGCATCCTTCGGTTTATCCGACATGATGCCTATTTCATCGTCGTCAATGTCATTTTTGGCCTGTGGAGCGTCTACGGCCTCCCGTGACCACCTCAGCTATCAATATGCGTCCAGCTGATCGCGGGCATGAGGCATAGGGAAAAAATACCTCTATCGCAGACAATTTCAAGTTTGTTCGTGCTTTCCTTCTCTGTCGATCGTTCTGAATATCCGTTTGGCTGGTCCCAAATCACCATTTGATAATAAAAATGACGGCTGCCCGTATTACATCCTGTACACAAAGGATCCTTTTGTTTCCACAATCGACGCAGAAAAAACCCAGGGTGATACTTCCGGTTGCATGCACGAGGCGCGCCGTGACACATATATCTGATGGAAAACAATCACCCACAATCGTTGATAATTTTTTGCGTATTCGATGGAACAGTGGTTAGCCTATGTGGGGCCTTTGTTGGTCCATCTGCAAAATTCTAGGGTGATTCTTCCGGCTATATGCACGAGGCATCGCCTGTCGTGTATCCGATATGCAGTTTTTGATTTCCCACAACCTATTGACGGTTTTACACGAAACAACGGCTTATAGCGGTAGTCCTCCGTCACATCAAAGCTTTTGTTGCAACAAAGATTACCGGTCGGAACGTTTAGCCCCTAGCGCTGACTCTCTCGGAGTTTGAAACTATTTGAACATCGGACACGCCGGCTGACGATATCACAGTGCCGGCCTCGAGGCAGACCTTGTGCTAGAAAGGGCGGGAATGCTGTCTAGATTCTCTAGGCTTGGGCTGACGCTGGGCGTGAGACGAAGGACCTACTGCATATATACAAGTACTCATGACTCTCAGAGAAGCGGAGGCACATAGAGGCACATGCCCTGATGCCCATCCTACACGCTGTCTACTCCCGCCATCTTTGGTAAGCACCTGCCATATCCGTACTCTATTCATCCTATTTTTCAAATTCCAGATATTACGCCAATCACGGGTAACGGAAGTGATTACGAAGGGCTGAACCTTTTAATAAACGGGATACCTCTCCCCACTTCCACCCGACCGCCAGTTGACTGTCACACTATTAATTTTCGTTCTCGACTCCCTCAAGGTCAGTACAACACATCGTGCACGTTAACCCATGATGACAGACTCTACTTCAGATGCCCTCCGTGATGTTGGATAGTGTGTCAGTTAACTCGTTCGTCAACGTTCGCAAATTAAATGCAGCACGCTATCTGCATGGAACCTCGACAATCGCAGCAATTCCGGACGAGTTGCTGTCTGCCATCTTTCATATTGCAACGCACGATTTTCACGACTGTTATGACGCTATGTTTCACGCTACTACAATTTCCCATGTCTGTCAACGCTGGAGAAACGTATCTCTTTCAACCTCATCATTATGGACCGTCATCGTTCTCACATTTCCTACTCATCGCACTCAATTCTTTCGCACTATCGACTGGCTTGCGCGTTCCCGCTCTCGCCCTTTGCACCTTTACATGGATTTTCGAGATCCCGCATGGAATTGGGACGAAGCCTCACATTGCTTTAGCTGGAAAAATATGGAAAATGTCATGCGACTTATCTTGCCATATGCGCACCGGTGGCAGAAGGTTGAACTTCTCACTGACACCTGGGCTCCTATTTTTACCTTCCTCTCCTATACCTCCCGCATAAAATCAGTTCCTATGTTACAAGATGTCCTTCTTTCCCGCTGTAACGCCTTCTTTGCTGCAAAGGGCGAGCTCTTCCGCCCTTCTGCAATGAAGCATCCTGTCTCCTGGTTTGGGGGAGGTTCTGCATTTCACAGCCTTCGTCGGGTCTCCCTTGCCGGTGTACACGTGAACTGGGCAAACTCGGGATTGTCGGGTCTCTTGGAACTCGAACTCAAGTACCACGCGAGCGAGGTGATGCCAACTTTGCACGAGTTTTGCGACATCATATCGGCATGTCCCAAACTCGAGCGATTGAACATCTTGGGATGGGGTCCTCAGATAGACGTAAACGTTGCGCCCAAGCAGCGCACTCTCTACCTTCCGCATTTACGAAACTTTGCCTTCGGATTCATCGATGTCGATTACGCCATTGATTTCTTGTCGCTCTTTTACTTCCCCAGCCTTCAAACGCTTTCGCTGGAGGACATTTCCTCTTCACTAGATCCGTTGCACCCTTGCGATTCGTCCCGTCTTCTGGAGTACCTCACAGCAGCTCACCACGGGTCGTGCACAACCTCGTCTCATCTATTCCCATGCGCAACGTGCAGTCCATATCCCTTATCTTTAATTAGTTCTTTGGAGCTTCATGGCCTTACATCATGCGGAGCTTCTTTGCGCTGCTTTCTGCAAGAAACCACGACTCTCGACCATCTCGTACTGTCTGGTCTGGACAAAACGAACCTACAGGCGATCGTTCCAGACCTAATCGCCGCGGCGCTTTGCCCAAGTCTTCTTGACTTGAAATTCAACGACGCAGACCCGACGATCATTGCGTCATTAGCTTCCCTCCCAATCGGTGTTGTTCGCAGTCTCAACTCTCCATCGATGCGTGTCGTTGTAGTTGCGAATGTTGTCGACAGTGATGACGCAAAGCGCGAGCTCATGCACGTGTTGTGGGCCGCTGGCGTCGAGGTCATAATCTTAGGAAATGCCACTTCTTAAGGGCTTGGCAAGGGAAGCCGCAGCATCATTCATCATTTTCATGCACCGCTCTCATCAGTCATTCGTTCTTCCTTTCCCTTCATTACACACTCTCCCCTTTATCACCCATGATTTAACGCGCCTTTGTACGTATGTAATACCCTTCGACATTCTTCACGTCACTGTATAGTGTATCAATATGCCCACGCATCCCCTCATTTCCGTCCAAGTCGTATGTTAGTATATCCGTCAGTACTATAGAGCCGAATCACCTGTAGCATATGTCATGTGTAATACACACATTTGGTTCGATTGGCAAATCATCATGGATCAGACGCGGGGTGTATTAGACTCTGTTCGTATTTATTGATTATGCAGTATGGAACTAACCGGGTATTATCTATGTTCAAATAAAAGTGCGGCCTGGAAACATGGCGTGCAACGTCTGAATATCATGTTCAACCAAGATCAACCGTCCGTCTTCCGCTCCATCAGGTCTCCAGAGATGTTTTCCTCGAAATACGTTCATTGGGTATTGGACTTCGCCTATTACCCCAGACCAGTCAAAATCCATCAACTTGAATCCAGGGCTGAGGTCCCTTTTTACCATGATATTTACTTTCCGAATGTCTCCATGAACATAACCTTCTAGGTGAAGAGACCGGAGTACCGTAGCGATGGCGTCATGATGAGGGTAAGGAGCGAAAAGTTCCCAGAGACGACAATAGTCTTCTGTAATCATCTCCATCACAATCATGTACCATCCACCTGGCAGCTTCTCAAAGCCGTGCAGTACTGGAGCGAAGCCGCCGGAAGCACATCGTTGATGTGCTTCCTTAGAGTAGCGACGGACAAACTTGACGCAGAGCGTAATGCCATCGGTTGTCTTCACGGAAAAGAGTGGTTTGGTAGTATCTATTTGATGGCAGTACGTGAAATGACACGTCGACGATGTCTCCATGCAAGTATAAGAATATGGATATGGAAACCTGGGATCTGGAAATTCAGAATCCAGAAATTTGAGGTGTGGATCGGGACAAAGGGATGTAGTGCTTGATAACATGCTCTTGTAACATTCCGAGAGAGACTGAAGAGCTTTCCTGAGCGCACGAACGTGCCGCGCGACCATCGTACGCATTTTGGTATCGGTGTGGTGATAAAAGCAGTCGAAATCACCTGCATGTTTGGACGGGTGCTCCAAACAGCGGCTGAGAAGTCGATGTACAGCCCTGTTTAAGTCGTGGTCAGTGCATCGCGAGTTGTCAAATACTGCAAACTTGCCGAATAGAGTGACCACTATGCAGGGAAACCTAAATGCAGGGTTGTCCTTCGCGAAAGAGCTGGTGGAATGTATATAGCATGAAAGAGCTTGCATGTGAGGTTCAGCCTCCGTGGATCCTATCTCGTTCGTAACTTGAGCGATTGCGGGGCGGAAATATCTGTACTGTTTGTCATCGTCGGTGTTATAGGTGGTGTATTTGACTCTTATGGGACTTAGGTCGATGTCGTGCTCCTGCAGGATTTCATGGGATTTGGAAGCTCGATCTGCCTCATTAGTGAAGAAGTTGGGCATAACCGCCGACAATGCCATAGTCAGCTCGTTATCGCTCAAGGTTTTCACAGTCGTCTATGAATGCACCAAAGATTGGATGAAGTAGCGTGCTTGGTATAGCATCTGCAGTTGAAGAGGGTCGATCTCAGTGAACAGCGAGGTCCGGATTTTTCTGTATGAGATCGAATTCAGAAGGTTCCCTCTGACTGGAAGAAGGCTCCTGGGGAAATTTCCTGCTGTACTCTGAACGAAATTGATGTGTCCTATACAGAAGTGCGGAAAGTGACAGTTGCAAATGACTATGGGAGCCTATTAGAAGGTAGCCGTCAGCTCAGCCGCCGTGTTAAAGCGATATCGACGGGCAAGTCGACCTTTCACAATGTCAGATCGTCAGCATTTGATCGTTGGTATCAGATCACTCACTTTCCATGGCTGGAGAGTGTCTGCAGCCACGTCGCAGAGCGAATATATCTTCTCTTCCTTGATAGCCTCTCTCATGTGACCGACAGCCTTTGTCTTTACAATCTCGACCGAGAAGATATGGCTGGGGTCGTCGCCTAAGACTAAGCAGTTGAGCTCGATGGTCGGGGGTTGCACAAATATATGAAGGTGTCCGTCCTCTGGTCTAATGATGGCCACCCTCAAGAGTCGGGTAAGCGGCTTGAGCTGATTGGCATCGTGCGGTAAATCTAACTTCTCCTTCTCCGGGTTGATATCGACCTTCAAGTATCATACGGTCAGCACCACCAACTTCCCAGATCGTGGCATCAGATTACTCACCTTCCATAGCTTGAGGCGGCAAGCATCAACGCCATCGAATTCATTCTGCTTTGATAACCTTTATCAGGTCAACGACGGCGTCCGTCTGTACAATCTTGACTGAGAAGATGCAGCTGGGGTCATCGCCCAAGATGAGGCAGTTGAGTGTGAAGTAGGACTCCATTGGGAACAAGGGTAGGTGACGGGTATTGGCACTGAAAATTGAGACCTCGAGGTGCTGAGCGCGCTGGAGCAGGCGCGTCGTAAATGCATAAGGGGTAAAGCGGACAGAGCCACGTGATGTGATCAAACAATCGATGATCCTACTAGTACCACCGTAGTGGGTGACTATCCGTAGGCTGAAATATTGCGGAATAAAATAAGATAGAATAAAAAGACCATTTAAGGAAATTGTGCCGCGATGCCGCTGTCCATTTGCGTCGAATTTGCAAAACATTATTTTCTGACCCCCTTACAAACTCTAAATCTAGAAGGGGGGGCCCCCCCCCCCCTTGCAGATTATTCCGGATTATAAACGACGGATTAAAACCGTTTTGGGCCACTACGCCCAAGCTATCCGCTGACTAATCATACTTGAAGGTCCCCGCCTGACACATGTTCAGCATGGCGATAGTCGCTACCTGGTCCAAACATTTTCCAATATATGCAGTCCAATCCCTGAGCTCCCTGGTGAAGTTTTCAGCTGAAGTTTTAAGATTACTATCAGCAGATGACGCCAACATGTACCACTGCGACTGGCCAGGGTACGAGGTGAGCAGTGCTGACACCATTCTCTCCCTATAAGTCTAGAGTCGCAAAAACCATTCGTTCCCCAAGTTACTGCGACTGTTTTTTTGTCATTAAATACTTTATTCCATGTGTGTACTAACGTATTCGTGCGACCACCACAGGGCCATTCTACTAACTACGAACGTCTAGAATCATTTATGCATCTGACAGTTCAGGTTTTTGAGACATATAAAAGCATGCATTGGAGGACAACAAGGTAAGCATTATTTTCATTAAAACTACAGCACACAATGTCTGACATTCCCCCTCCACAATCCATGATGATACCTCCTGGTAGTACCCCATCTTACCCCGAATTATGCTATGACCACACTGGAAATGCATTTGCCCACGATAATTTTGGTGCTTGGGTGTCTCATCCAGGCATCTGCAAAGTAAGTCTTATCAAACGATTGTTTACTGGCAGCTGATACTCGACTTACTATAGACTCTTACAACTGATCAGTCCTTTCGGTTTGAACATGGCGATGGTCTGGGTTATCAGGTATGTTGAGTATCATATGATGTTTTTGACTCGACTAACTATATACATGCAGCCTGCTTCTACCTATGCACTCACTCCAGCCTTCCAGTCCCACGAAGGCACACCTCCACCCTTGCTGGCGTCCAGTTCTCGCCCTGCTCTACATGAGGCGCCAACCACGAATATAGCTAACCCTGCGCTCCTCCCCCTACCTCACTCTGACAATATGGACTTGATTTACCCTGCCAGTATTGCAGAGGCCTGCAGCTATACTCCAGCCACCAAAACAGCAGGCACTTGTCACAAGGCCAAAGCCCCAAGGGGCAAAGGCAAGGAGAAGGAGAATGCTGGATACGCTAACCCAAAGAAGCGTTCTTGAGAGGACAGAGATGAGGATGATGAAGCAGAAGCATGAGCGAGGCGAGGCCACCCTCAGGGGTCCAACAATTATACTGCCTTGGACGTTAAAAGTCTCCTTGACGTAGTCCATGATGAGCTCCCTCTCAGTCAATGTGGGTGGCAGACTGTTCAAGTTAAGTTCGGCCAATGGGCCAAGGTGAACCACCGGCCTGAACGCAAACTCACTTCACTCGAAACAAAGTTCAAACAGGTAAGATTCAACTTGTCTCATGACTGTGACATTGCTCACAAGTAGAACTACAGTTGGTCAAGACTATGAAGCCGACTGGAGATGGTGTGTGCCCTCCGGAAGTCACACATGCCCATCGCATCAAACAACTCATTAACGAGTGCGCAGGAACCCGTGACCTGCATGACACAGATTATGATGCCATGGAAGATGATGACAGTCACTCTGTCGTCTCTGACCAGAACCAGGATGAGCATACCTCCCCCCCAATTCAGCATACAGCGATTGCCCACTCCACTCCTTGTACAGACGCCCCAGCTCCACGTCGCAATACTCGAGGAGCGGCAGCTATGGATTTACTCACTCGACTTTCCAGCGCATTTGACCCAGCCACCCAATGCAACCATGACGAAGATCGTGCCAATTGCAGCCTTGCCACCACACAACTACTTACCCAAAGTCAGCAGCTCCGTGATTCCCAAGCCACTATGGAAACCCTGCATGGCCAACTCTTCGATTTGCGTGCTTGCATGTACAACATTGAACGCGAACGTGATCAGGCCGAGCTTTGCATCGAGATGATGCAGATGAGTGGATCCACGCGCCGTCAGCATGTTTGGATGCCCAAATGCAAGAATTTGCATCAAGAGTGGTACCCTGAGGGTGGGGGATCCATTAGGTGGCTTACTGATGAAGGTGAAAGTACCACATCTGAGGGGCCCAAGCCACCATGCCTTCAAAGATGCGGCCCCTCTGGACGTCCCAAGTATTCTGATCGCCCATATTTCGAGGACTTCGCTGATGAGCCTATCAAGCCCATTCAAAAGGAGGGGTCAGTAGAGATTTGATTGTGCTATGATGCTTACAATGTACCTAGGGTACCAATGTACCATGCAAAGATTGCTGCTTCTCACCATTCTGTGTCTTGCACTTGTTCCATCTTGAACATCTTTCCTGTCTGCCTTCTTGTCCGTCTCATCATCTCCATTGAAATCGGCATTGCAGGTACTGGATGGTTGGATGCTACAATGTTCTACATCTTGCGCTCGTTCCGTCTCGAACGTCTTTTCCTTTGTCTTCCCCTTTGTCTGACCTCTTGTCTGTCTCATCATCTCCATTGAAATCGGCATTGCAGGTACTGGGTGGTTGGATGCTACAACGTTCTACGTCTTGCACTCGTTCTGTCTCGAACATCTTTTCCTTTGTCTTCCCCTTTGTCTGACCTCTTGTCTGTCTCATCATCTTCGTCGAAATCAGCATTGCAGGTACTGGACGGTTGGATGCTACAATGTTCTACGTCTTGCACTCATTCCGTCTCAAACATCTTTCCTGTCTGCCTTCTCATCCATCTCATCTGCATTGAAACCAGCATTGCATTCCTCATCTGATATCATCATTACAAGTTTTACATGTTATATCTACTGGAATTCCAATATGACATGGAAGCATGAGACTCGATCCTTCTTCCTCTGCTCTGAAAATAGCATGTTTTCAAAGTCTTGCCACACATCTAGATCATCCTCAGTAGCCTGCCAATGCTTCATGTACACAGTCCATATCTGATTGATCCCAACACATATGGCGCGCAGGTTGTGCAGCCAAAGACAGATTTCAATAAGGCCACTGCGAGCTTCTTGGTTAGCAATGTCAAGTGGTATGCGTAGCCTTCCAAAGGCACCTTGGATAGCTCGCATGCCCCATTCTGCTGTTTGATGGTAAGAGAGTAGTTCGTGGTTGAATGCCATATGCTCCTCTATCTTGGCAGCTGAGCCATGCAAAACTTGGCCATGTTTCAGAGGTGCACAAATGCGTCCATCAATGGAAGTCGTCCCATGAGGGAACGCAGTATCTGCAACGATGTAGTAGTCAGGAGGTGTGTTGAGTTGAAGTTGAGTATAGATGTGAGAGGCAAGACGAGAGTCGTGCCAGCTGCCAGGTGCATTCGTCCTTGCCACAATCACAATGCCTTTGTAAAGTAACTATTGAGTACAAATTGTTGGAGAAAGACCAAAAAATGCACCTTCAGCAGAAAATGCTATGACTGAACTGATAAAATGTTTGGAAAGCCATCTGTTGTAGGTAGCATTTTCAATATCAACATTGTCTGAAGTCTGCATGGGGAGTTTGAGCCCGTCAATGCTTCCGAAAGCACCTTGCAAGCATGAGTGACACGCAACTACGAGGGTACTACAATGCTCAAAATCAGGTCCCCGTGGCCATCAAATTGTGGCATCAACCATAGAGCATAGAGTTTGTAAGAGCATGGGCAGTCCAGAGGTGAGATAGCGAGAAACAGTGGCAGGGATCAACACAAAAATCTGTTGGAGGCTAGTCTCATGCATGGTGGAGTTGAGATAGTGGAGCATGAGGCCAAGTGCTCCACTAGCATCGAGTGAACAGCGATTCAGGCATGGAATGCCATGCGAGTTGGTATCAGGACATGTGATGGGCTTATGGTACCACAGACTGGCAAAGCCAGAAGTAAGGATGAATTCAAATGTTCGAACATCGATGCCCATGGTTGTAATAAATGCGCGATCAGTCTGACTTGCATACAACACTTGCCACAGGGTATTCCAATGTGGGTCAGGAAGTAGCTGGGCACAACAAAGGTACAGTTGCTTAGGGTTCTGGGTTTTGACACGATCAAGTTGAGCAAGCTCTATTCCAGCAACCAGCGTAGCTGCTAACATCCTCGCGTCCTCTTTGTCATCAAGAAATGCTGTCTCTTCTCTGTCGTTCACCAGATTATGATACTGTAGTAGATCGTCCATTGCAGTTTTGACTGAATTATTTTATTCCAGATGCATTACGGTTGTGTTTTCTGTACAGATTATCTTTCGTAAATATATTTCAAAGTCCGTCATAATCTATTCCGCATTATTTTGCCTACGGATAGTCACCCAGTATCATAGTAGTGCGGACTTGCCACAGCAGGCATTGATCGATATTGATCAATAAAACGATCCCGAACGTATCATTGGCCGATCTCATCCCACAAAACCCTCTCTACTCCCGGGTAGAGCCAGGGAATATTGCAAAGTGCCGCTATCAATTTCATCATGATCAGAGCGTTGACGAATTACTTACAAGGCAGACCAATCATGTCGCGATGGATATGAAAAGCGCCAATGTATGTAATTGTAATATCAATATGCTTGCTCTAGACCATGATTGTAAAGCGATAGCGTAAAAGTCCAGATAACGTTAAGTATACAGCCTCCATCGAGCATCTGAACTCGGTTCATATTCCTTCTCCGATAAGTCGTTCGGGTGCCTCCACATATGCCCTCCAGGACTCCACGAACGCAGCCAACTCCGCACCCTCTAGCACACGATGATCTGCACTCCAGCTCACGCCAACCTTGAGCCTCCTTTCCCCACGGTCACTCTTGCTGACGTCCCACACCCATCTTGCTCTCCCTATGGCGACGATCGCGACGCCACCCCCAGGTACCAAGACAGGGTGCGCGTACTCCCCGTCGCCTATTGCACCGACATTAGATAACGTGACCGTCGCGCCCCGTTTCGGCATCTCGTTTACCGTGAGTGCGCATGGTACTTGACGGCCGAGGAAAGAAAGGTGCTTAAGTTGTGAAGATAGGCTGTAGATGCTGTGTGTATCTGCATGGGGAATGACGGGTGTGTATAAACCTGTCGTGGTGCTCAGAGCAACAGCAATATCCGCGTGTGGACGGATGGTAAGGGTGGGCTTGCCTCCTCCATTTGCGCTACCTGGCGTGATGGAGGAACGGAGCACTGGCCATGCCATCATGGCCTTTGCAAGTGTCTTTAAGAGTATGGGGAGGTATGTAAGACGGGTGAATTGGGCACTTTCTGGTACGGGAGGAGGAGATGGCGCAGGATGCAGAGCGGAAGGGTTAATTGGGAGTGGCGATGATTTGGAGGGATTAAAATGTGAGGGTATATGCGAATTGAGGGTTGGGAGGAGAGAATGGAGAGATGTGAGGTCGAGGGAAGTCGAGTAGCTGACCCAAATGATAAGTGATAGCGAATGATAAATAGAAGGAGTCATACCCGAAGTGTGGAATCTCAAGACTCTGGGTCATAGCTTTCCACATACCATAACGTGTCCGACCAAGCTCGACAATGACATCTTGTTCGGCTTGTGCTCGTAGTGCAGCTGAACCGGAGTGTGTTGAGGAAGAAGAGGCTTGCTGTGACAGGAATGCATCAATATCTTTCTTCTCGATGCGTCCGTCACGTCCGCTGCCCGAGAGAAGTGTAAGGTCAACCTTGGACTGGCGAGCGTAATGACGGACCGAGGGCTTTGCGAGCACGTTCTCGGGGTTAACATTTGGAGTGGAAGGAGATATGTAGTTTGGATCCATGGGGTGCAGTCTTCTGGGTGCAGATAGCTCCTCAGGGATATGTTCGGTTCTAGAGGCAGCATCTTCCACAAGCTTGGAGTTTGGAATCATTGGCAACGGCGCTGGTGCGTCCGATGAAGCAGGCTCTATCTGCTCTACACTGCCGCTATCCGACAATTCCTCATCAACCTCGATCACACAGAGACCTTGGCCGACCTTTGCAACTTCACCTTCCTTCACTAGAATCTCTTTGACTACACCGTCGAACGGGCTTGTGATTTCGACGCTGGCTTTATCGCTCTGGACCTCGCACAAAGGCTCAAAGCTTTGTATGGTGCCAAGTTCCTTCACATTCCTAACTTATGAGCTCAGTGGGGGAGCACGATATTTGCAAGGTCCGGCCGACGCACCATCTGATGACTTCACACTCTGTGATGCCCTCGCCAATATCAGCAAGCTTGAAGTTCTGTAGAATTCTCCTCGAAGATAAGCATGGGGGAAACGTGTGAAAGTGTGAAACGGCAGTTGAACGAGTGAGGAGGCGACGGAGAGGGCGGATAAGCATGATAGTAATGGCGCGGGGAAGATGAACAAGTTGCTAGATCCGATCGGGCTAAAAATGTAATGCATATGATTACGTAATCAAAACATTGTCAACGGTTTATGTAATCAGTGTTCGAATTTTCATGCGACCCTTCCACAGCTTGATTTGACCCTTGTGAAGTTCCGGATGAGTCCCTAGGTTTCTGCTAGGTGTATAGCCCTGCGGCGCCACAGGTGTGAACAGCACTGCGCTTCTTCCGTACACAAATTCAAATTGATGACCTACGTCCTGCTGCTTCTCACCGAACAAGAGCCACTTATTTGATCTTGCTCCGTGCGTTACTTTTCATCCTATTCTTATAATTGAGCCGAACTCATTGTGATTAATCCTCCAGATCCGCGATGTGGTTACATTATGCACGGAGGTTATGAACACAGGATGGGCTTCGACGTGTTACCAATTTGTGCGGATGCTGCAAGAATCATTGGACTCGGCGCCGCTGTCAGCGTGGGCTCGCTGCGGCGCAGTCGTAGGTGCCATCTACCAAGTTTCGCGGTATGATCGATGATCGTTCAACTAGGTTTTCAGATAGCAAAGCTTCACTCCCAAGGATTGGATGCACTGCCACATAATTATTTAGGACACTAGGCTTATGTATTTACAGGCCGCGATGTTTTTGAGAACCTTTCTTCGGGCAGTGCATTTGGATTTCGGTCTTCTCACACCTGCAGGAACGTGCTTGGTTAATGTCATGCTGTGGGTATGCTGTGACTTTATTGTAATCACTGACCTGAACCGAGGCCCGCCGTTATCTACGGACATAATTGTATCTTACAGCCCTGCAGACTGGAAATGAAGTGGGAATAACTGCTCCGTCCTGACTAAGTCAGACTTGTTCAGGGACGCCCTCTAGGCTTTAGTTAGAAATAGCCTCCCATTGACATTTCAAGTTATAACGTTCTATCCGCAGGCCTATCTTTCGTTCTGTCCCCCCTACCCCATCCTACATATATAGTCCCCAATTAAACCGCGGTGACATTCTCGAACATGGCTTCAATTGGCTTCTTCAAGATGAATACGAGCATGGAAGTGAGTTTCTACAGGCATATGCAAATGAAATCACTCTCATGGTTAGAAGGTTATTACAACTATCGCCACCTACGGGCATGATATCAACATTGTCCGACAGGCAGTGGAAATGTACATTGTGGCCAAAAAGAAAAAGGGTTGCTCTGAACAGCACATACATGAAAAATTAGAAAAATTGGAGCTCAAGGTTTGTCTGTCTTTTGCTTGGCGTGTTGATAGACGTTGACAAGAAGCGCCAGTTCATGCACATAGAGGCATTGCATCCCGCTTGGAGAGACGCTCGGGCGTTATTCCAGCTTCGCAGATCTGATCACATCCCCATGCCCATGTCCATTGTTCGCGAGCGTGAAAACGAGCAGCAGCGCCAATTGGAGTGGGAGTCGTCCTCAGTGGCACTGTCGAGCCCAATTGCTTCTCCGGCATCAAATTGCTCATCGTCTTCGGCATCCACTTATACATCGTCTTCAGCATCTACTTATACATTGTCTTCAGCATCCACTTACACAACATCAACTCGTCCTTCATCAGTGCCATCTATTGCATCAGTGACTTCTAACTCGTTATCACCTCTCAGCTGGGGTAGTACGAGCAAGCAAGGTCTACCAGGACATCATGCCCCATCTCATGCTCGTCCTTCATCAGTGCCGTCTATCGCATCAGTGCTACCGACTTCGAACTCGCCACCATCTCCCAGCTGGGGTAGTACAAGCAAACAAGACCTACCAGGACATTACACCCCATCCCGTCGCGATACAGCACTGTCTGTACTCTCCCAGTATAGTGACGACTCGGAGCCCGATGACCAAGTGTTCATCTCGCCGTCAGGCAATCCGCAGAATTAGCATGGGAGGTCCGGTATCCACGACCTCTTTTAACTTATTATCCCGTTGCGCGTAATATTTCTATCTCCTGTGTGTTCTTCCTTTCGGAACGATATGGTGTATTTCTACGCATCCCGGAGCCTCGTCATCATATGCTTTTACCAGTCCCACTCTTCATACATCCTTATTCAGCTGCGCTAAGACGTCGCGATCCAGAATTCCTCGTTCGCATGTATAATCGATCGGTTTCGATAATCGATTTGTGACAACACTGCGTCAGACTCGTTTCGCGGGGTTCTAATTCATACATCCTTCGACTAATCATACAAATATGCCCCATTTACTCCAATGACCAACTCTTATGCTCGCGTCACACGGAACGTTACACTCCTTATTCAAACAGTACGTAGTTGGATTACTACAAGGCCTCAGGTTTCATTGTTACCATTTTGTCAGGCGGCTGTAATAATATTTCAACTTGCTCATACGTCTCATTTGCAAGTGTATTGGGGTCAGGTTGGACTCGCAGAAGCTGCACAGGAAATAAACACTCGTCATTAGTGTTCGGTTTCACCCTCGAATGAAAACTTCCATTCCCCTCGTACAGCCACTCGCGCAGCGAATGAAACACCGGACGTTCTCGAATTGATCGACTATGGGGCTACCAGCGCCTTATCGACGAACGTGCGTTATATATACGTTCAAATCCGCAACAAACGTCTTTTTTTGGTCAGACGGTAGATCCGTGGCTTTATGGTTCCTGGTGTGCTCCGCCGCTCAGGAACACACGCACACGTCAGACTCAGAGTCGGGTACTCAAAGGTACATATATGATATCCAAATTTCCCCACTCGCCTACATATATAACGTCTATCGCATCGTGTACTGGTCAACGGTCAAGTCGAAATTTGCCCCACCTCAATCCAAATCCTGGTAACGGATCCAAGACTGAAGGATGGACTCCGCCGGCTTCTTCAAAGGGGATACAATGATGGAAGTGCGTACTTGTCATCTTGCATCGTTGAAAACGCTCCCATGAGGCATAGGTCTTCACAGTTCTAGCCAATTCTGGAACCGACGTCAAGAAAGTCCGGGACGCAGTGATATTATACATTGCACGGAAAAAGCAGAAGGGCCGGTCTGAACAACATATTCAAGATAAATTACTGCAACTCGAGGACAAGGTCAGTCATATTTTCTTATCCAACCCTTCAATGACACCAGATATTCCAGTTCAAGCATATCGAAATGTGGCATCCAGCATTCCAAGATGCGCGAGCATTATACCAGCTTCCCAAGTCAAAACACATTCCACCTCCTAAGTCCGTTATCCGTAAACAACATGAAAACGAGCTGCTTCATGTAATAGACATTGGACTGGTCCCCTCCCCTCTCAAGTTACCTGCGTCACCGTCGTGTAGCTCGCCAACCCCTAGCAGCTGGGATGGACCACCGCTGGGATTACAGGACCTACCATACGTGCTACCTGCCTTCTCTTGGGAAGACGAGAGTCTGGAATCTCGTGTGCATATTGCTCCATCGTCCCCTAGGCAAATAATTTCGTCCGACGCGCTTTCATTGCTCTCCCAATATGGTGACTCCGAAGGAGACGACGAGATCACAATGTTCCTATCCAACCTTGAGCAGAGCTAGCCAGAGTCGTAGACTCGTATCATACTCGACCTTATGCACGCCACGCCGTACGCTTCCTCCTGCCCCTTGTCTCACGCCCACTTAGCTCCTTCTCAACAATCAATAACTTACAACATTAAAGGGTTGTTGTGCTTGCTCTGCGTGTCGCCAACGCGTTGTTTGTCTACAAACGTTGTTACGCGCAGATCCTCACAGCACGTTGCTCTATTTCCCGAATCCCTTTACGGTTGCCTTAGGGCACACCGACAAAAAGGTGTCTTATGACTCATGACATATCGGTGGAGTCAGTCGCTAGCCTCGAACACTTTGCGTTAAACGAGCCACCCACTGATCATCCCGCTAAACGATAAACCCGAGGACATTCGCTGTAGATATCTTGGAAGTAATACAGCGGAGAAGGAGATTGATCTAGGTTATAATTTAAAATTATTCGTCAACAATATTACAAGTGTGCGTTTTCTTCCAGATCTCTGGTGAAGTTCAGCAGCAAAAATCAAACGGCGGTCACCGCTTACAGCCTATTGTCGGATAGGCGATGCATTGAAACAAAGTAAGAATAAAATATCTGTTAAACCGGTGCTCTTTCGGGCTCTATCACCATAAGATTAACCGCGCAGCAACTAAGCTTCATTCTACCTCCCCGCAATAAATATATATACGTAAGTATAAACTTTCACTGCCACATAGTATTCGAGAGGCTAAAGTCTCCCATATAAATTAATAATGACAAGCGGGGCAGTGCCTGTCACAAAAAGGATGACGGGCATATACTGGAAACGATAATAATTAGACTTGATGAGCAACAGCCCAACTTGCGGGGACAAGAAGATGCCCTTCAGGCCCGTGAACAATCTCAGCGGACGCCAAATGGCACAGTTCCGAGGATCTGAAATGTGCACGGAGGACATAACGACGGCACTTCACGACTCCGCACACAGAGCAGCAAACTTTTACTCTGAGATGAGCAAGGATATGCCTGGCCATGCTTCCCTTCTGGAGCATCTTGGAACAGTCGCCCCATGAGCAGCGTTGACTGGCACTGTCTGGACCAGTAATACCGTGCCTTCGGATGTGAGCAGAAATTGCACTGGGCGTCCCTTCTACACGCATGCCACAGAAACCCCCCTGTAATTTGCACTCATACACAACAACTGGTTGGCCACTTTGTTCGGCTCGAAACAAAGTTTCGGGATCGACATTAACGTCGATGTGGACAGGCATGTATCAGATAGCGGATCGTTGAAGGACAGAAGCTGCCAGATGAGCTTGTGAGAATGATTATGCTGCTGGCCAGCATTAATGATCGAATTACTCTTTAGAAATATGTACCAACGCACCAGAGGATTTCAAGTCGATTAAGAAGAATGCGATTAGAGAAATTTAGAATGCTACAAGTAGGGAGGGCCGAATTATAAGTGAAACGCCCATCCCCCCGGCTACAAAGCCCTACAGCATATATGCCTCGAGGCCATCAAGTGTGAGATCTGTACGCCGAGCGAGGTCAGACATAAGTGAATATCGTAAACTTGCCAACTGCCACTTGCCGTTCTCAAACATTTTAGTAAACGAATATCGGGCCTCTTACTCATCAGAATATGGTTCATTGCTGTGATCCGATGAAAGTGGATCGGGCGAAAACCCACAACGGTAACCACGCCCGCAAGCTTTCTTTCTAATAGAACTCCGAATCAGGGAACCTGCCAGTTTCCCTTTACGTTGATTCCAGTGCTCCCTGTCGTACCAAATACGACTTTATCGGCACATAAAACAATGTTTGTGGCTTACTAATCCTCTGATGGGCGGCTAGTCTGCCAGGGTATATTTTCGACTACGATCAAATCACCGAGTACTTCGTACTTGGCGCGACGCTTCCGAGATTTATCATCAGGCTGCAACAGATAGCTAAGTATTCATGTGAAGAGACCATCAGAAATGCACAGCAAGACAGACCTAGACCCAAGACTTTGGGGATTTGAGCACCTCCATCATCTTTCCTTCCGCCGAATCACTCTCTTCAAACATATCTGACATATACTCCCACCTTGCCATTTCTGGCATTCCCATCAGCACGTTCTCCGCATTGACTCCGGGTGCAGCCAATCCAAATTTAATTCCCCTCTCACAAACGAGGTTGAATTCAACATACCGCCCACGTCGAAGAAGCTGCCAACGACGCATACGCTCATCTGAAGGCATGATTTTCCGGCGATTGAGAATGCCCATATACGAGGAGGGGAATGCATCTCCGAGAGCACGTACGAAGGCGAATATGTCATCTGCTGTGCGGAGACGGGCTTCGCCATCTACGGAGCCTAGAATAGCGTTCATTTCGTCATTTAGATCATCAAATCTGATCCCTCCAATACCACGATACTCCTTGCGATGGGGAATGAAGAAATGATCGTCGCAAGACTGTTTGAATTTGGGATATAGGGCTGTCCCATAGGCGTCGCAAACCGCCTTCAGCGTCCCATGGAACTCCTTTCCATCCTCCTCGAACAGGTATGACGGCGAGAGATCCGTGATGCCACCAAACCACCACCCAACAACCTTTGCATCCTTCTCTGTGGAATCCATTACTTCAAAGTACCTGTAGTTTGCGTGCACACTTGGTGCATTCGGGTTGCGAGGATGTACGATTAAGCTGATACCGCCAGCAAAGAAGGGGAGGGCAGTCATAGTATTGGCATCCAGGGATGAATGCTCGCTGCTCATCTGCTTGATCGCAGCTGGGGGGAGTGTACCGTGAATCATGGAGATATTGACACCGGCTTTTTCGTAGGTAGCATCATCTCCGGAGGAGGCATATGTGCACGAGATGCCACCACCGCCTTGTGGACGTGACCAGGTATCGCGTTTGAACTGACACGGAGGGATTGAGGCATCCTCAAGAGCATTGATGATGCCGTCCTGGAGTTGGGTGATGTAGTCAATCACGCGCTGCCGCATCGTGGTCGGGATAGGCGACGACTCGGCATTCGACATCTTTTCTTTATGTGGGTGGCGATCAATGATTGCGCAGGAATCAAACTTATGCCTATCTTGCAAGTAGCCTAATTGTTCCCTAGTATAAAACCACGGAAACAACTCACGTCTAGGATCTCTGAGTCTTAGGATGCTCAAGATGATACTTATCGTAGAGTGTTAATATGTGAGATTAAAAGACTAACTTAGTACATAGTACCACCACCTAGGCCCGCACTGACAGCTGTGATCACGCGGGGGCTGGAGCGGACCAGATGATTTTATATATGCTCCCGCATTGGGAAGCTTCTAAATCACAATATTTCGAAGCGAATAATACGTACAGTAGTAACCGGTTGACTCCGGTTGACCACTGGCCATGCCAGTCGTGCATTAATCATGCATCATGGACGACTGCCGCAACGTGCGCAGTGACTCGGAGGCTCAATTGTTATCGCATTGGAGCGGCATTCGAGCTCAAGTACTTTACATAAACGGTAGGGTTCTTTGGGCGGTGGGTCTTCCGCCTCCTGAGATCACTCAGATTTGGCATCGTGGAGACATTCATGAACTTCTTTCATGATCAACACGAACTTATAATTGTTCTACCTTTTTCAAGGTTGGCCGTGACTAGGTGAGTCTTTCGTTATCGTATTGCTTTTCTGCTCATTCCTCCAGCGAAGTTTACAATAATATCGTATTGGTTTTGACTCTCACTGGTGATTTATGCGACATACGAGGATTTGAAACTATTTGAATTCTGCAGCCGTTGAGCGGTCTCCGCTCCTCCATAAAAAGTTCCCGCGGGACAACGAAGGACACTAACAACAATTTTGGGTCGCTTGCCCAGGCCTGCTCTTGCAGCCGGCCGCGGGCTATACGGCTTCCTTGCGTGCGGGATGAAATTTCCATCAAGTTCCCACTGACGATATTTTTTTGATCTGACACTTGATTTAGTCAGTGTCCTTGGTGCCTGGGTCACCCTTATAAGCGAACGGACTCACCGGAACTCACTCAGCTGTCACGGCGAGACACCTATCATGTCAAGCAATATAACCACACCTTCCCCGGCCATTATAGTGCCTCCTCCGCCTCCGCCTGGGACTAATTACATTGCAGTAATACAACCATCTCTGAACTCGATCATGATTGGGCACACCTTCACCATCATCCTGATTCCCCTGATTTTTGCGCTCTTTTACTTTTCCACTCCGCTTTCACGAAGAAGACCCATATTCATTCTCAATGTCATAGCCATCATTCTGGCGTTCACTGCTGGGGTCATGATTGACAGTCTTGCGGTCAGTATCATCGTTGTCTTTTACACATGTATATCATATATCATATTGATTCATTCGCAGATTCATTCAATGCTGTCTCCATTGAACCCATGGCCGCCATCAGTACGATTTTTTTTCTTTCACCGCCGCTTCTTACATTCTCATCCAGATTAACATCGCTATTGGAATTATAGGCGCATTTCAATCGATCCTTGTTGACCTCATCCTTCTGCTGCGTCTTACACTGATCTACCCTTACACTATTGTGGGCCCGAAACGCTTCGCCCTCGTCGCCGCACTTCCTGTACTCTTGAAAATCGCGCGTCTCGTCAACATGTTCATATTCATTAAAGTTCTTGCGGATGCTGCGCGTGGCCCAACAGGGAGTGAAAATATTGCAGTGGTGTGGGCCACCACACCCTGCCTCAAGATTGAGTGGTCAGCTCAGCTTGTCGATAATGCGTGGGTGTTTCAGCTTTGAGAGTAGGTCAGATCGTTGAAAGATTGCAGCTATGCCTCCATAGCCTTCCTCTGGGCAATCCGCCTTCGAAGAAATTATAGATCAAGTGAAGTCAGCCCACGGAGGAGTACGTTGCCAATTTTTGTAGGGGTCAAGTTTATGTTAACACTGATATCTAGCGACGTTTGGACAACGCCTACGCACTCTTTTCTACATAGCGGTCTCTAACTTCGTCTTCCCTTCTCTCTTGTCCCTCGCACAGCTGGTTGTTGTGTACAAAAACGTATACGTCCTCACAGTCAACGAGATCGTGCTCGTCAACACCATGGTTGCTGTCATTGGTGTCGTGTTTGCGACCGTATGGGCCGGCTCTGTAAACTACCAAGACGAGAAAACCGAGCCCGACGTGTTTGAAAAAGCGCACATGTCATTCGATGGACCAGGAACGTGGAAAGTCGCCACAGTCCAGCCTAATTTGACAATGGGATCCACGGCTATCACTGAACAGACGCGCAGCGCTCGTGGGGAGGCGATCAGGCTCGTTGACACGAATCAAACTTCAGGTGGGTAATCGGCAAATCCTTTCGGGATCATTAATCCTAACTCTCCATTTATAGACATCTTTTCGAAAACTCCTGCAGGAGATTCACGAGGACAAGGGGCTCTCTGATTAGCTCTAGTCCCATAAAATATCTTAGGCGCCTACATGCATTGTATGCAATCGTGGCAAGCATGCAAAAATGGAGTAGAGGTGCCATGGTGTCAATGCTATACAGATGAGTTATTCGTTAACGCGTCAACACCTCTTATGGTGCGCAAACACGCGCAACGACAACAAAAATTGTCGGGGTGAAACGGATAATTAGGTTACATTGTCACATCTGCTTGACTTTGGTGCCTATTCGAGTGAAGCATGAGAAGTCAAAACTTGAATATCACACCATACCGTTCGACCTATTGTGGTGCAATGAGATCATCCGATTAATTTCTTGAAGTTGACAATGAACTGTAGGAGAGGAGGGTGGAAAAGGAAGACTACACTCTGAGTTAGGCAGGTAAGCTTAAGCTATCACTCTTACCAAGACAAGCTGCGTGGGATGAGAAACGCAGTGACTAGGTCAAGCAGCTGTAGCATGATTGAGACGCGAGGTCCGCAGGAGGGAACCCGGTAATATCATCGCAATGTTGCATTTGTTGATGTTCATTGAATGCTAGGTAGCGGTTACCACAAGACAAGTTCAGACAACCACGCAGGCATCACCCTAGAATTGTGGCTAAAGGTAACTTCCGCTCCAGGTACGCGGTATTTCACATCGGAGGCAAAAGCATGAACGAAACATGACACTGCCCTATCAGGTCAGAGTTGATGCACCAATTCAAGCTGTCTTCGTGCCGCCGTGTCCCCCTTTAGCTACTCAGCTATCGCGGGGGTCGGAGAAACAATGCCTTTCGTGCTAGCATTGCTTGCACAACCAAACAAACACAACGCACATACTCATCACCGGGCCGATTGTGACCTACCCCTTTCTCAATCAGCTGTGCCAGATCCTAGGCAGTGTCCTTAGGTGTCCTTGAGCTCGGTTTGGTTCATGTTTTTCTTTGCTTCCAATTTGACACCCTGCCTGCTCAGGGATCTGATTCCGAGAGTTAGGTAGGTCGCCGTCCGCTGTGGTCGTGGGGCACGTAGTTGACGACATGTGGAGGTCTGTTGGCAGCGAGGAATCAGGGAGGAAGGAAATGATGGGATATGAACACCGTTCTGCAGAAGTCAAAATGGTCTTGGAAGTCATGTGCATAGAAGGAAACCTCTACCTGTGAGCAACGTGTTAACTAGTAGGGCATACGCTTGAAACAACGAGTCACTCAAAAAATCGAATGTCCAGAACGGCGGTTATTACAGGCAACCAAACTCGAACACAAAGAATTTAAGATCGTCCCTAGCGCTGAGGCTTGAATGGGCTTGAAAGCATGAGGTCCTGGGAAGACGTCCGAGTCTCGAGAATGGTCCCCATTTCTATCCGTTGAGAGAAAGACTGAAAACATTGGTTTATCTGACGAGTCAGCAGTGGTCATTTTAATAATCAATAGGTTAGAACGTACTTGCCAATTAACCTCCTTGCCAGTAGTCATTCGGGGAGCCAATCCTGGGCAGCTGTGTGATCGCGAACTGCCAGATCCCGGTGGCCCAGTGTCGTCTGTCGACTGCACTTTAGAAGCAGTGCCGGAACTTTAGAAGCACAACAATATCGATACCGTTGACAAAATACATTGATGATGGATGTGATAAGTGATGTGAGCTAGACGCAGGACTCCACGTGCCACGCCGCCATGCATCAATATGAAGAATTGCAGCCGCTTTCCTCGCGCCAATTGTAGGCGACAATAAAGTTTTTGTGCATATCCTGATACTGGCACTTATGGGCCTGGGGTTCACTTCATCGGCTTGGGTTACAGCTGGGTTCCATTGCACCACAATCCAAGTAGAAGACAGTACATCCAGCGTGGTACGACTTGGTTGAACTTGGCGGCCGGCTTGAAAATTCATCGTTCCTATGAAGTCAAACATCTCTATGTAACCCCTACCGCCACATTTATGTGAGATTCATGTTGTGATTAACATATAGTATAGTCCACTATCAATATGTTCATCAGTTCGCTATGGTGTACTTGAAGACTGAAAGACATTGAAACGCTCAGTGCCGGGACACACCTACTGGATAGAGGACGAGTTTGCGAAGTTCTTGATATCAGAAGATACGATACTCTCGCATTACTTGAACCAGATACATACAGTCTCGAAGCCAACACACTCGGAGTTGGAGATCAAAATCCTCGGACCCGTGTTGGATGGATGCACACTGCAGCTCGATCGAGTAAAGAGTTCAATTCTGTGCGAACACCGTGACCATATTTTTGACCTGAAAATGAGATGGATCAACAGTTTAAAAAAACGCAATGCAAGGACAAGCTCTCCGTCGAGGGAGAAATTGCGGAGATGAAGCTGCCCTCAGCATCCTCGTTGTAGACTCGGTCAACTGACCGAAAAAGAAGCAGCGTTTTTGGCGTTTCGAGCAATTTTGTATAGCCACATGCAAACAGCTGTTCGGTAACCATTTTGCTTTTCTACCACTTACCACCGCTCATTCATTCGTTTACTACCCCCTTCCTTTCCTTTCACAATGCCAGGTCTCATGGCGTTCTCTCTCTTTTTCTCATTCTTTCTTGGCATTTTTTCGGCTATTGGAATCGGTGCGTCTGAAACACATACCATAAAGTTTATCAACCAGTATGTCACACATGAAGGAATTACGCCACAATTCTGACATAAATCACAGATGTGGCCACGGAACCGTGAGCTGCACCCCTCAACCCGTGCGGGGAAATAATTAGCTCACATTTTTCTCTAGCCATGCTTGGTCGTGAATGGCCAAAACGTATCTACTGGACAAGACTATGTCGTCAATGGCATATTTTCCGGAATCGCGTGAGCTTCACTCCTTCCTCCTGCGATGTTGGCTCAACCATATGTCCACCAGATACTTACAGACTGGTAAGTAAAGCACTCATATATGTATCGTGTCAAGTCAAACATCTACACAGGTCAGTGTAATACTAATGGCGAAGATTGCACGTTGGTCGAGATGAACTTGGTCAACCCAGCCTGTGCGGGGTGTGGCTCCAGCGTCGATATTTCACTCATTGATCCGTGAGCTTCTTTTTTGTGAACACAGATCTACCCTCACCACTTCTGCTTAGTCATATTTTCAATGTGGAGGCCTCTTTTGCGTGAGTATGCAGATTTCCACACATATTAACGTCCTGACAACCGGATAGGTATTACAACGGATGTGACGGACTTGGAGCTGATTGTAAGTCATGTCTGGTATGAAATCCATGTTTATGCTTACAAATCGCTTCAAGGCAACAACGCCGACTGTGCCGTAGCTTTCTATGCACCAGAAGACTGGTATGCCCAGCGTCAATGTGAAGTTAATAATGTATGTAGCTTTGAAATACCGGATTCACAAACTAATCAGTGGTGACACAGGTGGACCTCCTCATTGCATTTTGCGCCAACGCATCCGAGATTATATTGGGTGGGAGTGCTCCTTCTTCAGCCTCTTCGAGCTCCACCGTCCTGAGCACCCAATTGCCATCAACCACTGCGACATCGACAAGGACAACTCTATCGAACCCTGCAACGTCGCAGAATAATCCACCTACCACCACCCATGTCAGTGGTACACCATCCTCCACTGGTAGCAGTAACCCGTCGTCCAGCCCCAAAAAATGTCAGACGCGGCCAAACAGCACCGGCACTCTTGCAAAGCGCGAACCTACGGGACTCGCGGCAAAGATGCACCGCCAGCGTCGGTCCTTCTGAGGATGATGCGCTTTGCCCATCCTTTATTTTTTTTACAGTTATTGATTAACTGCGAGCGAGATTGCTGTTTTTGCTATGTAGTTTCTGCAGAATGTCTTGACATAGTCTGATGTTTTGTATATCCAGCCCTACTTCACATTCACGCATGCGTGAATTCCATTCATCGGGAGGACGCCCAGGTGGCATTCTAGATGTTATTTTGTTCTCCATTGTGTAGCCGGTCTTAGCTTCCTCAATGCCACCATAGATATATTGTCTCCTTTGTGTTTTCCTGCTGACCTGGCTGCGAAGTCGTCAGATCCTTCATGTCTTCCATTGAAATTTTATGATACGATGTATGAACATGCGTATTACACGCTTTGTGAATGCAAGTCGCATTTAATCAAATCAACAACGCCTCCCGGACATACACCCGCCCCTCATAGTCCCTTAGAGTGACCTTTTCCTCCAGTCCGATCCCCTCACCCTCGTAGTTGCCCAAAACGAATGCGTACCCTGCCACTCCTCCGATGGCCTTCCCCAGGTCAACCTCGGCCTTCCCCTCCTTGAAATTAAGCAGCACTAGCGCAGACGTAGACTCATGGTTCCGTGTGTACGCAAACACCTGTTCATGTGCGTCGAGAAGCATTACGAAGTCGCCAAAGATCTTGGTGTGGGCACGCGTCAGCATTAGAGGAATGGAAGGGGTAGGTGCGGAGATGTAGATAGAAATGAAGGATGATAGTCGAAGTTGAGTTAGAACGGACTGCATGCAGCATAACATATTTGGAATGACTTACGAGAGCATCGTGCGTCTTCCGCACCTTCAACGCGCGCTTCCAGAATGCGTGCACGCTGGTTTCATCACCGATCTGTTGTTCAGCGTTGCACTCTGGATAATCGTCGTTTACGCGCATCCATGGTGTACCAGTCGTGAAGCCTCCATGTACACTCGCGTTCCACTGTAATATTAAACGAGATCATGGAAGGAAGAGATAAAATAGATCTCACCTGCATCGGCGTCCTTGCGTGATCGCGCGCCTTTTGCGCGAAACTGTCGAGAAGATCAGACATTTCAACGTCCTCCTTCCCTTGCGCTTTCTGTCTCTGCTCTTTAATCCTATTCCATCCTTAGCACTTGGGCCCACCTATAGAAAATACAACCCACAAACTCCAATAGTTTTGACTCGCCACATCTTTGTATTCCTCGATCCCCCATGTTCGTGGGAAGTTCTTGAGACCAAGTTCCTGCCCCTGGTACACGTATAGTGTCCCTGTCTGAGTGATCTCAAAGATAGCGAGCATTTTGGCGGAGATGGCACGCCACTGCGCCGAGTCGTTCCCAAAGCGCGACACCGACCGCGCGTGGTCATGGTTCTCAATGAAAACCCTTTGATCGCGCCAAGCAAGATGAAACATCATTAGTCCAACTTCCGTTGATATCACGAAGAACTCACGCATTCCAGAACCCATCATCGCGCATGAAACGTTGCCAGCGACCAACGATTGCCTTGAGCTCTGCAAGCGCCCAAGGTTTCCTAAGGAGTGGTGATTCGGAGGGCGAGTCAATATCCATGAGCTCGAAGTGGAAGACCATGTTGAGCTCGCGGTTCTGCGGAAGGACGTATGCGGCGAGCTCGGACGCCTCATGTGTGAAGGGCGTTTCGCCGACCGTGATGAGGTCGTGGTCTGTGGGAGTTCGGTTAGTTAATGAGAGGATATGGGGAAAGGAAGGGACCCACGCGAGAGGACTTCGGTATGCATTTGTTTGATGTATTTGTGGACCTGCGGACTGGGGAGGTCGAGCAGTGTTCGAGTAGAGATGAACGAACTCACCCATTCGCGAAGTACATGCTGGCAGGCTGGTAATTCTGCGCGTGATCCACCAGAGGCGCATCGGGGAGACCATCCGTCTTCGAGATGAGATTGATCACGTCCATCTGTGGTAATGCCCGTTGTTTTGTGAAAGAAGTAGGGGGAGAGAATGCACGTACGCGGAACCCGTCACACCCTCTGCGTACCCAGAATCGCATGACGTCCCAGACGGCGGAACGCACAATAGGGTTGTCCCAGTTCAAGTCCGGTTGCTTAGACACGTACAGGTGGAGATAGTACTCCCCAGTTGCGGGGTCACGTTCCCAGGCGGAGCCTGTCACACAGTATGAATTGACAACGAAACCGTTAGACCGAGTTAGTGGTCCGAAGTGACAAGAAAGATGGGATGACCGCTATCGCCATGCAAGGAGGTCAAGGGCAACGGATTCACTTACCCTGAAACACGCTCTTCCAGTTGTTCGGCGGAAGTTCTACCCCGTCGACAACCTTACCAGGACGCCAGATGTACCAATCGCGTTTTGGGTCATTTTTGCTTGATTTTGAGGTGGTGAACCAGGCGTGCTGTCAATATGTATGTAATCAGTCCACGAAAATAATTGGTAGAAACCGGAACCATATGGTAAGCCAGAAAGATAAAAGGTCAAGGGGGCTTGCCTCGTCGGACGTATGATTCACCACCAGATCCATCCTGTCAAAAAGACCCGGGTTGACACCGAGAAACAGGTTAGGGCTCGAACGATACACACATAAGCTTCATCCCCCGTGTGTGCACGCCTTCGAGAAGGCGATCCCAGTCTTCAAGGGTGCCATAGCGCGAATCAATGTCCTCATAGTCAGAACTGAGGTGGTTAAAGCATGAAGTACCAAAAAGTAACGATTAGCGCTCACATATCATAGCCCATATCAGCCAATGGGCTGCGATAAATCGGGCTAAGCCATATAACGTCCACACCAAGATCCTTGAGATAGTCAAGTTTGGCGATGATGCCTGCGAGATCGCCAGTCCCATCACCGTTTGCGTCAAGGAATGATGCTGGATAAATCTGGTAGACGGTTGCAGATTTCCACCAGGGATGTGGTGGCGTGGGCATTGTGGACAAGGATTAGAGTGCAAATGCGATGGACTGGAGCAGGGTATATATATAAGATAGATGCGTGATACAAGATATGAAATATAATACATGAGCGTGACCCGAATTCGAACACGAGGCCATGCATCTGCCAGGGTGAATGATTAGCGCTATAGCTTCGGCGGGCCCAGCCATGCATGAATATGTAAACTCCACACATGGTGACATTTATGAACTTCTGAGTGCCACTCCACCAGTGCCTGTCTAAGAACAACTTCGGGGCGCGGGGAGATACATCGTGGCAAACGACAAATTGCGTTGACACATCAAAGTAACCAATAGGCAGTGACTGTAAACACACCATATCAATCGTTTAGCCATAAATTTTGGAAGTGACCTAGTTGCGCTTACAATATCAATGATTCAACTTCGTCGCATGTCTTCGACGTGAGATATCTTCTGCTGCACGTCCTTAACACCTTTAGACGTCTGATCCTAACCCCCCATTGTCAGACCTTGAAAAAGAAACTTGTCCTTCTTGTCATCTGTGCCCATTCTTGGAATGTAAAATAGTCAAATGTCGTATGGTGAGGTGCTTTGATTGATTCAATGACTGGCGGGCTGGTCCGAGACCGACTGGAAGGCTCCTTGCAACCGGAAGGTGGGGAAAAATTCTGTGTTCTACATAACAAGCTAATCAGTCCATGTATGAGTCAGGCGAACGATGATCGCTGTCTATCGCATTTCCGTACTCACGGAGCTGGTCCGACTCGGACAAGTCGTAAGCGGCGTGGCGTGCTCGATCTGAACAGGTGTTTCGTTTTTGGTAGGCGTCGCGACAATATTAGTAGGAAGAGCTGCTGCGGAGGTGGGTACTCGCTGTGTCCTACAGTGCTCCACAACCTCTTTTCGCAGCTCGGGACTGACCACAAGGAGGTCGTCAGCGCTTCAGCAGCTAGATCATCATATGAATTACGTCCGAGATCTCACCATTTGAAAGGGAGAATCGGAGTACTCATGAAGAAACATGAATTTCTTGTCCGAAGAGCTTGTACTGGTTCGTGAGGCTTCATAAATCAAAGTCGACCAGAAGCACACACTAGCAGCTGGTCAGTATATGGATGTGAACATTAATGCCATAGAACTGTAACTTGCAAGTCTATGTTGGGAGGCCCTCGGTGATTTCAATTTCACTGTCTGTACAGAGTCGAAGTTCGTTCGCCTCAACGCTGGCAAGTTCGTCGTTGTCGAAGTTGCCGTTAGCGTGTAGCCCGATGTTTTCGTGTCTGGTTGTGACTGCGCAGAAATCACGTTACATGTTCTACAGCGATAAAGGTTGCTTTCTGTCTTACTAGGGGTCGGCGTTGCCGACTTTTTACCTTGCGGAGCTCTTTCGCTTAATTTGACTTGCCCACAATATCAACAGGGCCAAATATCTTTGATTACTCGCCGTTCAGACGCACAACATTCTGAGCATGATACAAAAGGCTGTAAACTTTCATATGGGTCCATATTCACCTTCATTAAAACGTCTCTCGGCGTCTTCTACCAGTTCTCGCATTCTTTCGTCTTCTATACGAAGATCTTCCAAAGGGTGTCGAAGGGGTCTACGATGTAGCTTAGCGTGTTCGAATTGCTGAAGACTTCCAACGCCGAATGTGCTTTTATATTTAGTATGTTTAATTCGTTATGTGCATTATTTATCGTTGATGAGTGTCTCATCAGTCGAACGCCAATCTCGCGGCACTCCTCATATCTTCATTCAGACTGCGGCCGCTGTCCAAGAAGCCTTTGAGTCTAGCGGGTCTCGAATGATTTATACAGACTCTCCTACCATCCTTGCAGATCAAGTGTTATGTGCAGATCCAGCAGAGTTTAATCGTACGTCAGTTAGTTATATGTTGGCGTCTTTTACCCTAATTTATTACTGAGGAATCGCTCAGAAAATGGCACGCGACTTAGATACTATAGTGGTGTATGCAGATACACTTCTGTTAGTAGAACGGTTGAGAGATGCTGCTCTCAAAATTCCTCGAGTGGTCAGTTAAGAAATTGGTGCTTGGGCTGTTTGTCTGACAATTAACTTACGGACTTTCTGTGTTCTCTTTTGCTGCATTTTTGATAATGGTTATGTCGTTCGTTCGTCGTATTGTCCGCTGTGAATGAAGTCCATGACACCTGTTGTGATGACATAATCTGAGTTAGTCATTTGCTCGTGTCTAATTGCGGAATGCGCCAGGCTGTTGACTTTCATACAGAAATGACGGCAAGCAGCTACATTTGTAGAATCGCAGGTCAGACGATCAATTGGAGTCGTGGTTCATATTCAGGCGAGTAGTCTTTGTCACTATGCATTTTTTCATATCTTGGACAGGTTTCAGGTATAAATCAATTTGGACGCATTCGCGCTCTCGTATGCTCTGGATATTGGAGCACATACCATCCTCGCATATGCTGTGTGCTTTTGCATCAGCGTGGTTGAAACAACCTCGAGGTTAATTGTTCGCGCTGTTATCGAACCTCGGGCCGTTCATAGCATGGCATATGTGTGAGGGCCAGTGATGAAATGAGTTTGCCGGATGGATTTTAAAAAAGTAGTGTAATTATTGTTCGGGAGGATCGTTCTTGAAGATACTTTGTACCATTATCTCATTCGCCATAATGTAATTCTGTGCAGAATCAGCAATAACGCAGTCTAATTCATTTTGGTGTGTCTGGTGTCAGACGGTTCGCGATGATCACGTGTATATTTTGTGATGTTTACCACCACAGGTCACGCCGCATTCATAGACCTTGCTCCGCAAGGTAATTACCGTGCGGAGCACGGTCAACTACAATGTAGCGTAATATGTGGATTCAAAATAGTGACAAATAAACACCTATTATAGCAAGAAGGAAAACCCGAGACACAGGGAAAACAAACGTCATAACGAAATCCGGAATATAGCGTTCTCACGGATAGCTAAGGAGTAAACAATGAACCCAGTCATCTGATGTCTACTATAGAGGTTGTGTGGATGCAGACTCTTTATCCTTATACATTTGTGTTGCTGAAGTGTAAAATGTATTTGTAACTCGGGTGCGACCATCATGCTCTAACCATGCACATTTGTGTTTAAAGTAATCTACAGGATGAATTGCTTCCTGACTCTCCCCACAGACAAAGAGCAGAGAACGCACCAGAGATGGATGAAGAAACTAAAAACTGCAGGCCAATTTCGGACAATTTTGCTAAAGATTTCAATGCCATTAAATACAAGTTTGCAGCACATCCACTTCCCCTCTACCACGACAACCACCTAGTACAACCTGAACATGCCAACAAGATTCTGAATGGAGCTATCATTGAAGTTCAATTCCACATCCAACACTGGCACATTAAAGAATTCAATAGCTCCCAAGCTGCAGTGAAACTTGGTCCAATTCATGTCCCATCAAACCACAAATGCACACATCCAGGTGGAGACACAGAGTTATCAGGACAACCTGTATCAAAAAGAGCACGTCATAACAAAGAAGCAAGTTCATCCAAGTTGTCCGAAGCTTAATAAAAATTTCGCTGTTCCTACAAATGATCTGTATTTATATTGCACAATCTGACCTTGCTCTGTGCCATGTCAAAGACTGATGGAACAAAAGGATGATTGTGGGAGCAACAGCCCAACAAGAAACAACAAAGTGCGAATCACTCCACATGGTCACAAGTTGGCAATGCCAACCCCTAGTTACATAAGGATCTTCAACTTTGATGTTGGCTGATTACACCAATTTTCTCATGCATCAATGGAACATCATACACAACATGACATGAATGTGTTTTATCAATTTTGCAAGGAAGTTTTTCTCATGTTATGTTAATCTAGAGTCTGTTTGAGCAGCCGGAAATTTGTGCAGCGATAGTAAGCATATCAATTAACTGCATATTGAGTGATCAATCACTGGGCCAACGTGAAAGCAGAAAGACGACCCACTATCGCGAACATGCTGCGTTCCAAGCCAATAAAAAAAAGCACTACTGGCAGTACCAGCCACCTCCAATCTATGGTACAAGGCGTAAGGGGTAAGTCATGGAGTTGAATTCCAGATCCAAAGCAGATGGATCATACTCACAGCCACTTTGCAAGTAAGGCCTTGGCAGCATACATCGGCAGTCGGGTCACTCGAGCCGCAACTCCCGAATTGATCTGTGCATATACTGACAGACATAGATATTGTCGAAGCAACAACAACAGCAAGGAGGAATGAAAAACGCATGTCTTGTGCTGGGTAATTTGGGATGCGTCCAGGGGATCTCGAATGATAGCTCTGATACTGGTAATAGGAGGAGTTGAAGGTTTGCTTATATATCCCACAAATTGCGAAGCACTCGGCAGTTCTATCAGGATGATTGCGGCTGGCGGACTTCAGTACCACAGATAGAGCCACATGGTCGGCGGGTGAATAATCCAGAGTAATAGATGGTAGCAAAGGCCGGAATGACAAACAATTAATAGCGATAGACGCGCCTTTGTTTCAATACCAAATAGAATGCTTCAGTAATTTGTTACATTTGGCAGTACTGCAACATCAACTATAACATTAATCGCAATCGACACATACCAGAGGCTGCGAAACAGCCATGGGCCAACGCGCCCGCACGTAGCAGGAGCTTGAAGGTCACAGCCCAAGTACCAGACAGGATTAAGCCATCGAATTGTCAAACCGTGTGCTTCGGCTCTCGCAATTCGGAGGCTTCGTTGTCCAAAGACCTGTGGTGACCTCATTTACTTACCTTACAGCACATGGAACCCGTTGTTGCAATACTTCACAGGTAAACAGAGGCGCTTAGACGAATTTTCCAAAACCTAGTCCATCGATATGAAAACTGCTGGAATCTTGATGCATCCGACCGCGTCAGCAATTAATGGCAGGCTATCGATCCCGCGACCGAAACTTCTTTTCTTCCCAAAAAATTTCAATTTTTGCTGGTGGCTTTCGGAGGCGGTGTCATAGGAACTCGAATGTCCTGGGGCGACTTCGCGAGAACGGTCTCACATCAAAATCGATATTCGCCATGTTCTCGAGATGCAGTGATTTACCAGTCACTCTCCTGTTTCTTACCTGTGCCTTTTGACTCCGAGCTCTCGTATAAGGATAGCTTTAGGCCTGCCAGTTGAACTTACCTAGTAACTGTTATCCACGCAATTAAGGGGCCAGCTAGAAATGCTGCATAGTTTTGCCTGACTCCTTTGAGATGGTCGTTGCACTACCAAAAAAAATCATCCTCTGCAAACAAATAAACAAGACGAGAAAATAATTACTCCGGAATCACAGAAGTAAGGTCCACTCGCAGTTAAGACAATCGACGGTAAGATGGACTTGACAAATTATGCGTTTCGCACCTAACATGGGGAAAGTCTCACCCAGCTGGGCAGGTCGATCAATGTTCCCTCAAATTTGTCTGTGAGAAGCAAACATGACCGCCTGAGCTACCTTGTGCCGACACACTCGATGGCCAACCCTGGACCCAACCCTGCAGAAAGAACACATCATCCTTTGTTGCTGACCACTGGCAAGAGAGCCTGAGGTTCTTCACAGGTCCTTTGCTTCCTATCAAAGATTTAATCCGTATGATGATGAGACTCAGCTGCTCATGAGTGTGGTTAATGTGAAGAAATACTGTGGACGCGAGAGATGGAGGAAAGACGCGATGCAAATGTTAGTCGTAAATTTCAGTCTGTCGAAAGTCAGATGAATGGTTACATAAGCTAGGAGCTACACTACATTTATTCACCAAGAGTGCTTCATCGCTCCTCCCAAATGTCTTCCATAGGTCCACAAATTCCAGCACACCTTCTTCCAACCGTCGCATCAGCCGAGGATTCTGACGAAGACGACGATTACACACCGGCTCTGCCACCCGACCTTGCTGCCTCCCGCACAGCTGGGCCCTCGTTGCCCTCACAGAGCAAATCGAATACACCGCCTCCAAAACGACAATACGTAGGACCATCATTACCTCGCTCGCAAGCTCCTTACGATGATGACTCGGATTCAGATGTTGGACCTCAACCACTTCCTGCAACTTGTGCTTCGCGAATAGAAGGAAAGTCAGGCGTGGAAGAGTTCTTGGAGAGGGAGGAAAGAAGAAGGAAACTTCAGGAAGAGGCGAGCAAGCCGAAAAAGCTTCAACGGGAGGAGTGGATGCTTGTACCTCCAAAAAGTGGCGACTTATTGGCGTGTACGTTTCATTCAAGACGTGGTTCTTTAAGTTGTGCACTTATCAAAGTCATATAGCGCTTGACCCGACGAAAGTCAGGCCTCGTCAGTTCGCACGTAGTGCTGCACCATCACGGGACAATTCTGGATCCTCCCTTTGGACCGAGACACCTGCGGAAAAACAGCAACGCCTTGCTGACGAAGTTGCTGGACGGAAACGACGTGCAGCAAATGCGCCACCAGAGGAGGACTCGCATGAGATAGCTAAGCGACGGCGACGGGATGAGGAGATTCGTAGAGGAGTCGAGGAGCACACAGTACGTGACCTTTGATTGATTGTCTGTTTGAAATGGAACTTGACGCATCATTTGCCAGCGCAATGCTCGTGGTTCAGCCCTTGTCGAGTCACATATAGAACGAGAAAAAGAGGAGGAGACGCACAAGAAGAATGAACCCTCGGTTATCTGGGATCATGAACGCGATATGTCTCTAGGTGGACGGCTTATGGACGATAAACAGAGGCAGAAGATGCTTCGGGATGCCAAAGGACTGGGAGAGCGTTTCGGTAGTGGGAGCAGCGGAGGTTTTCTGTGAGTTCCTGACACTGCGAAAGAGCTGGAACCCCATCAGGTCTTTGTCGTGGACCGTGGCATCTCGTGAGTTCTATTGGTTTCTTATTCATGGTATATTTTTCTTGTATGATATGTCTTATGTGGGTATCTATATACAGTGCTCGCTCTTGCTGCGGAGACTTCTGCTGTCTCGTCCGGCATAATCGTTGCGTCATCAACATCATCATCGTTAACCTGAGTGCCGAAGCTATACGCTGTTGGATTCTGAAAGCTGAGCTTAGACGGATTATGCAAATGACCTCGAGAGCACTACTATCATTCCGGTATTTTATACCTCTTCTCCATTGCGAGCTCTGTCGTGTGATCGGACTATGTAAATTTATCTATTTATCTATTCCTTGACCCTCTTGTCTGTCTTACTTATGTGTTTTTTTGTTTGAAAATTTTATCTGTGGTAAAAATAGATTGTCGCTCGCGTTGATTGTCTCTTCTGTCGGTGTCCGAATGGTGCACTGTGCGGCATGAGTGACGCTCGGTCTTCGCTGATAATTCCTTAGGCACTAAACCCACATACCACCGCGGCGGTCCAGCCTGTGTGCACGTTGTCTCAACGTGAGTGACAGGAATGTCGAGTAAACCCTGACGTGCAGTGCGTACCAAAAATATTGACACATGTGCTTTCATTGCATCGGATTGTGTCCCCATCTCAAACATGCTGCCATTGTCATGCAGCCAGTGCGACGCAGCGGATCTCAGGGAATCTTCAAATCGACTAAATTGTAGGTCTTCGTTGAGCTGCCGTGCTGTTCGCGAGGTCTGGTAGAAAGTCGAGCCTAGAATGAAGGCGAATATTTCTTCTTTGAACTGACCAGTCAGGAGTGAGTCCAGCGAAAAAAGACAGTGCAAATATGGGTGAGACGAGCGGTGCCACATCCATGCTCCATGCATGCATGCCACAGGAGGTGTCTGATGCAGTGACGAGTGAAAGTTGGGATTTGCTGGTGCTCCTGCCAATCCTGCGTGTCCCAGTCAGTGCATCTGATCGCGGGTGGTCTGGAACCAGTAGTTATGCAACTACCACGAGTGCTAGCAGTGACTCTAGCCAATGAGAAGAGGAAGTGGCTTGCACTGGAAGTGTCGTGTGTGACCACTTCAAATGCCTCAGATACCATTTAAATCCTCCAAGAAACACAGCTGACGCGTCGACTGTTGAGTGACAGTACAAAAGTGAATGTATACATGCAATCAACCACTCACAATAAAAGAACCAAGAGTCAAGTGAGGAAGGAATTCCACATGCACGGGCGGGTGATTTTGGTGATTGGGGTACCGGGGATGCATTGATGTGAACTAATCTGTAGCTAAATCTAGATGAATCGAGCGTTCCATGATCCGACGAGTGTCTGTGCTATGCCCTCCTTATCACAACGTCTTCGCATTCTATATCCCCCCGAATGAGGGCACAGCATGTGTTGTTGCCGTGGATATAGGACATACTGCCAAGGGTCCTCTGCGCCAAGTACGTAGATAACACGTACTGCAGTTGCACTGTGTATCCCCCACATGCCATAAATTTGGGGTTTTCGTTGCACACCGGTATACTGGGACCATACAAAATCGTGATCACGACAATAAAAGTATGAAAGAAGTCCTTCTGATGGAGGTGAGGCTGACCTCATGCGGTGAGCCCAAGGAGATACAGCGGCGAAAAGAGGATAGAGCGGCTATTTTGGAGCATCCACTGAAAACATCCTTGCGATAACAAACGAGCGTGAAGACCGGAAACAATCAGTACTGGGTTTGGGCGTCGACTGGGCCAATGGATGAGTGGGATCGACGAATGTTCTGACGAGCACGTTCAAACAATGAGTGGGGGACGTGTTAAGCTCGCTGAATTTGGCTGTAGTACTAGTTGTGATAAGGACCTCGGACTTCGGTAATCGGATGGAACCGGGCGAAAATGAAAGTGTGCAGTGATCAGTCACTGCAGTGGTCTAGACTCTACTGGATCTCGAAAGTTGCAACCGACGATATAAAGTCAAGCAGTAGATGCGAGCTTGTATCGATTCACACACGAGGTCATCTTATACGATTTCATTATAAATTACGGTATACACAATTGTTGTCCTCCGGAACGACTTGAACGATGCTATCACACGACACTTCGCACAAGCTGGGTTCCTCCTCGCGGAAAAACAAAACCCACATGCCCACTTCCCTATACAAAAGCACGGGCCCTGCCTCCCCCTCCCGCCCACGCAAACTCCCACTAAGTTCACTACGCCTGCGCCCAATACCCAATTCCTACTGGGCGACACCCCTCCTACTCGCATGCGAGTATCCCTGGTCTCCTTTTGAAACCTCCACCCAAAAACTTGACAAGCTCCTCGCCGCTGGCGTCCGCACATTCATCGACCTCACTGAGCCTGAGGAACTCATGCCTTACAAGCCCCATCTCCCAAGGCACGTCAGTGCCGCTGGCCTCGACGCGACTACCATCTCTTACCACCAGTTCCCTATCCCTGATCGTTCGCTACCTCACAGGCCAACGTATTTCATGCGTCTAGTGCTAGATGTGCTCAGGGAAAATGCAGAGCAAGGGCGCGTGTGCGCTGTACATTGCCGTGGTGGGATTGGGAGGACCGGCTTAGTTATCGGGTGCTGGCTTGTAGAGGCAGGAATCGCGAGGGACGGCGAAGAAGCACTGAAGATCATAGAACGGGAGTGGCGCACCGTCGAGAAGTGCAAGCGCTTCCCGCACTCGCCAGAGACTGGTCCCCAATTCGAGTTTGTGAGGAACTTCACGAGTCCAGCGACGGTGCGTGTCTAGATAAAAGGCCTAGTGCGCGTGTCCTGCATTATTTTAGTAGGCCTGTTCTGTTTTCCTACTCGCGCCCTTCTCACGGACGCGTTTTCAGCGTACCTCGTATCCATCCTTCCACGCCCCTATAAATCCTACCTTGCTGTGGCTACTATATCCCTATTCATATTTTCCTGGCCGCCTACCGGTTCTGCTAGTCTCATACGTGCCTGGACACCTTCCCTCTTGTGCCGGTCACATTCTCACTTGCGCTGGTGATGTGCACAATCATATCACAGATAATGAAACGTGGACTTACCATGTCACAATTACATACATACGTCTTCGAGCTTCACTTTAAGTAGAAGTTTGATGTCCTAGGATGCGTACTGCCATGAATGAATTGCTACTGAGATTGACCGAATTCGGCGGGCTGATACAAATGAGAATCGAGTTATACCAGTACTTGAGCTTCAGTACCAGTATCAGCATGACGTTATCGATTCACAGTGATGATACAAAAGCGATATGAACGAAAGATTAATTAAGCTTCTCGGAGCTCCCCACCAATAAGAGAAATTCGGTATTCGCCAGGAAGCGCTGACTGCGGTGGGCTGGCGGCAAAATCTCGTGTTACAGTTGATCAACGCATATGGAACATGATCAGCATTGTGTGAAAGACGGCCAGTCGAACATGAAGATTTACACCTAAAACTCTACGCAGGAAGGGGAGGTGGAAGAGGTCGGGCACTCTGATTTAGAAGGGGACGCCCGAACGATCGATCCTATCGCCCCTAGAGAAGCCGCAGCAGCAAACACGTGTTATCAGAGAGGTGCAAATCTGGCATATAGGCAGGGAGGCGTTGAGGTTCGGACATGAGTCGAAGCCACACGCACAGTAACTTGTGATTCTTTAGATATTACTCCCCTCGCTATGCTGATAGTACAGCGAGCGGAAAACCAGACAGGGCCCCTTCAGGCTGTCGGGGTGTGATATACTATCTCTGATGGTCTGCGATCCGGGTTTGCTCGTACTGCTTATCAGTTCAAGAAAGGTCATGGAAAATACTCGTTCTCACTCGCCAGACTTCGCCTCCTTGTACCACGAAGGAAACCCGTGTATCGTCAAATGAAACGTTGGACCTGAAACTTCTGAAGTATCACTTCTCACTATAGCGGGATGGATGGACCAGTATGGCCATCTGATTACCATTCGCTCAGGAGCTGAGAATTATTTTTTTCATTGGTCGTCACTGACTCACCACGTCAGTTCATTCACGCCAAGTTGCCATACTCAGGCCATCATACTTTTACAAGCTGCGGTGGATATCACGGCCGTCGCTAGCTGATCGACTCCGCTGAGATACAAGGTCGACCTTGATACGACAGCGGAGAGCGTGTTTTGGTTCACAAGGGATGTGGTGGATGAGAAAGAAACTTCAAACAAGTGAGAAGAGATCAGCTGAAGACAACTCATAGTGTGCAGCGCTCACTGGTTGCTTAGTAAGCATATGTTTGAAAGTTCAAAAAGAACTCAAACGGATACATCGGCTTCTTAGCATGCATTCATTCATCATCCAGATAAATACCTCTTGACGACAACAGTCTATCATCAGGGCAGTGATGCGCAGCTCAGATAAGCCACCCTATAATACGGAGGGAACGATTGTCTTCCTAGACTTCTCCTTTGGTCTGACTAGGTGAGACTAGGTTTCAGCCACAACTTCAACTGTGCTCACTATTAACGTCTGGGTTATCGCAATGTTTGTTGCACTCCCCCCACTTGCTCATGTTTTTGCTGTTGAGAATAGTGGTTATGTACAGCCACGCTCGAGTTTGCAGTGACCACAGGCAAACTGCCGGTGAATTTTTCATAGGCTGGCATGATGTGAGTCTCATTCCAGGTGTTCCTTTCCTTTGTTGAACTTACATGGGCGGTGCGTGGTCTAAAGGCGATGTATGGAATTTGTTGCGCCATCAAATTGTCACGGACACAGCAAAATTTTAGCGTGCGGTGCACAAGACCTCTACGGCAATCTTTTGCTAGAAGTTGATGATCTGGCCTGAGGTCACGGGCGGTTACTAAAAGTGAAAGGCTTCAGTGGTCTAAATCTTTTGTGCACCGCCCAACAGTTCCGCTGCAACGGCTATGATAGTCATCAATCCCGACGTGACAATAGTCACCAATTGACTGATTCCAGTTACATTATGGATCCAGTACTGGATCCCACCGCGGGCAAAGTCAAGAATAAGGCCTGTGATGAATGTCAAATGCGGTGAAAATGTAACACGATATACGGGGTACATAATGGTATATACTGGTACATAACTCTGAAATTTAACGTAACCCCGACTGGCTAGGGATGTGACATCATTAACAATTTATCACATCAAGCAACGATCATTCTCTAGCACTGATTCAACATTTCAGTACCCACCGTTGAGGAGTCTCCTTCAATCAAGATTTCAGAGTCATCTTCGCTGGTTCAATTCCCCGTAAGTTGCGTTACTTTTCCACCGAAATTGACCTACATCCCACAGGGGGCCCTATGTTTTCAACTTTGCCCGTGGTGGGAGTGAAGACAGCGCTTGCAGTCATTGCAACCCTCGACACAACAATTAGTATTGTATTATAGTACATGGCACCTCTGGTACTTCCCAGGTACTATCTCTGATGCTTTCGAATGAAATTCCGCCTTTGGCTTCTGACCAACTTCTGGCTGTGCCGCGGTATCGGTTTGGAGGCTTAAAATAACTAGGGCAATCATGATTTCAATTTAATGCTTACCGAACACCGTACTTAAGTAGTGTTCACAGGTGTATCGCTCCGTCGCCATTCAAGACTTGCGGGCAAGTACCACAAGGCGCATACCGAGGACTGAGTACCGACCTCTTATCCTGACATGTCTTCCCTATCGATCTCAGACCTCACGAAGTTACAGACGGTCAAGGTGAGTCAAGGGCGGCTTGCCTCCAATAGACTCGAGGTTAATGTTATGTCTGATTTAGTACGCCAATTGTAAGTGTCCGCGGATCGTCCGAAAACTGAACGTTGGCATTGACTATTATCTCTTTAGTGGGCAGTCTTGCTATCCTCGTGAGTATGAAACGCATTCCTTGTGTTTCTAGCTCAAATCTCCTTCGACGTTGCAGGTATTCGATTATTGCATCACTTTTTCCGAAGAGGTCGGGAAATACCTTTCTGTTCGCGAGTGTTATTCTGACTACTCCCCACAGGTGCATTGGACCTGGTCCAAATCATGGGACGTAACTCGTATCATTTTCATCATTTCTCGATACTTGCCTTTCGCGGGTGTGGGAATGACTGCATATGGCGAGTGACTCACTCCGATTCTACCTACTTTGTGTGTTGCTGATGGACTACATCCTAGATGCACTGCGTGTTAGCAATCAGGTAAGATTGGATAGCGGATAGTTTCTACGCTAAGCTGATTGCATGGGGAAAGTGTACCTCTACCCTGGAAGGAAATAGTGAGTCGACCTGCCAAACGGTTCATTTTCATGTAACTCAACGACATGAATGTCAGTCATTCACATCATCAGTATCGTTTCTGCGGAAGGTGTGTGTTCCACATGCATGCTGAGAGCGTAGTGGATCTCATTTCCTTGGCAGCCTTGCTGGTTATTCGGACCTGGGCGTTCTGGCAAAAGAGTAAAAAATACTGATCGGGTTATTGGTTTATAGTGTGGTGCGTGTTTTGCAGAACAGGAACAATAGCATAGATTTTTTACTATTGCATAGTTGACAATTGCCGCTGCCATGGCCGTAGACCTCAGCCCTACAATGTTGATTCCAGGAGGTGGGTTCATTAGGTGTTCGCGAACGAAAGTCGTTCTAATATGACTATTAGAGGAACCCCCCCTGGGAACCTGTTACTTTCAGAGCACACGCAACGCTGCGCTCGTATACGTTTTCTTGGCGATGTTTGAATGCGGTTAGTGATCATTCAAAACTTTCTATTGGCCCACTTACACATAACAACATGGCAGTGATATTGATCCTTACCGTATATAAGAGGGTCCACGATTATCAAGACTTCCAAAGCGGAATTATAGTAACCCTATACTACGATGGCATGATTTACATGTTGTGCATCCTCAGTGCGTGGAAATAGTTGGCTCTCGAGATATTATTGAGTAACGCGTTTTGGAAGCTATCACAATCGCCAATGTTATCATTGGAACTGCACTTGCGGTACGTGCCCGGTCTGTCAAATCCTACGAGACTCGCTAATTTTCTGCAGAGCGCTTATAGCAATATGCTTGATACGTACGTCACTGATTGCACTCTGGCTGCTAGTTGATCCCGAACCCACTGCACTAGGCTACAGCTGGTCAGTCACAGCGTCCTGGCATCGCGAATTCTATTTCGCCTTCGACATAGAAACGCGCGTGTCCACGAATCGTCCATGTCAGACCCGATGCTAGACAGTGTGAACTATCTACGACCTGCGTCAATGTCGATGAGTGGGACGGCTACTACCAGAAGTGAAGTTTGAGGGAATGTTGGTGTATACGGAACCATCGGCCTCTGTTAAAATGAGAAGCTTCTGCTTTTATTGAATGTACAGCTCAGATTGTAATATTGTAGGTCAGTGATACTGCGAGACCTGAGAGTATGAACAAAGTGGTGATTCGTTCCCAACTGGTTCTCTGTTTCGTCCGAGCCTGGTTGCGGTGTCAATGCTTCTCATGCGGCGTCGGGATAATTCTGCATCATGTGCCTGAGCTCCACTTCTGGAGATCTCGCCTTGAAGTCAATAGCGCATGGCCTGTCATTCGGCATCGCCCCGGTCATGAAACCCCAGTCATCCAGCGGCTTTGTAGGATCCAGAGTGAGCTGGAAAGCCCAAAAAATAAGGAGCGAGCTTATGAAAACTGATCTGTACCGATCGAATGAGCTTGGAAGATCATGTGCGCGGAATGATACTAGTACCTGTTCGCAACGTGTAGACCGGGGCATATCCTGAAAGGACGGATCAGAGAAAGGATATCTTGAAAGACGGTGCTTACCGCCGACCAAACCCGTAGACGAAGAACTTGAGGTCATCTCTCATGCAACCTTGATCGTTAATCCAGCGCTCAGGTTTGAACGCATTAGGGTCTGGGTAGACTTGTGGATCTCGAGAGATGGCCCTGACGAAGATTGTCAGATATTTCGCGTCTTAAGGACGGGTTCTTACCAGTGGTTGCCGAACACCGTAGTCCCCGCGGGAATGCAATATTTTTCCTGCCAGTGGATGTCAGGTTACCCTTGGGACAACAGATTGTTTACAGCACTTGCCCAAATCACATCTTGAGTCGTCCGGTGAGCAAATCCTGCGAGTGAACCGTGTAAGCTTCAAGTACATGACCAGCGATGAAGATACCTACCATTAGCAGCCAATGGTCTCCATCTCAAGGCTTCCGAGATGAAGGCCTCCAGATGAGGAAGAGATTGTTGGTCGGCGAAGGTCGGTGCTGTGGCAGAGAAAATATTGAATCGGTGGAACTACAATTGGAAATCGAACTACCTCGGTGCCTCCCGATGACCGTATCGAGCTCGACTTGGACTTTAGCTTGTTCCTTGGGGAAACATGCGGCCGCCATTAGCACCGTGCATATTGCCGTAGCAGTCTGACACTTGATATCAGTTACGTATTTTCGGAAACAACAAAGGAGGGTACCTCACCGAATCAGATCCAGCTCCGAACAAAGCGCCACCAAGAAAGGCCTTCTCGGTTTCTGTCAAATTATAGAGGTTGTCGTGTTCCAGCATATATTTCGCAAACGAAGGGCCGACATCCACATTACTCTGCTGTGGAACAATTAAACACAATCTGAAGGTTGCCAAGGCCATACATACTATCTGCTGTTTCACGCGGTTGAGCTGATTTGTGTAGAGTTCCCTGGTCTTCTCAAACTGCTGTTTCAAGTCCTGGCCATACCAAGGAAGGTATCTGAGCCATGGAATCGACTCCACCAGGTAAGCACCAGGGCGCAGAGCTGTACGAAAGCTCTCGAAGAGGTTGTGAATTTCTCTGACTTCAGGATCAGTTGCAGACGTGGGCGTAGTCTTTCCGTATGTAATTTTCATAATCGTCGCCGCAGCAAAACTTCGAAATTCTCGTCAGTGATGTGATATCATATGAACACGAATACAGGAAAGCGCTTACGTTGTCGCATGGTTTTGGAAGTTGTATGGATCATCAAGAATGTCCAGGACCATGTGTTTCGCGTGTGACATCTGCAGAGGCTGATAAGCTTCTGCCGATTTAGGCTGGAGATGCGTATGAAGTGCTCTGCGTCATGTTGCACCAGTAAGACAGGACTGTTTGTGCTTTTTATTGCCGATTACGAACCTACGCATCCGACGAAACTTGTCCCCAGCGTGCATAAAACCGACCGCCTGTCCGCCGCTGAGGATTTCTCCAGCAGCAATCATGCGAGGACGATCCGCTAGCGATCCGCCCTGCTTCTCCATGATTTCCACTACAGCCTGCAACAGAATGTTAAACCCGGGTAACAACTCAGTTATGGAGGACTGACTTTGTGGCGGCCGATGACAACAATCTTCTCAGTTCCTGAACGAATAGTGACGAGAGGACCGTACTCGTCAATCCATGCCGCTATGGTAAGAAACGAACTGATCAACCAAGGAACACGATTAGCATTGGAATCGTGACGACTATGATGTCAAATTTTACTTGCGAAGGGGCAGGAAGTGTCCCAGGAGGCCACAATTGAGAGGGGAAGGCGGGAGAGGAAGGCCACTCTCTGAGCTAGCAAAGGAAGCCCAACTAATTGCTCCCACTAAACCAAGGCAAGCCACAGCACCGAAGACGAGTTGCGTGTTGTCAGAAATGGGCAGGTCAAGCAGCATTACCATGACTGACGGGGAGGAGCGCAAAGTCCTGTAGATTGTAAGAATGTTATTGAAAGCACATTCAAGTTACGACTTTTTTAAGCATAACAATAGTAGTGTCCCTGAATGATGGCACCTGAAGCTAGGAAACGGTTTATACAGCCATTACATATTTAAATATGAGGAACATTTACAGTACCGGTTTCGAACTAGTCAGTTTCAATTTCCGATTGTCGGAAGGGGACGTAGTGAACTGTGAGAGTCGATGAAGTACCCCGCGCGCCGACGGGCAGGATGATCTAAGTCGCTTAAATTCATCTAGCAAGTATATTGAAATTCTTCCAAGGTGATATTTCATGATCTATCATAACTCACCAGCGGTCACGGCGCCAAAAGTGACCAGCCTCCTGTAGGATTGTCGATGGTTGATCATCAATTATGTTTAGGCAGGCAACTTCTTGCCCGTGTCGGTCACATGATCACTGAGGGTCGACTTCCGAGTCTCCGACGCCTGCTATGCTCTGTGCGATGACGTTGGCACACTTGTCACATGTGTCAATTTTTCAAAAAGTCCACAAACGTTCAAGTCTTGGTTCTCTTTGAAAGAACTTTCCTAAGGTTTTTGATACACCGTGTCGGGTGTCCTCGTTTGCTATCCGAACCCTTCTCTTCCTGAGCCCTCCCTATGGTGACTCTGCCTTGCGGACTCGGACGCCGCCCCTGATTCGGGAGTCTTGCATGTCGATTTAAAGGCTTGAAGGTCTGAATCTGAATGCTATGTGGAGCATTTGACATATCACTCAGCCTATGTACTAATTATGTCAAAATTAGGATCCATCTGCAATTCCTTTTCGCCACTTTCAGTTTCTTATGTTCCAACTTCTTTAAATAAGTCTTGAATGAGTCCACCCGGCCCTGGTGGAAACCCGCGGGATCGCTACCTTCCCATCGGTTGCTTCTTGGTTCTGGAACTTCCAGTACCTGCTTTAATTGTAGCCGCTCGGATTTTAATGATATTAACGCCGAGGTATCCAGGTTTCCGCAGACTGCAGGCATACGAAAGAAACTCGCATATGCCAGTTCCGCTGAGTTCTTTTGTATTGGTAGAATGGTTAGTACATTTGGTGTCCAGGGAAGTTGTCAACAGTGCGGGCAACCGGAAGAGTTTGTTTCAGCGTGAGTTTTCTTGTTTTTCCTTGACTTGTTGGCAAGAGGACAGTGACTATCCCACGTGCAATCACTCAATTCTGTTAGGATCACGACCATCTCTGGCACCTCCATACGACCTCCTCACAGGTTGTTTCCTTGTCCATCCATATACTACATTCCGAATTCGCTCCTTTTGCTGCAATTGCCGTCTGAAAGCGCGACTTGGTCACCGAGGAGTACTACTCTCACCTGTTCGTGTTGAAGGTACCCAATGGGACAACCCATTATACTCCATCATTGGGACTCTTTTGGTTAGAGCCGAGCCGATCACTCTTATTTTCATATAAGACATGATTAATATCATCTTGAAGACGGGTTGGTGTCCCCATTCTGGATGTGTGGAAGGCGCATGATATTTTTGTGGGTCGCCCCAAATTGCATTCTCCTGCTTTGTTCTAACTCACCGTCGCCATGTCTATCCACTCCTCCCGCTCTTTCAATTCCTCCATCAATTACATGTGGCTAGCCAATAGCTACAGTATCTTGTGGTGCCTATCGAAGCACACCAAGGGCTACACGCGGGGCAACTGGTCTATGTCTGCCCTAGTTACTTTTCTCAAGGAGACAAGTTGAGATTTACGGGCTCGGCACGCATCTATCTGTCTGGGAACACAGTGCAAATGACGGAGGCTATGTATTATTTTTCTCTCCCTTACTTTCAGAGAACCAATTTCCACGCTACTCTATTGGCGTCTTGTTCTAATTGATTTTTAAGGAATACTTTTATCTCACTCAGCTCAACCTGACTGGGTGGTGTTCACATAGATCTGGCTCGCAGTGCAGAGAACCTAAAATTCATTCATCAGTAATGGCTTCGATGAATCACATTTTATTCACCTCGCCAGCGTACGCGTTAGTGCAGTTGGTGTTCACGTTCGGGTTGTTCGCGAGCAACGTGCTGATCGGGATATCAGCCGCATTGGCAACGCTTTGACATGTGTCGCCGGTCTGCATAACGTAGGTAACATCGCAATCCTGGCCACTGATTCCAAGGCATAAAACCTATGATGATGAGTTCAAGTGTTTTTCAAGTATCAAAATGTCTTACTTCTCCGATAAACAAATTATCGCAATCAGGGTCAATAATTCCGCTGTTGACTGTCGCCAGCTGGTATCTATGGCATACGTTCGATGAACAAGTGAACGGAAGGCACAATGATTGTACGTACGTGGAAACGTTGTACATCGCGGATATTGCGTCACATGTATCTCCAGATTGAACAGTTGCATTACGATCACAACCAGCGGGGAGTCCTAGACGTTTTGCAGTTGTATAATCGAACCTCGAAGAAGACCATTACTGACCCTGACCAGAAACAACTGAGGCAATGGCGGCAAGCGCAACGAGTCTGGTGGTGAAGAATGAAGCGTACATGCTGGTCAGGTGAGGGGGTCCAGAACCAGTTGAGTGATGTTTAATGCCTTAAAGCCGAATTTTCTAGCTGCCTTTATACACTTGAAGGATCAACACTGATCGGCTATTCTAGCGGTCAGCGTTTGGCGTGTTTTCGAGTCGTCGTGACGGACTGTGAGTAAATAGACACGACCATATGGAACGCGCGGTGTTCACCGAGGGATGACTCTGACATCGTAGCGAGAGGATCACCAACTCTACGGACTGTAGCGACGTTTCTGTCAGATCAAAGTGTCCAGGCACACGGTGTTTTCGCGTGCGCGTGAAATAAATTCCTTTTTCGATTAAGGGTTCGGGTCTAGACCGGTCTCATAAGACATTTGCCTTGCGAACTTGTGACCTTGCTCCGCGATATGCGCGAGGACGTCTTGTTTATCGGATTACCGGCGTTTGAGGATGGGGTTTGGACCGGCGATCAGTACGGTGATCGTCTATTGCAAACCAGACGCTTACCATTTCAAACTCCGCGTGAATGTACATGGTCGGTAGTCTTCGGTACAGTGACAATCAATATACCATCATTCCCGGTAATATGTACACGGTTGCTAATACGCAAAACTTTATAACACTTCAACATCGTGCTCAACTGGTGTCGAAAAAATTCAGGTGTATGCAGAGTACCTAGAAATGATGTTTTGTACAAGTAGAGTAAAAATTTCTTGGATGTTGCAGCTGCGAGAGATGAAATAGTGATAATTTGCAACCTTGGTCCAACACAAATCACCAAGATCCCAAAGATCCTGCCAAGGTATTCGCAAAATTTTACCCAGAGCATAATGAACACCTTATAGGGATGTAAGAACATCATCTCAATAAATGTTACACTCTTGTGTTGAGGTGCTACAGTGGTAGAATCAATGACGAGTACAAAAATGTGACACCAGACAGGGAAGATGCGTAAGTAATTCAATCTCCTCCTTGGCATATCTGGCATCTATCCTCTGCAGCAGTCAGGTCTCACAGAGTTGCATCATTCTCTCCAATGGCACCACACCACAGGCAAGCAGTCCAGATAAAAGCCAAAAAAGATGCCATTTGTGAGGCCAACATTGAAGCTGCTATCCAGGCTGTTAGAGAGAAGAGGGCTAAAAACCTCTCAGCTGCAGCTGGCCAGTTCAATGTACCATACCATACCCTTCGTTGACATGCACAGAACCTTACAAAACCTCATTCAAAGGCCCACAAATTCCAACAGCTACTTTGACAGCAACCCTGACCTCAAGAAAAATCCATGGTATGAGGGTTTATTCAACCCTACCCATTCTTGCAGGCGCTGTCTTGATAACAGTGATAACACTGTGGAATTACTGCAGGACACAATTCCCCCATCAAATCCAGTTCATGAGCTGTTCAGATACCAACCTCAGCCTGCACCTCAACCCTCGATGTCGAGAAATGAACACATACTAGATTTTCCCCAACCTGGGTATGCCCCCTTACATTATCCAATGTAGCATCCTGCACCTCAGCCTCACCTTCCACATATTTCACACCCTCACTTTGCACCAGCAAGTTGCAGTAACACAGATTTCCAAGTTGGTGATATGGTGCAGACTCAGCACAGGTATGCAGGGCATCAATTTTATCCAGAAGGCTATCAGCAACACCAGTACTACAATCATAGTCAGTATTAGATGAACCATGGTACTCAATGATTTGCTGTATCCACCATTTTCAAGCCTTTCATGATCCACAACAGTTCAAGAAGTTCAAAGTTTTAAGCCTGCGCTCAGAGAGTGAAAGTCACCTGTGCCGCTACTATGCTGAGGTGTGACAAGATGTGACCATACTTTTGCAGATTAGAGGTGGACCCTGAGTTTTATCAGGTTTGCTCCAACACCACACCACATTATCCTAAAAATCAGTAAAAATCAGATCTATATAGAGGAGATATGAATACATGATGGGGCAGATTTGCAAAAGAAAATGTGATGTGGTTAAGGAGTTACAAAAGATTTACTGAGAGTTTTGCATATAACTGGGAATGATAGTATTAATTGATGATGGACTCACTGTCTGCCCTTGTGGCAATCTTGTGCAATAGTATGCTGTCTTGCATGTCAATCCATCAGCTAATTTCTTTCATTGAACTGTCCTCCAACCTGAAATGCAGCATTGAACTTCACCAGCCATGAGCCATCAGATGATACATCAAGTCCTCCTGTTTTACCAGAATCCATTGCTCTTTTAAAATCCCACTGGAGCTCATCAGGGAGTGCTGGTATACCTTTAGAGACATTGTTTGGACCATGGGACCAGATAGACAGCACCAGTGTGACAGTCAAGTTTTCCTTGGGCTTAGATTTACTTACTTTACTTACCTTTACCTACCCTCACTTTCTTTAGCTTATGTTTGCATTTTTGCTGCTTACTTAAGCATGTATCTCTTTCACTAGTGTCAGTACCAGCCTGAATGACTAGTCCCTTTTGATAATAATTTATACTCTCTGAGCACTGAGCCAAGTCAGAATCCCATGGGCTGAACATACTGCTCTCCACTCAGTAGCTTGGCCAGCTGAAATATGATTCCCACACCGGGATTGTACAGCAGAGGTTTTTAGAGTCCCATGGGTGGGTGGGACCTTGGCATCAGTGCATCACTGCTGCTATCTGAGTTGTGTCACACTTGCATACATTTCTGATATCATTGTAGTGTCTCTCACCCTGTACCCACCCTCAAAGTACTGTACAAACTCTGATTGCCCAAAGACTGCTGCACTGAAGTGGGCAGAGCCCAGACAAATCATTATTCATACACTTGATCAAGGCACTCTACCTGTGTGGGCCAATCACTTGAGCTGCAAGAGTATGTCAATTTTTTAATGCTCTGAATCTGGTTCAACTCATTGTGCTAACTCTCATCAATTAAGAATGTCATTGCTACTATCATTACAACTATGTTGTCCATAGCAGTGCTCAGCATCACACATACTATTCAGGTAAGATAGGTGTCACTCTTATCCAGCACCTTTACATAATCACAACCCTAACCCTAAAGATGGCCAAACCTTCGACTGACAATTTTCAAAAGTTGAGATTGAGAGACTGCAGAGTGATTAGTGACAAGTTTGTGATTAGTACATGTAGTAACACTATAAACTGGTGCATTAGTCCTTTCTCAGTGCCTCCTTAACTTTAAGAATCATAGAGGGGGGCAGAGTATGATGTCCATGGTATTGGTGGTTGGCCCAAGCTGCCTTGCCACCAGTAAGACCTTGAACATATGCAGAAATAAAATGTGCAGATTGATTTGCATATCTGTGTTGTGGACAGTTGTTAATAGCATACTTACAAGAATGGCCAATGAAAATAAAAACCTTTGAATTTGAAGCAATGGTACATCATCAAGGCAGTTGATGACATTTCTCTCCATTGCATCCATATCACATGTGCACTGACCTGTTTGGTATTGAAATTTTGCTGTGCCTCAGTATTGTTCAATGAAATTTAGTTCACAATGAAATTTTAGATAGAAATCACAGATATGGCTGTGGGAAGTGATGTATTCTGCAAGGTGACATTTTTGTGAAGTGAAATCTGGTTGGGAAAACAATAATCATTGGCAACAACAGTCTGTGCAATTAAGCTCACACTTGAATCCCTCACATTGTGCATTGAGCCCAGTTGCAGGCCAGAGATTCCACTCTCGAAAAATTGTTTCCATACCTTTGAACCAACCAGGCATGGTTGGGTGATCATCACAATAATAAAATTCTTGTGATTGACTGTTGAATGTGCTGTTCCACATGTGTGGCCCATCTTTATGGTGTGTCCAGTTTTGGTGAGGTCTTTTTGGCATTTTCCAAGCTGACAGGGCATCTGGTGCTTGTTTTTGGTGGCTTGGTGCATTGTCAAACATGAACAAGCCAGTTGTGAAGCCATTAGTTTTGTCCTCAAAGATATTGATTGAGTGTTCCACGTGTTTGAGCAGATCTAATGCAGAGAAGTACCCATCCTGATTTTTTCCTGCCTTGAAAATAACCCATGCCTCACTAAAACTTACAGTCAGCATTATTTCATGCAATGCTGCAAACTGTGATACACACTTGTCACCATGCTGCAACTGGCCCCATTCTGATGTTAACATATCTGAAATCATTAATGATGGTCCTTCACCCTTGCATTGAGGAGTAGCCTTCTCACTTGAGTGAGACCACCCCATTTTGCAATGGTCATTGGCATAAAATGTTGATTCATCATGTGTTACAAGAATGAGATGAAATCAGCCAGCTTGAGCAACAGGGAAGCCTTTTGGTGTGTACTGAATGTTGCCATCATTACCATAGATAAACATTCTCTTCTTGTACTCCTGCCATCATTGAATGAACTGCTTGCAATACTCAACAACATCAGGATGTTCATGGCCATCAATGTACATGCCATTCTGCTTTCATCCATAATGCCAATTGAGTTTGTGCAGCCACTGCTGTGCTGTCCACTTTGAAATTACCTTGGCCTTTGCACCAAGTCTCTCTTGTACTTTTGGTGTGGCAACACAGTCTACAATATCTTGAGCTCAGCTGTGGCCCTCTTGTTGCTGGACTTCAGACAGGTGAAGTTGAATTTCTTGTGCGAAGTCTTCATCCTCAAGAATTGATGAGTGGTATTGACCATATTGATGGAGAGGGAGCTTCCCATTACAGAGAAACTGATGAATCCAGGTGCGTATGTTGCAGGCATGATTGATTCCTTGGCCTAGTGATTTCGAGGCTATGAGGGATGCTTCATGCCAACCATATGACAGCTCAGGATCAAGATAGAGGTTCAAGGCACCAAGCATTGCTGTGATGTGAGATTGGAAAACCACATCAAGCTTTTTGTCTTTGCTGTTCACAGCAATTTTTGCTTGAGCCCGGCACAAGGCAGGGAAGTCTTTGTAATCAAGAGCATTGAGAACTGAATCTGTGAAGGTCTCTGGACTGTCACTGCAGGGTGGCTGTCCATTCTGGATATCTTCCAGCATTTTGCAAATTTGTTCTTCCTTTTCTGAGTTGCCAGATAATACTTCAACAGGTGATGATTGAGATGGGTAAACATTCTTTCCCATGGAATTCCTGGATGAATCTGATGCTGATTCAGAACATTCTTCTTCCTCCTCTCAAATGGGGCTTGGCTATTTTTAAATGATTTACCCATGCATAACAATAATGAGCCATGACATCAGATCTCACCTCATATGGAGATTCAGCATTAATGACTCAGACATCCTGCACTTTCAGCTTCTTTGTCATCCAGCTGCTGATGAAAGTTTGATTTGTTCCTGCAATCCTTTTCCTTTTCAGAGCATGTCATCATAGAGTCCATGTTGAGTTTCCAGTGTAATGCTTTGACCTTCTGGTATCTTTTGACCTCTGTCTTTTCCCTTCAGCAGCAGTATTCTGTGCTTGAAAGAGGATTTCTGAGAATGTGAGCAGTGTTGCTTCATCCTGTATTTCTGCCTCTTCTTCCACACTAAACTCCATATCATCCTTGGAATCACTGCAGCTGGAGAGGTCCTCATCTCCAAAAACATCTATCCTGTTAATAAAATCCTGTAAATCATTATCTTTGTCCTCTTCTCCTTCATCAGGCTGCTCAATATAAGAGTCATCATCAGATTCTTCCTTGGCTGTTAAGTTTGTGGCTCTGGGTCCAAAAATATGCTCTGCAAAGTAATGCTCCTCCTCCAAGTCAGAGACATCTTTGACTGTGGCTTTGTGGGACCTGGAAAGTGCAGATTGAATATTCCTGAGATGAGCCTTATTAGCTTTAGACTTTACACCCATTGAGAGATGCTTTATGCGAAGTAATATCACTCATTTTTGCTGCCTTCTCCTCCTCAGTCCTGCCCAGGTACCTATCACATGATGTATTATATAAGTGGCCAAATGTTGATGTGCCAAAACTTGAAAATTATTCCCTTGCATCCTATGGCCTTGTAAACCACATTGTGACTTAATAGGATAAAACTTTTTGGATGATGAAAATCTCCTCCAGTTTTGAATTTTTTTTATTTCTGCTTCCTAGTAATTCATGCCATACTACCATTAGATAGTTCCTAGGATCCAATTGCATCAGAAACAAATCTATGTGCCCATAATTTGAGCAATGGCAAAGCTCTCAATCTGCTGATGTAAGCTGTGCTGGATAAGAGTGACACCTATCTTATCCCAGACTACCTACACCAAGGAACAGAATGAAGTTCACAAATAGTTCTCAGACTTTTTTTTGAGAAAAATGGAAAGTTTTCCATCAGAACACACATGGATGTATCAACAGAACAGAAGATGCCAGCAGGGTAGACTGAACAAAACAACAGGTGACTGTGGGAAACTGCATGAAACTTGAAATTCTGGCATAGAATGCAATTGCTTATCAATTGCTCACCATTGTGAGGAAGGGGAACATCAGAAACTATAAGAAATTTACCTGCAAATGTCTTTGAGCAAAGAACAAGAATAAAAAGATGGAAAAGATGAACAAGTATCATTGCATGTGCTTGTAGAATTGGATAAAGCATACACATCAATATCTCCAGTGAGACCAAACAGATAAGACATAATGAGACAAATGACTTGATAGCATCAAGTGAAGAGATCAAAGGAGAGAACCTCTAGATTCATCTGACATCAACTGAGAAGTGGCATGAGTAAATGGAAAGGCAGGCCAGTGTGATTGGGCATGACAGAGAATTTTGGTAGAAAAAAGGCACACAGACCTGGACCAAGATAGGTCCAGGAATCAAGGGGCATGCAATTGGTTAGTTCCAGACACTAACACTTTTAGTTTGGCGACCCACTACCACTGTTACAGTGACACCATGTGATGTCACACTACCAAATCAAGAATTCTGTCATGCTGAAAATTTTCATTGTTAGATGAGAGTTGCACCTCAATATTCATGTGTCATTGATGCATTGTATGCAATATAATGAGACAGAAACATGTGTGCATTGATTCCTGAGTAGTACTATGCAAATTGAAGCTATAAAATCCACAAAAACATGAAGTAGCAAGGGTAAGAAAGCAAAATGATAGCAAATGAGAGTTATCATAAGTACATGCAGTCATGAAAAGCATGCAAAGGAAATGAAACAAACAAACAGACTATGCAGATTTATGAGCTTTCTTCACATTCATATTTCCAGTGTTCTTATTCTTCCACTTGTGGGTGCTTGGTCCAGGTTGATTTTCTTTATCATCATCTGAGCCGAAAAGAGGCATAAGTCATTGTGACTTGGGGATGCTGGTGTCATGTTATTCAAGGGAAGTCAGCATGAATGTATTGAGGATGTCGAGTGGCAAAGGGTGACCAGTGGGATTCTTGGGGTGTGCATACTGCAGGTGAACATTGTCAAGATGCTGAATCATGTTGTAGCACCAGACAGTGTAATGTGTGTAATGATGGGAGAGCTAAGTGGTGACTAAATGCATGAAGGAGTGTGCACCCACCAATATGGCCATATCAAGATCATTGCCTGTACACCCTCATGGATGGTAAGCACCAGCAAGAGAATCTTCAAGAGTATTGATTATCTGCTGGATGCTTGATCCTCTCTTAAGTGTAACTGTCAGGATATGCTGAAGACGTGGGATATTGTTCTCCAAAAGCACCATAATAAGTGACTTATAGTCATCTAGTTGTGTCAGTATATGCAAGACCCTTCCTGCATCATTAAGACCCTTCAGATATTTATCAGCATGGTTAGATCATCCCACAAACAGCAAACCTTGAGTTTCAGCCAATTATTTTCAGCAGAGTGCTGATGTACAACATTGACCATATCAGAATGACTTAGAAATTGGTATTTGGTGTGTGGTTTGATGTCTTGAGCAAGTGAGGAGGTGTTCAATAAATCCCACAACCTCAATACACCCACTACAAGGTGACATTGATGTTGTAGTAGTACCTGCACAATTTTGAGAGTATGCATGGGGGATATTTCCATGAGTGTCAATGTTGAATGGGAGGACTCCTTGGCCTCCAGAAGCTTAACCAACAAAAAAGGTTTTGAGAAATGAGGGGCCTGGAACTGGCCAATGTATTGGAACTCTGGAACATGCATTGATTGCATGTGACATGTCAGATGGAGTAAAGTGTAATGAAATACTCGAGGCAGAGCTGCTGGCTGCATTTAGTGAAGGTGATGAATCCACTTGATTGCAGCCTTTCAGACACTTTTTACCCTGCCTATGGTCACTGAGAGTATTAAAATACCCTGGAGCATCTAAATTGCTAAGGATTCAGGTCAGAAGAGTAGTCTTGATCCAGGCTTTGCAGTCTGGGCACTCAATTTCCCATCAGTGAGTTCCCATGTGCCTCTGAATAAGATTTGCTGAAAATAGATGCATGAGATCAGCAGGCATGTTTGATTTGAGTAATATGTTGGTGAAGGAATCAACTACTAAGCTATGGCACTACAAGGGATGCCAAGTCAGAGTATATGTGTGGTCGTCTCAGCTCTGCCTAGGCTGCTATACTTCACTAAGGCAAGTGCATTCAACCTAAGGGGAAGTGAGTGCAACACATCCACAGGTCGCGTAAAGCGTGGGAAAGTCGCGCACTGCAGAGGTGAAGGCATGTGCAGAGAGTGGTAGGATGTGCGAAGCACAGGAAAGTTGTGTGCTAATAGGTGAAAGTGTGCAAAGGGCTAGGAACATGATGGGGACTAGAGGAAGATGATGACTGATACTGATGGGTGCGAGGACAACAAATGCGATGATGATAGAGTGTGATTGTCAAAATGCTACTGACTATGGCTCTAAAAATGTGTGCACTATGCTGAAGGATGCTAAGGGATACTGACTCCCAACTAAGTGGTAGCTAACTAACTGATAAAAATGCGAATGCTATCATGCAAAAGGCGACTAAGCGCGTTCCCACGATGTGGAGCTGATGCGAGTAAGGTGTGGGAATGAAGAAGGTATATGTAAGGGTCCATGATGGAATATGGTGTCATGATAAGAATAAATGCGAAAAAACGTACCAGTAGGACTTGCTGGACAATGGATGGATGCTCCCAGATGATGGGTGATGAAGCGCAGGAAAGCGTGTGGGGCATGCGCAGGAATGCATCATGGGAGAGTAGCGCACGTGTTGTGCAATGCACAGGAAGATTGCACATGTATAGGCTGAGTGAAGGAATGATATAGGGAATGATGCTGTGAGTTTGTGCTATGAACTGCATGCAGATACATCTCAATATTGGGCTCTACAGGCATACAGAGGCGTGAGTCTCTACATCAGGTTCAAGTGGCAAAGTGTCAGAATCATCAGAAACAGGTATAATAGCAGTGTCAGATGCATCAAATTGAGTTCCTGTTGGATGAATTGAAGATGGCAGTGTGGGAGAGAACAAGACAGAGGTATCAGGATGGATGGAATCATCAAAAGAATGTCCATTAATGTTGATTGGACTGAGTCAGATTATGCATCCATGAAGCATGGTCAAGTTCATAAGAAATTTGGTCCAAGTCTAGAATCAGAGAGGCACAACTGCTTTGTGAGTCTGATGCTTGAGATTCAGTGGCAAACCATGATTCATAAGGGGCTGGGTACATGATATAGGCTCCTGGCTGAATAAGAATAAGAAGGAATGGACAGAAAACTGCTGGTGCTAAGGGACATACATGACACAGCATATCAATACATGTAATATATGTCAATGATCTCATTAATTGATCATCACGTGAAATCACAACTCACAGGCAGCCAAAGAAACCCAAAATATTCACTTTGCAGGGGAAATCAGCTATAGCATATGCAGTTTATGAACACAGGTATCTAGAATTACTCTAATGTACTTGTAACCACCACCTCCACCAAGTTACCAAAAGACTTGGTGAAGATTTGAAAGTGCTGTCAAGAAGTTCAGATGACAACATGCTCTAATGCCAAAGTGGCTGAGATTAAGGTTTTTGCTTACAGTAAGCAAAGTGTTGATGTTTTGGGTTTCTCCATTGCATGCCTCTTGCCAGGAATAAGTCACTCTTTATTGACAAGACATTGAAGGAGGCTTGCAGCTGCTGTATTTGCCTCATTTTACAGGTGAGAACACTATCTTGTATCATCTCGAATTACAGGTATTATGCCGCATGTGGGGGTCACACATGCACATAGATCTTGCTCACAGTGCAGAGAACCTAAAATTCTTTTATCAGCAATGGCTTTGATAAATCACATTTTACTTACCTCACCAGCATATATGTTAGTGCAGATGGTATTCATGTTCAGGTTGTTCTAGAGCAACATGTTGATTGGGATACCAGTCACATTGGCAATGCTATGACACATGTTGCTGGTCTGCATAATGTGGGTAACATTGCAATCCTGGTCGCTGATTCCAAGGCATAAAACCTATGATGATGAGTTCAAGTGTTTTTCAAACATCAAAATGTCTTACTTGACCAATAAACAAATTATCACAACCAGGATCAATTGTTTCACTGTTGACTACTGCCAACTAGTATCTATAGCATACGTTCAATGAACAAGTGAATGGAAGGCACAATGATTGTACGTATGTAGAGATGTTGTGTCTTTCGGATATTGTGTCACATATATCTCCAGATTGAACAGTTGCATTACAGTCACAACCAGTGGGGAGTCCTAGACCTTTTGCAGTTATAAATGTTAGTATAATTGAATTTTGAGGATGACTATTACTGATCCTGACCAGAAACAACTGAGGTAATGGTGGCAAGTGCAATGAGTCTGGCAGTGAAGAATGAAGCATGCATGCTGGCCAGGTGAGGAGGTCCAGAACAGGTGAGTGGTGTTCAATGCATTTAAGCTGACTTTCCTAGCTGCCTTTATACACTTGAAGGACCAACACTGGCAGGGTATTCTAATGGCCAGTGTTTCCCATGTTTTCAAGTTGTTGGCATCCTTGGACTGTGAGTAAATTCAAGTAAATGGACATGATCATATGGCTCACATGGTGTTCACTGAGGAATGAATCTGACATCATGACAAGAGGATGTGTTAGACTCAGTGAAAATTTGCTCATGTAACCTGATAATGACACATCATACCAACACTGGTACCATACCATCATTATTATAATCTTCACAATGCAAGATTAGTTGTGATGTCAAATTTGCAGCAAACCGAGTTCACAAATGGGACCTTCTAAGCTTTCATGGCACCCTTGATTCCTCCAGATTTTCTGAGCACACTTGGTTTCAGATCTCAAAGCTCTGACACGAACCTGGTGATGTCATGACTGTCAGCCTAGTGCAGCAATGTGTGGGCCATGCATCTCCTGGCAGTAATGATATTGATAGGCTCCTGATGAATGTAGTGGGGATTGCTATTTACAAATGGGGCTTGTCATTGTTGTTGGAGTCAAGGTTCATGATCTTCCTCTTCCTCTGAATGTTTTTTGATCCGAGTATTGTCCTTGTTGGACCATTGGAATAAATATCACTGCCATGCTCCAGTAGACTTGTGTTTTTTGTCATTTGAAGGTAGGAATGATTACAAAAGGCATAACAATAAAGTCATAGTGGCCACCAGTGTCAAGTGCTTGAATGTCCACTGCCATGGACATACAGAATAGTGGACACCATGTACTCAGTACTAGGATCACGTGATTTATGACCTGCACGATGAGATATCAATTGTTGCAGCCTTAGTGATCTCAGAGTGGCATTGATATTACTCCTCCATGGAGTGAGTGACTCACTCATTGTACTTACCTGGTATTCAAGTAGTGATGCCAGTTGAAGAGTTGATCACGCAGGAATAAGTATTTTGTCAACTATGATCTTGATGAGTCTGTTAAACAGCACAAGGCAGTTCTAGTGTGGGGGGCAGAACTGGCAAAATTCTAGGCCATGTAGACTAAGTGTATGACATTCCTAATGATGGCATCAATGTTGCCTCACCCATCCGTCATCCTCCCCATTGCAATTAACCACTCAGCAGAGCTCATCTAGAATAGCCTGTGGTATTATTCCTTGTTCAACCTGATCCAATTTGCTAAAATCATCCCTCAAGCACTTCAACTTCATCCATGATTGCTCTGAACTTCTCAACCCTGGATTTGAGCAACTGGTGAGTTATCAGTGAGCCGCAATGTTTGCATTTCCAGTAGCCTATAGTGATTTGAGTTGTCCTCAACTTGTTCTAGGCACTTGTCATATCCCACAATCCGGACCCACATTCCATCATATTCCCATGCCTTCCGAGCCTACATCTGGACCCCACTTCATATCCAGCTCATTCCCAGATCCCCCTCTGCTTGTGCTCCACACCTCAGCAGGATTGACTACACTCTGGATTTACTCCTGAGCTCCAGACCATCGGATCTCCACTGCTAGCCTGATACATACCCCCCTGTCCCATCCACCCTATGCACACTCCATCCAGCAAGACATCCAGACTTCACCTCATCTCGGATTCTGGACTATATCCACCTTCTTGTATTCTGGTCCTGTATCCACCTGGTCTTCCAGATCCCCAGATCTCTGGACCTCCAGATATTAACGCTGGACCTATTCCCACCCTCTGTCCGAGATCCTGCACCTATCCCCATTTAGGCATCTCTACCTTTCCAGCTTTCAGTTACCTCTTCTTCCGTCTTGCTTATTGATCCTTGTACAAGTCTTCATCTCCGAGTTCATTTACTTATGTTCTGTCTTACTTACTAATGTGTTTCCACATGCTCGTACATAGCCCTGCTCCTTTGATTACTGATCCCCTCAGATATTCTCCAGTATATAACCCCTGTAGATACTCCTGTAGTTTCCTTAGTTTGAATATCAACTTAGACTTGCCCAATCCTCTCTCGGACTTTGGTCCACCTAAGTCTGTCCTACCCATCAGGCCTAGGAATTGATTCCCTAGGCTGGAGCTCTGCCTTTCCGGCACTTACCCTCTTTCCGGACTTAGGTCCAACCCTTGTCTCTCCAACTCTACCTTAGGGTAGTCTACCTCTGTTTGTTTCTACATCAGACGAAGTCTGATGTAGCCCCTATTCCTTCCAGACCTCCAGACCTCCTGTCCCTCATACCTCCAGGCATCCTGTCCTTCAGACGTTCCACCCTCCATACCTTTGGACATTCCGTCCTCCTAACCCTTGGACATCCTATCCTCCTGTCCTTCAGACATCCTGTCCTTCTGTCCTCTGTCATCCTGTCCTCCTGTCCTCCTGTCCTCCTGTCCTCCAGTCCTCCAGACCTTCAGACCTCCTATCCTTCCATCCTGTTTCCTGTAGAAGTATTACCTTGCAGTAGGAACTCTCCTGAGCACTTCCTGCATTCCTCCGGAACTCTCCTGCGCTCCTCCAGACATTTCCCGCACTCCTCTGGAAGTCCTCCAGACTTTGTCGGACCATCATCAGACCTCATATGAAATGAAGGGCACATACTCGGGTAAGGGGCACAGCATACGAGCTGAGGCCAAGCCCCTCTGAGTCAGTCTCTCTCCCCCTTGAGCAACATGGTTCTTAACAGCACTCAAGATTGTCGTTTACATTGATCATCGATGCAAGGGAGCTTCCAGCATACCATCTTCCTTTAGGGATGTTGGGTTTCATGTTCTATTGAATTCAAAAGATCTAAATTACATCTCTGTGAGTCTCAGATACTGTACAGCTATGCACTTAGGTTCAACCCAATTTGGGTGTGACCAAATGAACATTAGGTTCAAAAGTTTGAAGGGGTGTGTGATGTGTGACATGCTGCACATAGGTTCATTGTGTGTGACAACCAACTGGGAGTCTCGGACAGTTATGGCCTCATTAGGCAGACATGTTTCTTTCTTTGTACGAGTGCAGAGATGCTCACACCCAACCTGGAGACTTGGTTGCTCACCCCACGGAGTTTTGTCTGCAAGTTTACTTCCATTTGGCAATATCATGCCTTCTTCCTATGTTGCTGCAGAGTCCTGTCAATGCGGATCCAATGTTTGGTGAGCCATAACCCAGCCTACAATGAGGATGCCATCTGAAACATTCCCCCCACCTCCGACACAGGGCCTCAATTTACAGCTGTAACCACTGATGGTTCAAAGGAGGTTGATGTTGAGGGTCATGGGAAGCACAGACGTGTTGCAAATACTCAGTACAAGGACTTTTGGCAGCACTAGAACATTTTTTTTATGCTTTTACCACATGTCACAATTTAAGTTCGATGACCTCAATATGGGTATGACCGTCACACGAAATAGGTTCGATTCGCTGGGCCTGTGATGGTGTGACGAACTTAAGTGCGTAGCTGTACAGTACCCTGGAATTCTGCCAGGTTCCGCGACCCTCCCTTCGTGTGAGTTCTGCACGACCAATTTTGCCAGACCGGCTGGCAAAACCTGGCAAAACTCCCGAGTACTGCCAACAACAAGTACTGATGTCAAGGCCGCCAACGATCAGAAGATGCTATCACCCAAAAAGTGCGCGTGACGTATGATATATACGTGTCACATAGCACGTGCTAACAGTCACTTCGCATTCGTCACAAAGGAAGCGCGTTTGTTTGAGCCACTAATCATGGTGAATCATATCAATATCGTCGGTCTCTGCGCTTGACAGAGACCTCTTGCATTAACATGGCTCCGAAGTACCCTAAAATCTTAGGTATGTGCTCTCTCTTATCGTGCCAGGTTCACAAATGACACGATTGCAGGCTATGAGCTCATTCAACAAATCGGTGGAGGTAGCTTCTCGAGCGTGTTCAGAGCCGTCAATATAGAGAACCATCAAGTGGCAGCATGCAAGGTGATATTTATTAAGGAGCAGACTACCGAGAAGGAACGCAAGGTTGTTGAAAAGGAGATGAAACTTCATAAACTCCTCAAGCACAAGCATGTCCTAGAGTTTCTACATGCTGCCGTGGTGGAGCGCAAATATAAGGATAGCTATGTGCCTGGAATTTACATGCTGCTAGAGCTTGCTGCAGGAGGAGACCTCTTCGATAAGATTGGTGCGCTTCGTTGACTGATCGTGTATCCAATCATTAACCCATAACTCATCAGCGCCGAATGTTGGGATTGGAGAGGATGTGGCACACTACTATTTCGGCCAGTTACTGGCAGGGATGGTGAGATATCACTGTTCATCCATATTTAAAGAAAACAAAATATTTCCGGACCACAGGACTTTATTCATCGCGAAGGAGTTTGCCACCGTGACCTGAAACCGGAAAATATTTTGCTCGATGTAGCTGGTACCCTCAAGATTTCAGACTTTGGTCTCGCAGCAGTCTACAAACTCAAGGAAAGCGGCAAGACAAGACAATTGAACGAATTGTGTGGCAGCTTGCCGTACATGGCCCCAGAAGTGTGTCATTTATACATTCTCGGATTGTACTCACAATATGATTCCAGGTTCACTATGAAACACCGTATGAAGCAGAACCAATTGACGTCTGGGGGATTGGTATCATTCTTTTCACACTTCTCGCGGGAAGTCCGTCAAATTTCCAATCATTTCCATAAATTCTTCATATTAACATCCCTCCCAGATACCCCTTGGGATCAATCCACAGCACAGTCGTCAGAGTTCTGTCAGTATATCACGGGCGAGATATTCAACGAGCTCCCTTGGAATCGTCTAAAAGCAGAAGTCCTATGTAAGCGGAATCATCATGTGCTTTTCGTGTTAATGCACGCTGATATGCCCACCAGCACTTATCTGTGGCCTCCTAACTATCGAGCCAGAGAAGCGTATGACGCTCGCCGAAGCATTTGCTCACCCGTGGTGCATAAGACCAAGCCAAATTGCGAAGCAAGGTGTTGTCGCGCTTGCAGACCACTTAACTGAGTCTTTGAGGGCGAACGGTGATCTGAATTATGCGATGCCGGATATTGCAATCTCTGCGTACGTTCTCGGGATTATCATCATGAGGTTAACATTCACTTTCGTATGTAGTGAAACTCGCAAAGATAAAGATGGAGACGAGATCATGCTCTCTGCAACCCATCAATCCCAATTCACCCAATCGCTTTTATTATTCGTACGTCTCCCAAGGATGCACATTTTAGTTCTATTTTGACTCCGTTGTTTTCTTCAGTCACAAACACAGTCAGGTCGCAGGTATACACCTAACCTTACTCGCTTCTATACTTCTCTTGGGCCAGGGATCATGATGCAACTCGTAAAGGAATCCTTGACTACCCTCGGCGTCAAACACAAAGACGGACCTACCGGTGAGGATGAACGAGGGGAGATCCTTCGGTTGCGCGTAGGCGGGTATGACAAACGGAATATCGCATTCAAAGGCTGGGTCGAGCTCGAGAACTTCCGCTACGCTGAAACTGACGGAAGCTTCTGCTTGATGACTCGAGACATTGTAGGTTTCGTTCCATTCTCCGTTTCTGAATGTAGGCTCATGGAGCCACAGGGAAATCCTATTTCGTGGCGCCAGTTGTGGAAAGCACTAATTTTGTCACCGGCCGTGGATCCTCACGTACTCCGCAAATGACTCCATTAGCACTATGACACTCGAACACTGCCGTGTGTTGTTTGAACTTATGTCATTTGGATATCTTCGCGAGCTTCTTTCTTGCTGCCTTGTACACGATCTGATTGAACGCTTCTTACAGTGTGCCATACACTGCTATACCAAAAGACAATCTGTTTGCTCGAAAATCGAGGTGGTTCGCTTTCCTAAAATCCTATTGCAATTCAATTGTAGTTTCATCGATTCAAGCCTTTGCACCATGGATGCTGAAACCCGTCTTGATCGTGCATTCTTTTCCCCTCTCAACGTCTATGCCGATAGATTCTCAACCACAAAATTTTAGACAAACTGCCGGGCGATTCTCGTAGGTATTGGAACTAATATCAATCGCACATTTCACTGACGAAGTCCTGGAGAATCTTATTTTAGTTCAGACAGCCTGAAAGAAGCTGGGCAGACTCCATTGAACACACCAGAACACACTTGACTATCTTGGAATGTTAACCTATCCTGGAGCATGTAATTTCTCGGTAGAAATGGGATTGGTCAGAAACGTGTCATCGCGCTGCATCGTCGCTTCCTCAAAGTCCAACCTCTCAATACATTTGAAAGCCACTGCATCCCAGCATTCCATACAAACTGTTCGTTAAGGACTGTGAATCGAAGATAGTTTCCTCTGCGACTAACATATGCGACTACATTTAATGGATGACATTACTGAGGTTTGACCAATGACGCTAGCGCGAACCGTGCACAATCCCCGGACTGGTCCTTTCGCTCACGGTCAATTGTGCATAGCATTGTCGAGAGTGAGAACGCGAAGGGACACTCTATTTGCAGAGACGATGCTAATATAATATTTCCTGAGTTGCTACTGTAAACACGATATATTATCGTAGAGCCGACTGAAGGGAAGTACCTGTACAATATATAATGATAAATCTAGAATACGGGCAATTGATGATGATGGTATATACGGGTGTGCGATGAGATGGCAAGTCAAAGTTTTGGTGCATGGTTAACACGTTCTGGCGCGTACTTTGCCTATGCATTCCGTTAGCAAAGGCTATGAGAGATGCTTGGAAAGTTACCATCTCGTTCTCCTTCTTGACATAGCCACATTTTTGGTAGAAGGCTATGAGACATTAGTTGAAGCAGACTTGAAAGTCTATGGTGGGAAGCAACTCACGAATGTTGGCGTCACTACAGTTCAAAATGGTCTTATAACAGCCGCTGCTCTCACTGATATGTGTCAGGGTCTGGATGATATGGAGGCCAAGCTTCTTGCCCTGTTGGCTTTTGTCGACGGCGATATCCTCAATGTGACCGACACTGCCGAGACCGCGGAGGAACTTGCGCTCAATGAAGACGGTGCCTACTCCGACGATCTTGTCGCTCGCCTTGTCGAGGATGACGATGGAGAAGTATGCGCTCGGGGTTGCGCGCATGGCATGGAACTGGTTGACCCAGGCTACCTCGCCGAGGTCGTTGACGATGGATAGAACGGAAAGGACATCGAGATGTCCGCGTCTGTAGTCTGTTGATGCAAGCGGACGCATCTATGTCTTTTTGATGCGAAAGCAGTGTGAGAGAGCCGATGATCAACTTACCTGGAGATCAGGAGGAAGCTGTGCTGAAACTTCAAGTGAAATGAGCTCTTGAGGGAACATAAGGTCTTGAGGTGCGGGATCTACGCGTGTTATGGACATGGTGTCGATCATTGAGATAGTAGTGAAGATAAGTTAAGGAGAATATTCAAGCGAGCCCATCAATGCTATGTACGTCGCCAAACATAGCAACCCGGAAGCGCATAACAGTGATAAGTGCTAAATAGGGCGCTAGCCGCAAACGCTCGTCGACGTCAATCGGAGCCTTGAAAACTTGTACTGGATTCAAGTGGCATTAGAGCTTGTTACACTGAAAGTAAAATGTCTTTATCAGTATCATAAGTACAGTCCGACGCCTCAACCACTTGAGGACAACTGCCTCGCTTTGGACATCTTATTCCCCCACGACAACGAAATAATTGACCCCAACTAGCTTCAACCCATACTTGTCAGCAAACCCCGCCGCATTCCAATTCTTTCTATTCGCAGGCTCGTTCTTGCGCTCCGGGGCATCAGCAGGAATTGAGAAGTCCGCATTGGGTTCCTGATATAACAATATTACTGGGGTAGCCATAATTAACACATAAGGCAATTATAACAAATTTTATATCACCGTAACGATGCTTTCCAGTCCCAGGGGGAGGGGCGGGAGGATAATAGGACGTCACAGCGGGTTTGGTAAGCTGTGCAGCAAGATTGTCCGTCTCAACGGCCGACGTCGGAGGGGTTTTTACACCAGTGACCTACACATGAAGTTAATTAAAAGCTTTGTGGTCTATGAAGATACTAACCATCCAGTGCCGCCACTGTCTGAATTTTGGGTTTTCCCTAGATGGTGCGTCTGGGTCTGTCATGACGAGTGTATAGGTGGGTTCATCAGTCACATCCAGCACCGGAGTGAACAAAACGGTTGGTTCGTCAGCAGTGTCCGTTTTTGTGAGCGTGTTCCCCAAAAGAGCTTCTTGGCTAGTGGGGAAGGTCACGACGAGCAGAGCCTTGGGATGGAAAGGAGGGTCAACAGGGATAACGTCTGGAATGATACCAGTGTCCTTGAGATCTTCTCTGACAGCATTGAATGGATCGAGCAGCATTGTGGGCTCAAGACGTCGAGGGTTTCGACAATGACGGGACTCAAAGAAAGATCAAAATTGAAGTCGTCATTGGAGAAAGGGGTGGTTATGTAATATTCCTTCCAAAGACAGTTTGGGCCTTCATGCTTTCAAGGGCTTGCCGTTAATAAAGCTTGCGTTCTAGCGAGCCTGTAAGATAGAGTGAAAAACTATGCTACAGAACATTGAATGGTGCCTGTAACACTACATGACTGTATCATTCGCACGTCGAATTGAGGAACTGCAACAAGTTCTGTCTATTCGCGTCCATCTCGAGATCTCTCGCATCCTTATGAACTTTCAACTTGATCTGATACAATTATATCAGATAGTCTGAAGCCTATCTAAACAGAGAAAACTGACCTTCTTGCCTGTCAGAACACTGCGCCTTTCATCCTTGTCCTTCGCATTATCTCTATCCTTGTGCTTCTTGTGCTTCTTGTCTCGGTCTTTCTCTCTGTGCTTTGACTTGGACTTGCGAATATCGCGACTATCTGAACGAGACCTAGACCGGTGGCTTGGCGAATTTCCACGCAACCTATGCCGACTACTGCCACCACGCTCCTCAGATGACGTCGACACTACAGAGTTTGTCGAAGGTGAAGGAGATCGGCGTCGGTGTTCAGCGGTCTACGGTGCATTTATGTACACATCTTCAGAGGTCAAAGGCAACTCAGCCAAAAAAAAAATAGGGGATAACGTACAACGCTGCGACTTCTGATTCGCCCACGACTTTCGGAAGACTCGTGGTATTTGTCTCGGTCCTACAGCAGTGTTAAACCAATATTGAAATAAGATAGTAAGTGTCTCACATAACGATCATCCTTTCCTCTGTCTCTCGTGTTGTCATGATACTTGTGACTGCGTGAGCGGTATGGACTGCGGGACCTTGAACGTTTAGTGTGACGAGACCTTCTGTCCCCTTTCTCGTCACGGTGGCTGCCTCTTTCAGGCGACTTTGAACGACTCCATCCTCTATCTCCCCCTGTTCAGCGAATGCATATCGTGACATGTTATAAATATGAGCATAAGTGAATGTGTTGTCGCCCCATTACCAGCACAGCCGACGTAGTGCGTGGTAATCAACATTGACACAGAAGGTCAGTCAAGAATCTCTAAGGAGCAACGGAGACCATTTACCACTTCGTCTATGATAATCTCTTGAGTGGTGCTCTCTCCGTTCACCGTGTCTTCTCTCACTCATGAGGGTTGTTGCGGAAAGGCGATTGTGGAATAATTCAAATTCAAATTAGGTTGTGTTTGGCATCACCGGACCAAACAACAGAAGTGATTGTGATGGACAGCCTGATAAGCCTGGTCAGATATGTAGGTGAAACGAATGGGCAGTGTCAGTTCAAACTGACAACCCTAGCGCCGTAGAGAGGAAGGAGGATGAGGTTAGGTTACTTGGCATGGTGGGTTGAATTTTGGTTTTCGTCAAGTAATTAACCCAAAATCGCTCAGACCTTGGATGTGCAGGCGGCGGTACTTAGTACCTTAGGCTTCTCAACCCTCTTGACAAGATTGCACATGGTATCACTGCTGCAAAAGGTCCAAATAGCTGTCCTCATTCCGTCACCGCGACGCGTGCTAAATTTCTCGGCCTGGCCCGCGCAAAAGCGATGGAGAAGCACACTTTCCATCACCCATACCTGCCTGCGCATGTCCTGTTCGCCTTCACTTCACACTTTGTGCTCCCTTCTATTTCTTCCGCATATCTCGTCCCTCTCGCTCCTAACCGGTCTTTGTCGTTTTCCAATCGTCAAATTTATATCCCGCGTGTCCCTCACTTTGTATATGCTGACAATCCATATTTCATTCCGTGTTTCTTAGAACGCCCACACACTTATTCATTCGTCTGCCATTATGCGTGATAATGCACGCTTATGCACTCCTTCGTTCTCCTCTTTTAGTGGCCACTGTCGCTCTCGCTCATGCCATGAAATGCGGGCAGTTCACACTCCCTATTTTCAGTTTCTTGATCTCATCACTATCGGTCTCTGCGTCTCCCTCGGATGGGTTTTTTGCGGAGGGAGTAAATTCTCCCTCCAACGAACGTGACATTTCTCTCCGGTTCTCCCTCTCTCAACCGGCTATTCGTCCTTCAAGCGCGTCAATGACCTTGATCTATCTATTCCCCAGTGCATCCATCCCATCTCGTCATTGTTTTCTTATGAACCACCGAACTGGAGTTATCACACATTCGTTAACTTCGCATTCAAACACATACCATCACCGCTCCTTCGTCTTCGCTCGTCAATCGGTGTTTATGACAGGGAATTGGATGCGATGGATATATGTACTTTTGGTTGCATTTGTACTAATCAGCGTGTACACGAATGTAGATTTTGCTCGTGTCGCAATTGATAATGTCTGCCATAAGGTCGACTTGGGCGCTGTTCTATTGGTGCACGTGACAACACGACCCGGCTTAGCGGAGTCTGGAGCACAGGAATACAACTTGAAACCACGGACACGTATATAGTCGATTTCCTTCGTTATCTCTATTCCCTCAGTCGACTGAGGAGTATGTCTCATTCGTTTTCTTATATGTTACCTGGACGCTAACACAGCTACTGTAGATTGACTGTTGTCTAGTCTCTTTAAGACCTGTGTTGGATCAATGATCTAAATGATATCTGGTTGGTTGCCGAAACCATGGTGTTGCAGTTTTCCGATCTTTTACTGCGTAGGAACATTCATATTCCGCGCGAGTTACTGCTTTGAGATTTCATCAACAATTTTTACTTTGATCTCATTGATATATCGCTGGATTTTCTACTTGAATTCGTGCTGAAAACCTGGGACACTTCGATCGATCAGATATGATCTTTCAAATCGTAGTATAACCTACGCCGACCGTTCTCAGAATCTGTCATCCACGTCCCGCCCCGCACTACTAGAGACTCCAGACCACGCCCGTCTACTTCGCTTTTGGCAATGTTTAAGCAAGCCTGTGCTGCAAAGCCCGTGCTGGACCTTAAACATTGCAACGGTGATCAGGATTCAGGATTCAGCCATACTTCGGCGCTGGATGGTAGTATATCAAGCACGAATGCAATCGTTATACATTCACCAAGTTCCCCCACTCACTCCCATCTTCTAATAGTATGGCCCTAATCTCGAACGATCCCAGTTGGTGGTTACTCATCGATGCGAATTTTATTTCCGGCTATTTTGCAGGTCTGTGGAGGGCTAGCCACATGATGACCGTAGACTCGATTAACCTTGCCTGCGATTTCACAGTTGTTGGCTGTGTTGGGGTAATGTACGATTAGGGTGAGCAATACTGAGCATGAAAGATCCGTTAATATCCTTGAAGTATTTCCAGTACTTACGTTCGGACAAGAGGTAGGCCGATCAATTACCGGGGCAGCCAACTCGCTTAGAATCGTGTTATAGGTCGAACTGATCTGGGTGAGCGGACTCACATCAAAAAAATGACTTGAAAATACAACTTGTTCACGGCAGGGGCAACGCTGGTCCCTGACGACCTTTCTCTATCTTAGCGTATATACCTTGTCCTTAGCAAGTCCAAGTCTTGTTGACTTCAAAATATCCTAGGTGCGCTATGCTGGAATAGGATATGCTGTGTACGTTTGGAAGTTTAAGCTATTGATGTTGCGCTCATTACCTATCTCTCACAATCAGGATCAACATGTTGTGTATGTCTCCCCGCATAGACTCTGTGTCTTTCTTGTGACGGGCAACATACAGTGAATGTTCCAACCATTGCGACAACAGATTCAGTGAGTGTTCCGCACTGATGCTTTCCATTCCCGCCAAAACAACTGAACTATCATGCAGGGGTGAGTGAGATTCTCGAACAATTTGTTGGGTCAATATAACAATTGCCACAGCTGTGAGTCTGTTTCAAGCATGTGATCCTCCGAGGAGTAATGTTGCTGGATTTGTCAGGCCTTATCATGTACAACGCACTTGACTGGATGACTGAGGTTGTAAATGTAATACTGGGTGGTGAGTTATATACCTCCGTGATATTGACTTGACTGAAACATCATGCAAGTCATCATGATTGCTCGGTTACATGCCATGTATCAGCGATCTAGGAAGATGCTGATGTTTCTCGTTGTCATTTTTCTGGCCATCAGAATCACCAACGCAGTGATGGTCGCAATAACGATGATGCAGATTTCAGCGGGTAAGCTTTGATCGTGTCTGAAAGATCTAACTGCACCATACTCACTGACAAATACCAGAGGAAGCCGCTCTCTCCGGCACCTATCAGTGTCAGATTGATTATGTGAGATATGTCCTACTTCTGGATTCCATGACTTGGATACTCGCCACTGTGTGGGAGGTCCTCGCACTGTGTCTCGCAGTTTGGATTGCTGTAAAGCACTTCCATGAACTGCGACAACACTCATCAACAGGTATTATTGGGGACTATTTCACAGTGTTGATGAAAGCTCATGTGATTTACTTTGCGAGGTGAGCTCATGATGTGGACGTGGTTCTCTTGTTTTTTTTACTAAAGTTCTGCATGTGCAAGCTTCGTTGCAGTTTCTTGTTTTGAAATTAGTTGTTTGTCTCCGACGCTCTCTGTGGTACACCGATCTGTTATCGACCTCTGCATACGGTCGTGATTCATATTTCCACAGGACGCACCTTACGTGGAAACTCAGATTTATGCTGGTTTCGTTCAAATCTTCCAATTTGCGCAGATGTTTGTGCTGGGACCACGCCTCATCCTTAGCGTGCGAGAATATCACGCTAAGCTCGTGGCTGTCTCCGATACAGCAACCGCTATGACATCAATTGCTTTCCAGGATCGCGTTCATGTGTCGACCAGCAGTAGTGTGTAGCACGGAGATATTTGATATGATTTACACTCGTCGGATATTAGTCTGCAGAGTGCGGGTCGTTTGTATTTATTTCAAGTTTCATCGGCTGCAGGGAAATTGTAAATAGGAGACAGAGAAACTGCCATGACAGCAACACAACACTGCGTACATAATATGCTTGCACAATCAAATTTGATCAATTCCGAGCGGTATTGTGGACATGCGCGTTACTCACCAGGTCTTTTACTCACCGCAGGTCATCGATTTTGTGAAGGACAGAAGGAGAGCAGAAACAACGCTGCTGCTCTTATTTGAAGCCTCAAGTGTCGATAACGTACAGAGTCCCTGCGCCAGACCTCCCGAGTACCGCAATTGCAGGGCTGGACATGCGAATAAATAAACGTGGTGCAGTTAACGTTCGATGTCGAATAGAACTGACAATTTCCCCAATACCACTCATGCTCATGCAGAACAGTACTGATCAACAGACCGTCAACAGCGTCCGCATAGCATGACGTGGTGGACGCAATAGCCACCGAACCGGCGATTATTCGTGCTTTGCAGACGGTGGCTGATCGTCATATGTGATGCTCCGGACTCGATATAACTGTTACACCAGTCGTAGATTTACTTCCGAGTCACCTTTAAGAGGGTTAGTCAAGGTCGCTATTGAACTTCGGCTTCATGATAAGGGTGGCGAATACTAGTAGATCTGGCTGCTAGGTGTCGTTTTTTATCATCTAACATGGGCAAGGATGGCTAATAATAATTTTCAGGTCATCAGTTTTGTGGCACGATCTATGCGGACGTTCTCTATTTGAAGGCAGCTGAATAGGGGACAGGTTCCCTCGGGGATTGTCGAGTATTAGACTGCCAACTGAATGCAATACAACTGGGTGGAGACCGTCTAGATGTAATCGACTGTCACCCTCGAGAGATTAACATAGAGTACTTACCAGTAATGCCCACACAAGCCGGGCATCGCCGCATCTCAACTGGGCTGATATTACAAAACTACACAGCAGAACGGACACCGATGTTGATTAGCGTGCGCGAGAGATGGTATCAGCGGCCCCAAGTAAATTTACAGCAACGGTATTGCTCTCTTGAATGCGTTTCAGACGCTCATAAAGCACTTGTACCTCGCGGGCCGTGGTATCAATCAGTTGCTGCTCTGTGGGAGGTATCGATGATGCGTTCTGAGGCTCGGGGGCGGGTGGCATGGGGTATGCGCCTACACCAGTTTGTCGAAGGAATTCAGCAAGTGTGCGAAGTGCCTGCATAAGTGCGGCCAGCTCCGCTAGAAATTGGAAGCGTAAAGTCACAATTATAAAATAACATGAAGCGTACTTGCCTGTTGTGTGTGCAGGACTATTTCCTGCCTGGTATGCATTTTGTCTAACAATGATTAAACGTCGTATAAGTATGAGGGGAGTGGAGAGACTTACATGTCGTGCGAGCAGTTACGTGCCAGTGATTGAATCCTTGCGACATGGTCAAGCGCTATTTGCACGTTCTGCTTTAGCACTTCTGGTGAATTTGGATCAGTCACGGTGTGGATGGAATCGTGCAGCGACGATTGTGACATATAAACGGAAGCATTTGTAAAGCTAGATTGCGGGATAGATGATATGGACAGAGTGGAAGATTGACCGGAATTATTCATTCCGCTACCTGATGGTTCTGATCAATTGGGTTCGACCGACCGTAGATTGAAGCTGATGGTTGTTTGGACTTGTTATTCCCGCCATGTACACGTCCATGTTGCGCTAAGCGTTTGGAACTTCAAAAACCAAAATTTTCAAACACTCAACAAGTACTATGATGTTGTGCTAGCGCTTTGAGTCTTCCTGCCTCCTCGATTTTAACGTCTCTAAATGTCAGTTCTCTTTCCGCCGACCACGCATCTTCCACCGATCGCCAAGATCGCGAGTTTCTCCATCACCCAGCTTCTCGATGCCTTGACTTATTTACAGTCACTTTACTATCCAGAAGTCCGTGGCTCGCATCGCAAACGTGTGCAGGCGCCTGTATTTAATGGAGAGCAAAATTCACGCCTTCCTCATGAAGATGATAACGAACTCCAAGTTATCCGATCTGACGCATTCGAGCGCTCATATTCCATTCGGTGGCTCATCGCTCTTATCGCACAGCTCGAAGTCTGGCAAGACTTATCGCATTCTAGAGACGCCTCATTAGATGATCTTGGGAAACTAGAGCCCATCTTTACCCACACGGAGATGATCGTCCAACAAGCAGCGTCGCTACTCGCGATTTGTGCTGGGGTCGCTGCTGCTGGAATATTCACTCGTAACTTTGTTTTTGGTTCTATAGATGGGCACAGGCGAGTGGAAGCTCAGCTGACGGATATTCCGCTGGACAATGATGACTATGGAAGTGTGGGAGCGCAGACATGGGGCGGGGCATGTGTCTTGGCGGAAATGATTGTGGAAGATCCCGAGCGGTTTGGACTGGATTTTTCCTCTGATGACCCTAAATCACGCAGGCTTAACGTCCTCGAGCTTGGGGCAGGAACTGGGTTGGTTAGCTTAGTGGTTATGAAATTACTGGATACGTTGCCGTCTTTCAACCATCGCGAGGTTTCTGTGGTTGCGACCGATTTCCATCCTTCTGTGTTAGCCAACCTCAGGTCAAACGTTAACGCGAATGTCCCCTCCATGCACGATCAAATTACCTCGACCCATTCCATTATTACTCATTTCCTCGACTGGTCATCATTCTCTACTGCTCCTCGACCGGATTGTCTTTCGTACCCATTTGATGTGGTCTTTGGTGCAGACATCATTTACGAAGCCCAACATGCGGTCTGGATCAGGGACTGTCTGAAAGGGCTTTTGCGGCGTCCTTCTGATAGCATCAGGTCTCCCGCCGCTTTTCATCTTGTGATACCACTTCGTCCAACACACACATTCGAGTCAAGCACGGTTGAGTCCGTGTTCCTCAAGGCACCTGATGTGGATCCGAATGATGATGCTGATCTCGTCATACTATCGAAGGAATCTATCACATGTGATGCGCATGGCGATTATACGCGAGGACAGGGTCTTGATGAAGACGTAGAGTACCTTTATTATAAAATTGGCTGGTCTAATGCGCGATTGTAGAACCGTAGAGTTTAAATCACGTTCATATATTAGAGTCTAGACCACGTCGAGCTTGCGTAGAGTTGCTAAAGGTCGTGTTTCATAGTGTTATGTGCAACATGTCACAGACTCAGACTCAGTGACATGATTGGGTAACGAAATGTTTGTCTACAGTTTGATGCTGACGCCCATCAATGATCATACGAGACCATGAGTTCGAGTGATAGAAGAGGTTTACTTCAAGTCTCAACGGTTCCTTCCGCATTAGACTAGGCTGTATCTCGTCGCTGCGTCTCCGCGTAAGCTTACTCATACCAAGTTTGAGCTCTCCGCCTCAGATCCTTCTTCGCACCGTCTGCGAAACTTGGGATATCTGTGAGCCGTTACTATTCAATTCTATTCGATTCCTGATCATATCTACTTTGGTCTGCAGTGACTTTCATGCCTGCCCGCAGGGAGATAACGGCTCTGGCCCGCGACTTTTTCGGTGATTCGAGCAGAAAACTCATTGCCTAGGACGGAGACACCTGTGAATATCTCACCAAAGCCATCAAAGCCCACTCCGATGTTGTTTTCTCGCTAGACTTCTCACCAGATGGCACTGTACTGGCGAGTGGTTCGTGGGACAAAACGACGGAACTGTGGAATACAGAGACTTGAGAACTGCAAGGAGACCCCATGTCGTGTCATGATTATACGATATTCACCTTCAGGCGAATATCTTGCCATCGCGGCAGAGAAGAGCATCCAAATATGGGATCCAGACACGAGGTACCACCTTGCAAATATGGAGGTTCACAGTAGTTTAGTACTCAACATGTCACTCGCGTGGACGCCCGATGGACGACTTCTCTCGGGGTCTAACTGGGCCAATCCCATCATACAGGAGACATCGATCTGGAACAAGGTTGGTGATCCCTGAGAAGGGCATACTCGCAGTATCAATGCCATCGCTGTTGACTTTACTGGCACTCTCGTTGCATCTGCATCCGATGACCATCACGTTCGCCTCTGGCGGCTCTCGGATCAATGAACCATTGCCATATTCGAGAACTCTGGCTGGGTGGGCTGTCTTACCTTTTCCGCGGATGGCAAGGGAATCCTTAGTGCAGGCTACGATAAGACGATCTCAAAGTGGGCAATACCCGAGGACGTTTTGCCTTATACCAAGGCATATTCCCACTCTTCATTCTTATCACGCGATCTGAACAATGCTGGATCTGATATACGCAGATCTACCTTATAAACAGGGCAGTTCGCAATGCAGCACTTCTCCATGCAGAAACAGTGTGGTAGTATCTATGATATCGTTAGTCATTCCTCATGCTGGTCCTACATAGGTTATTAAACTCAGCCCTTCATCTTATTGTGGATACCGCTTGAAGCATGCATCGCTTCATGGCGCACAGCGCTATCATGAACCATCGCGGTCTTCGAAACCATGCTCTCCAAGTTAGAACATGCTTCCGACACCCAGATACGACGTAAGCCGTGAATGACAAATGCGTCATATACTTGACATCTTTCTCCAGAACTGCGCCGGCATTATCTCAGTTCGTCCGAAGCAGAGTGTGCCATTCGGCAGGTCATTCACGCTCAACTCGACAATTCGCCACTTCGTGTACTCGACACCACCGCCGGACTCTTGTGCAATCAAGAGGTGCAGATAAGCGACTTCAAAACGAGCAAAGAGTACAAGGAGCTTTTGTCGTTCGCGATGAAGCATTCAGATATCCGAATGAAGCGTATCCAAGAAGTGGTGGCAGCATACTTCGGTTGTGTCATGTTGTCACATAGGTGGGAAGAAAAGGAGCACCTCCTGCACGACATCCAGGGCAAGGACATATATGAATGGAATTCAGTTGGTGGCATTCTGAAGTTGAAATCGTTTTGCAGCATTGCTTGTGATGCGGGGTATCGTTGGGCATGGAGTGATACATGTTGCATTGACAAGAGCAACAACGTTGAGCTCCAAGAATCGCTCAACTCCGTGTTCATCTGGTACCGTTACTCAGCACTTACAGCTGTCTGCCTTTCGGATGTTCCGCCTTCGTCGGAGCCCGGTGCCCTGGCAAAGAGTGAGTGGATCAGGCGAGGATGGACGGTCGGAGAATTCCTAGCTCCCAAAGTCATTCGCTTTTATCAAAAGGATTGGACTCTATATCTCAACGATCAGTCCCTCAACCACAAGGAGTCCGTCGCGATCATGCAGGAGCTGGGAGACGCCACGGGCATAGATCCACGGGCATTGGTCTCCTTCAATCCAGGGATAAGAGGCGCCCGAGAGAAATTTAAATGGGCCTCAACACGTATCACCACGTTGCAGGAAGACATCGCATACTCATTGTTTGGCATCTTCGGTGTGCATTTACCTGTCATCTATGGCGAGAAGAAACACAATGCGCTCGGGCGGCTCTTGCAGGAGATTGTGGCTCGGTCGGGGGACATCACTGCGCTAAATTGGGTCGGAACTCTGTCACACATGCTCCCATCTTTACCTGAAGATGAGATGCAAACATCGGTGTCCTTCCTGTGACATGCGGTGACTGTCGATTTGGCTTCCGAAATTTATGCCCTGTTTGACAACCTGAGCGCTCCTCGTTTCGCAAACTGCAGGTTGCATCTACCCTGCGTCACATTCCCTGTCAGATCAATCAAATGGATGCGTGGACATAGCTCCGACGGTACATCTTTCATATATGCAGTCAAGGCAGACGGTCTTAGTGACCTGGAGATCACCACAGAAGACAGGCCAGTCCAGTTCTCACGAACGATACCCGCTCGTCAAATATTGTTGCTCGTCCGTCCGTGGAGTTGTCATCTTCTCGAGCTACATGACTCTGCAAACGACAAGCAGAGCGTGGCAAACTGGTCTACGGTCGATTCTTCGTTATACCATTTACCCAGCGCGTCGAGCGAGCGAGCGAGCGTCGCGGTTTCTTCGCATTGGACAGCCTTTGGGCTCATTTTTTGATGCGCTTCGCGGTTTCCCTGGAGAAATAAAGTCAGCCGATACGGAGACCCACTCGCGAGCATTGCGGTTGATTGTTCACTTTGGACAGCCTTTCAGCGCATTTTTACTAGCACAGCAGCTCGGTGGAGAATACAAGAGAATCGCATCAGATCAACACATCATCGCACAGGTCAAAGACATGGCTTTTGTTTGCAGCATGATGGACGTCAGGACACTAGAGATATTATAGGGACGAAGAACAAAGAACTTTGATGGGCACTTTGACTTACCTGTATGATACGATTTATGACAAATAGTACTTATCTACGATACTCGTGATGCCAACGCAATCTACTTGTTTCGGCTCTGGTTTCATGATCAGGAATTGAAATAGTGACGGTTTATATACTTGATCACTCGTCAGTATTGCACAGGGAGCTACAAAAGGTACGACTACCTGGCCGGTGCTGGCTGTAGCTAAGTAAAACATTACAATTGAAATACATACCGAAGTTGAACCATCATGCATTAGCCTCGTATCCTGTGCATCTGACGAGGCTATTGTTGAAGTCCGAACGATCCGAAGAGAAAGAGAGTGAGGAAGCCGAAGGATCCGACATGATAGGTACGAGCGAGAGAGAGAGGTCCGAGCACATGAGGCAGACGGGCCAATAGGCTGCGCCCAAATGACATCAGCTTGCGCCCTGCAATATACATATGTCAGAAAACTTCACCTTTGCATTCCTTACTTACCTTCCTATAAAACCAAGTGCCCATCAGACGTGCACATCTCAGTTCTAGTTGAAACTGAGATCATACCTTTGTGTTCTAGCTCCCTCTCCTGTTGTTTGCTCGCCTGTTCTTGCAACAGGTTATGAGCCCTGCTACAGCCATGGAAATCACACTCCCCTCCTCCAGCTCTGCCCTATTCAACGTCCCAAAGCTAGCTGAGGATGGTAGCAATTGGATTACCTATAAGGAATGAACAGTTAATGGCGATTAGTGCGAGAGGTCTGATGCGGTTTACCGATGGATGTGCAGTATGACCTGTCCCCTACAAGGTCAACAAGAGGACCAAAACTGCTGAAAAGGAGGATGGCAGTGAGCCGACAACAGCAGAGATTGAGACTCTTCATAAGAAGATTGATAAGTACGACCAGAAGGACTCACTAGTGAAACAGCAAATCTTCAGCACCATAACTGATAGGCTGCTGCTGTGTGTGCAGAAGCTCAAGGCTGCTTCGGTGATTTGGGCTGAGATCTGCAATATTCATGAAGGGAAAACTGAGCTCATCCAGATTGATCTGAGGTGAAGGCTTCAGGAGACCAGATGTGAGGAGAACAGAGATATAAAGACTCACTTTAGCAAGATGCTTCAGCTCCATGAGTCACTGGTAGGCATGGGAGCCGCCATCGAGGAGAAAGACTTCTATGCCATGATACTGGTGTCCCTCCCAGAATCCTATTATCCCCTACTCTCGTCCATTAGCGTGGCTATGAAGATAACCGGTGCATCCATAAGCTCCTATGAACTAATCAATATTGTCTCAGAGGAATATGAGCATCAACAACTCACCAGTCAGTGACCTATCAAGAAGGGACCCAATTCGGCCCTATCAGCGAGAGGACCTCTGGGAAAAGGGAAGTCCTTGTCCACCTCCTCACCGTCCAACCCGGATGCAGTTTGTTATAACTGCGACTGAAAAGGCCACTACAAAAGCGATTGCTGGAGGCCAGGGGGAGGAAAAGAGGGTCAGGGACCAAACCAGAGAGGGAAGAGGGGAGGATGTACCCAAAAACAGAGCGTGAATGCTGCAAAGGAGTCAGAGGGCCAGGAGAACTATGCTTTCATGACAGACGACCTTGCCAACATCACCCAGAGGATGAACATACCTCCTGAACGCCGTGGAGCCATAGTAGACTCTGGTGCAACCTCCCATTTCTGTCCTGACAGGTCGAAGTTCTTAAACTTTGTCCCTATCGCCCCACAAGACGTATTCACTGCGAATGGGTCAGTTCTCAGCGCTACTGGCAGAGGAGATGTCAAGATAGACTTACCCTTGGGGACAAAGAGAACAACTGTCACCCTGAAGGATGCATTATATGCCCCCTCTATGGCGTTTACCCTAATCTCGACCAACAGAATCGCTTCAGCCGGATTAGCGGTCCTGTTTGAAGGCAAGATGTGCCAAATCTTGTCAAAGGGGTCCTGAATGCGAAGTCATCACCTGAAATCCCACAGCTTGAGGGTCTGTATAGTGTGGCCAGTCAGAAAACACATCACGCTCATGTCGCAAGGGCAAAACTTACCTTGGCCGAGGTACATCGTGCCCTAGGCCATATCTCCCAGAAAGCTGTCCTGCAAGTTGCAAAGGATCAGCTCATCAAAGGTCTGGATGTCGACCTCACCTCCCCTACTGAATTCTGTGAAGCATGTGCAAAAGCCAAAGCGACTCATCAGCCATTTCTGCAAGAGTCAAAAACGCATGCACTCACCTATGGGAACTCATCCATATGGACTTGTGGGGCCCAGCGCAGACTACCAGCCTTAGTGGCATGACCTATTATATTAGTTTCACAGATGATTACACTCATGAAACGAAGGTCGAGTTCCTGAAAGCTAAGAGTGAGGTGTTGGAGGCATTCAAGAGGTATGAGGTGCACCTTACTCGTCAAAACCCTGGGACGTGTCTATGAAAAGTTCGATCAGACCGTGGAGGGGAGTATCTGAGCGCAGAGTTCGATAAGTATCTGTTGGACCAGGGGATCGAGAGACAACTCACTGTCCACGATTCACCCCAGCAAAATGGAGTGGCTGAGCGCCTAAATAGGACCCTGGTCGAGCTCACTAGAGCGATGCTCATAGGATGAGACCTCCTGAAGTTCCTGTGGGCGGAAGCAGTGAATTATGCTACCTGGTTAAAGAACCGCTTACCCTCGAGTGCCATACCTGGTGCTACTCCTCACCAACTTGTCCATAGGGCGAGACCCAACCTGTCCATGGCCCGGGAGTTCGGATCAAAGCTGTATGTCCACCAGGCGAATGCTGGAAAGCTCGAACCACGCGCTGAGGAGGCTGTTTTCATTGGGATTGACACAGATAGCAAGGTGTGCTGTGTATACTGGCCGACGAAAAGGCGAGTCTCTGTCAAGTGAAACGTAATGTTTGTGCTGCCCAACATGCTTGTTGACCAGGATGTGCTGAACGAGGGGGAGTCAAGACCTATAGAAGAGGAGATGAGTACTGATAGCAATGCACCTAGTGTCCAGCCCATCCTGCTTACTCCCACTCCTACTCCAAATGCTACTCCAAACACCCCAGAACCCAGGGAAAGCTGAGCCAGACCAGCTCCAGGGTACTATGCCCAGCTCCAAAAGGGCCAAACAGCAGCTGTAGCCATTGAATCCCTGAAGGATGTGTCAGATTTGGATCTTCTAGACAAGGAAGCTCACATTCACTTAGCCTTAGTGACGGCTGAGCCAGAGCCCACCTTGCAGCAGGCTCTGAATGGTCCAGACGGTCCAGAATGGCAGGAAGCGCTAGACTACGAGATCAGTCAGCTGGAGAAGTTGGGAACATGGGACATCGTGGACTTACCTCGCGGATCAAATATTATACCCTGCCACTTTGTGTTAGCAACTAAGCAAGGCCCCAATGGCAAAAAGCTCAAGCTAAGAGCGTGACTTGTCATGAATGGACAACGTCAGCAATACAGCGTCGACTACTTCGACACGTTCACCCCAACAGCAAATATGAGCACAATACGTACCATATTAAGCATGGCAGCCCAGAAGGACTGGGAGATTCATCAGGTGGATGTAAAGAACGCTTACCTCTATGCAGATGTCAAGGAAGACATATATATGAGGGTGCCACCAGGATATCTGAAGGACAGTCAGGAGAGAAAGGTACTAAAGCTAAAGCGCAGCTTGCCTGGCTTGAAGCAGGCAGGTTTTGAGTGGGCAGAGGAACTAGCTGGAGCATTTCTGAAGATGGGTTTTAGCCACTCCCAGGTTGATCAAGTGGTATATTTCAAATGTACCCCAAAAGAGCACATTGTCATCACCGTGTCGGTTGATGACATGGCTGTCACCGCCAATCACAAGTCCCACATTCTCCAATTCAAGTCGAAACTTGGCGAATTCTTCAAGATATCCGACCTGGGCGAGCTATCATGGTTATTAGGGCTAAAGGTAACAAGAGATAGAGTGGGACACACCATTACCCTTTCTCAAAAGGCCTATGTCAACACAATCATTGAGCATTTTCATCTGGGGGATGCTAAGACCATCCAGACCCCCATGGAACCAGCCACCTCCCTGTCCATAGATCAGTCCCCTGGAACGCATGCAGAGCTAGCCGCCATGCAAGATGTACCTTATCAACAAGCCATTGGCTCATTGATGTATGTGGCGATGAGCACACGTCCTGATATTGCCTTTGCAGTAGCAACATTGTCGCAGTTCATGTGAAACCCTGGAAGGGCACACTGGGAGGCTAGTAAGCGAGCTCTTCACTACCTAAAAGCCACTGACAACTTCGAGCTCACCTTGGGATCTACAGATGCCGGGATTGAAGTGTTTGTCGACACAGATTGGGCTTCACAGCCACACAGGCACTCCATGAGTGGGTACATAGTACTCCTCAATGGAGGCCCAGTGTCCTGGAGCACAAGAAAGCAGCCCATAATCACCCTATCGATGGCAGAAGCTGAGTACATTGCTCTCACCAGTGTAGCAAAGGAAATACTGTACCTTCAACTACTCCTTGGTGAACTCTACGAACCACCAAGCCTCCCCACCCCCATATTCTGCGATAACCAAGCTGCTATAGCGTTAGCATCCACTGGAAAATTTCAATCGTGTATGAAGCATATTGACTTGAGGTACCACTTCATCCGCTCACATGTGAAAAATGGCACCTTTGAGCTCCTCTACTGCCCCACAGATGATAACGTCACTGACGCATTCACCAAGGCATTGCCCTGCCCCCGGCTACAAAAGCTATGCACCCACATGGGTCTGGCATGCGCTCGAGGGGGAGTGTTGAAGTCCGAATGATCTGAAGAGAAAGAGAATGAGGAAGCTGAAGGATCTGACATGATAGGTACGAGCAAGAGAGAGAGGTCCAAGCACATGAGGCAGACAGGCCAATAGGCTGTGCCCAAATGACATTGGCTTGCGCCCTGCAATATACATATGTCAGAAAACTTCACCTTTGCATTCCTTACTTACCTTCCTATAAAACCAAGCGCCCATCAGACACACACATCTCAGTTCTAGTTGAAACTGAGATGTGAGTACTTGGAAACATGTATGTCAGCAATTACTGACCAAAACCGTAGTGTACCTTTGTGTTCTAGGTACTATACACGTTAATATGAGTTCTAGTTGAAACTGAGATCGTACCTTTGTGTTCTAGCTCCCTCTCCCGTCATTCGCTCGCCTGTTCTCGCAACAGCTATAACGAACACCGACTCAGATTCGGAGTGCACGCAGACGACGCAACTAAATTTGTACAGCAACCTCAATATCAGACTGCATCGGGATAGCGACTTCACAAAGAAACAGCCTCATTATAGCTGCGTGTTGTATGTGAGACTTAGCACTACAAAGCACTATAAAAGTACCAGGTATTAGTATGTACCTCACCTCTGTGCTGAAGAAAGACGGGCACATTCCCTGGCAGGTACTCAGCACCTTATCAGGCTCAGAATACCAGCAGAAATAGTGCAGCCCCATCATACCAAACACAGCACTTGTTCAGGCGTTCAAAGATCACAAAGGAGGCACATTAGCAGTTGCCGTCTTCCCCGACGGCGAATGGTAACGGGCTCATGCAACAGGTCGCCTCGTCTGTGGGACTTGAAGAATGGGATCATGCTGAGGATGGAGAGGCATTGCAACGCAGTAGGAGCAATGTCAGTGGTAGGGCATGGACTCAGCAATTGGTAGCAAGCGGTGGTATGAGTGGAGGACTCATTGCCTGAGACGGAGACACTGCAACTGGCGAGTCTCTCACCCAAGCTATCAGAGGCCGCTCCCGCTGGATTTCTCGATGACGACGGACCGGGGCAGGGGCCGTGGTCGAGTCACGAATACAGTCTGATTGTGATATGAAATATCTGAACGTGCTGTGGAAAAAGTGGACAAAATAATTAGAGAGGTGATGAATACTATCATCGACGGGAAGATATCCCCAGGCGCCTCCAGCCGAGATCTAGTCACAAACAAAAGGGGGTAGATGGATGGTATTGCGAATCTACAGGTGGGATGAGGCAAAGGACTTTAAACTTCAAAGACTAGTGGTACGGCAGCCGAGGAAGAAGGATTGTCCGTAGATAATGGGATGGGCAATGGATGTATCATTACAAAAGTCAAGCTTGGAAGAACAGCCATGTAACAAAAGGGGATGATGTTCCAGTCGTGATGAAGTACAATGCGGAAGGAATTAGTCCAGGGAAAAAGGTTGGAGATTGAAAAGGTCATCAAGTGACGACTGCTTCCTAGTGCCAACCTCAAAACGTTGGGCTTTTGTTCGAACAAATGGCCTTCGAAGACGAGGGGGCTCCCAGTTGTCGCTCGGCAGGTATTGGTGAGGAGCTGGTGGATAGTACGTATTTGCAGCTTCTGACTTCACATATTTTGCAAGCTGGTGGATTCTGTGCTTTTTTTTCGCCCAAGCATCCGGTGCTAAAAATTATTGGTCAATCTAGGTCTCCTGAATACTTATCGCAGCAGTTTTACGTACGTAACATAACGTCCGACGTTGCGTATGACGTCCGTGCCGACGGGACAGCAGTAGTATGTGCTGCAATTTGAGCGGTGCTTTTACAAGCGGCTAGTGGGTTCTTAGGCACTAGCAACTCCTCAATGCCCAGTTGGGCACGAGTGTCCACTCCTCCGCACCGTATGACGAAATTACTCTCTAGAACAAACAGAAGCGAAGCGATTCGATCTGTATAAATGATGAATACGGAAATCCAACAGAATAACGACTGATGTTTACCCCCTATGTCAGCGGGAAACGCGTGCCTGCGGCGTCTGATCCAAACAAGTGTTTTGAAATACGCCGACTTGTACGGCAAAAGTTCCTCTGGACAAAGAACGAAAAGGTACAAGACCACTCCCTCACGTTTGAGAGTCATGCGTGCGCCCTTCATACCGAGAACATTATTGAAAGAATTTGCGAGACTTGAGAACATATTTACCTCAGTCAACGCGATTATCTGAAATCATGGTCAGTTAACTATAAATGATTTGATTGTAAAGGCGAGACCTTTCGACTGTAGCGTTGTAATTCATAGTCTTCCAAGTTACTGAATTTCATTAAGTCATAAATACCGTCCAGAAAAAAGCTTAGAGAGCCCAGACGGTCTACCAGATCTTCAACGACTTCTCGACAATCGAGTGCAGGGATGTCGGCATTCATGATGCGAAGTGTAAGTAGATGGGAAGATGGAAAGAGGCAGAACGAAGAAAAATACTGCCAACACGGAATATAAAGTGTTTGTATCACCGGGTCCACAAGTATTAGAAGTGCTTGCCACAGGCCGTACAAGTACATCAAAAACGCTGCAGTTTCCAAACAGGAAATGTAAGATGTGGATGTTGTGGGCGGTGTGTGGGCGGCGGGCTGCTGATTGTCAGCCATAGCGTGCGTAAACCTGAGCTGTAGTAAAGATCCTGTTTGAAGGAAGGGATCCAAGAGTTTACTACGCTCAAACACGTGAGCTGGACGTGCAACCATGCCATGAATAAAAGTGCAAAGGTTCTGATTCCTGATGCAGAAACGTAAGGATAATCCGACACAGTAGTCGTTAACTTTGTATGGGTTCATTAGGTGTCTTTATACATATGCATCAGATATATCAGGTACGAGCGAGTTTCAAATCGTGTCAAACAATCACCTCATGAGTTCATAACCCTTCCATAAGTCTCCGGAGAATGGGGGCAGTCTGCTTCCTCGTCGCGCTCGCATTACCCTGCTTGTATGCCCTTGCAACATATGACTCCCCAAACTGCGCTTCATCGGTCGTGACTTCTTCAGCATCCTCGTCCTCAGATTCCTCAGCCGCGTTAGCGCCGCCAACGAACTTTGAGAAATCGAGCCTTTTCAACTTGAGCTCTTCGCTTGATTCGAGGCCCTGCCAAAGTTTCTCTGCGATGCCTTCATCTGCCTTGATTATCCAAAGTTGCTCCCGCCTTCCCTTGCCCTTCTTGCTTCGAAAAGTAGTGAGTATGCCAAGAACGCTCAGATCTCTTTCGGCGAGCCAATCTTGAATTTCTTTTACAGGATAACTCGATGATGCAAAGAATGCAGAGAGGCGAAGTGGGACGGTGGCAAGACCCGCTCTTATTGCATCGGAAGATAGCGTAGCATCCTTGGATGCAGGCGTGCTGAATGCGTACTCCTTGTAGTCTCTCCGCAGCAGGTCCCGCGTGCTGAGGTGGGATACGGATAGCTTCTTCTCTCCCAACGTCGCGGACAGAGACTGAACGGAAGGGAGGTGAGTGATTTGTTGTTTATCTGATGATGCGGAGACTTCTTCATTGTGTTCTAAAAGGGACTGGGAAATTAAAAAGGCAGCTGCCTCCCTGTCGACATCCATAGCTTTTCCTCCCTCTTTTAGGCCATGGGTATCGATCAAAATAGCACTCAGCAATAGCATTGACAATTCTGTGGGTATGGGAAGATCGGGGGACGATTGATACAATCTTGCAACAAGAGACGAGCAACTTCCGGCCGGTTCGACTATCCTGGGATCAGCTGTATCCTTGTATTGTCCTTCGTCCTCGTGGTGATCTATCACTGCAACAACCCTGGCTGTTGGAGATGCATGTCTAGTGTGAAGGACATTGTGATCCACAAGTGCAAACTGCGACACTTGTGATGGCATAGGATCACCAGAGCAATAGAGCTCTTCAAAAGGGTATTTGATTCCAGCGAGACCGAGGGCGTGCAAATTCTCTGCTCTAAGGACGAAATCATCCTTAGGTGTAGCTACGTATGCGATCGCTTTTTCGCTCGTGTCGGAGCGCAACCATGCATATGCGAGTGCACTAGCGAGAGAATCAAGATCTATGTGGTGCAAAACAACGGTAAGGACTGAAAACGAGCAAAATACGGTTGAGCATACCGCCCGCTTCATTGCCCATTACTACTGTCCATCCCTCCCCATTATCAGCTAGAAAATTTGCCTTCCGGGACCTGAGGTATGACGAAAAGTTGCACGTTGACATTGAAGCTTCCCGCAGAGGTTTACCGGGGAATCTGAGCTTTAGACTTGCCAATGAAGTGGATGTAATTTTTGAAAGTCGGGGGAATAATTGGCAAGAGACCACGAAAACACATAGGATCGCCAGGTAGGAATATCTGGTAAAGATCATACGAGTCGGAGCGTCAAATCACATGCATGACGATGCGGATGCTTTTAAGGGTTTGCTATAGTTTTGAATATTCAATTTTGCTTTACTACCCGCGTTGATGTCCTCACAGTATGACGTGCTTATTGTCGGCGCTGGCATCGCTGGCTCAGCTCTTGCCCACGCACTATCACAGTCTTCAGCTCCACAACGTCGTATTGCACTCCTCGAGCGGAGCCTTGCTGAACCTGACCGCATAGTCGGCGAGCTGCTCCAACCTGCCGGTGTCGCCTTCCTCGACAAGCTTGGCTTACAAGGTGCATTAGAAGGTATAGACGCGATACCAGTACACGGATATGCGGTCGTTCAAGATGGTCGCATTGTCCATATCCCGTATCCTGACGGACGAGAAGGACGGAGTTTCCACCATGGACTATTCGTGCAGGGACTGAGGGAACACGCAATGCGCGCAAAAGGTGTGGACGTCATCGAAGCAACCGTAAATGCACTGGTGGAAGAGGAAGGAAGGGTCGTCGGTGTAAAGGCTACGCGTTCTAGCGGGAAGGAGAAGGAAGTTATCCTCGCAGACTTAACAGTTATTGCGGACGGGTGCTTCTCGAACTTCCGTAATACCGTACAAGGTCCATCTGCACGCCCTTCAAATACCAGGTCGCATTTCTGTGGTGCGATACTGAAGGATGCACGATTGCCGATATCGCAGCACGGCACTGTCGCACTCGTACGTGGCCACGGACCTGTTTTGCTATATCAAATATCGGAACACGATACCCGCATTCTCGTAGATGTAAAAGGTCCCATACCATCTGACTTGAAGGTTTGTTTTTCGCTGTTCATAGCTGACATGCGCTCAAGACCCCCCAGAAACATATCCTCGCTGAAATTTTGCCTTCCCTCCCTAATCAACTACATGAGCCGATCCGTGCTGCTCTTGCTACTGACCGTGTTCGCCGCATGCCTAACTCATTCCTACCGCCTGCCTCTCAGACGCACAAACGTGGTGTCATCCTTCTCGGGGACGCCTGGAACATGCGCCATCCGCTAACAGGTGGCGGTATGACCGTTGCACTGTCCGACGTATACATACTTTCCCAGCACCTTGATAAGATAAACGATCTATTGGACTGGAGCCAGATGAAGGACGTCCTCGACAAATGGTGGTGGGAACGCAAAGGGTTGGCTGCGACCATCAACATTATGAGCGTTGCCCTTTACGACGTGTTTGGGGCTGATGGCGAGTGTTTAACTGTCTTCCAAGACGGATGTTTCAAGTATTTCGAAAGGGGAGGGGAATCTGTCCGTGGTCCAGTATCATTGCTGAGCGGGTGAGTGATTTCCCAGTCACGACTGCCGTGTTTTCTGTGTTGACTGCCGACCTAGAATTGTACCTTCAACCTCACTCCTTGCATACCACTTCTTCTATGTGGCAATTTATTCTATATGGGTGCTCTTTGCACATCCTCGACGTATACACACGCCTCGTGCAAATAGCGAGTCACATATGAATGGCACCCCCGATACGACTGGGAATGGTGGAGTACACACTGACGAAAAACATTCGGACATGCATATCATGCAAATACCCTCAATACTAGATTACCCTCGACTATTCTGGCTGAGCTGTAGAGTCGTACGTCCCACTACTTGATCTTCAGTGATGCCGGCTAACGTTTTTATGTAGTTATGGACAGCGTGTGCAATATTTGGACCCCTACTATGGACAGAGATTCGTTGGTGGTGAGCTTGTCAGTTAGATTAGAACGATTTAGGACAATTTCTATATTTTGGAATTATTGTACATACTTATGGCACCTAATCGTGTGGAGGTACAGCTGTGAATAGTATTCTGATGTGTTTATGGCTTGTTCTGATCTTCCACATAAGTCTGTTATTAGCTCCTCAATTCATCTAGGGTTATCAACGCGCATGCTGACTGCTGTTCCGTATCCGCTCCCCGTAATACCAACATATCCAGGGCCTGTAGGTATTACTATCGAAGGTGATAGTGAAAGGAATAAGGTCGAAGACGTACGCAGGACAGCTTGAGATGATTGCCGCGACTGCCAGAATAATATCGCCCTCCCGAACCCGAGTGCGTCATACATCGCTGGAGCAAACAAGGGAAATCCAAAGCGTGCCAGAGAGCTCAAAAAGGCGACAGCGGCAATCGCTGAACGTGAAAGATTTGAGATGAGTTACACGAGAACCGAATTACACGTACCGGAAGCGGCATGAAGCGGAAAACATTCAAGGAGGTAGGTTTGGATGCACTGGAAACTCAGAATAGTACCTGCTCCCACAAGCGCCATACCCTGTCAAAACCGTCAGTAGAGAAGCAGTTCTACGTAGGAGAATCAAACCAACAATATCTGAAGCTATCCAATGAGTATGGGCTTCAGAAGTCCAGCTTACGATCAAGCACCCAATTGGAAGTAGCAGAGATCCGGGAACCATAGCAGCTGATGGTAAGTTGAGCGAGCACTCAAGCAAGGGCATTAGAACAATACAACGAACGCAATTTGAACTCCGGCTTCCCAACACCACCGTTTTTACTCTTGAGATGAATGTAAACCTTGTCCGTCGTTATCGCACTTAATTGGCACGCCCCGACCAACCCTATTCCAAGTGCAATGTAATAAAGGCGATTCCAGTTGACCGCTGGTATACACCCTGAAAGATCGATGGTATCGTCGTCAGAAAGATTGAGAGGCTATGTGAGATCACGTCTGTCGAAGAATAGGTAACTTACGATAAAGCAACCCGTACAAATACGCCATGTAAATGCCGAGGAGCTGTACGATTGGCTTTTGGGCGAAGAGTGCAAAAGGGCGATTTGGCCATGATAGTCTGCCAGCTATATAAAATATCGTCATCTTGTAAGTTACAGCGATTGTAAGGGGACTTACGAGCGATCTTGACTGAAATGGTGCAGACTGCTCGTTGTGGTTCCTTCTCGGTATCATCGATCTGCGAATCCGCTCTGCCTTCCTTTCCAACAAGATGGGTCCATAAGCTGAATAGTATTGATGAGGATGAAGAGCGAATCGCATCTAGTCAGTGACCTACCGTACTCTCTTGAAGTATAAACAATCCAACGATATGAATAACTACATCCACAATGGATGTAGACCAAAACTGTAGAAATGAGAATAATCCTCCATTGGTAAAAGCGTTACATACCACTCATCTCCAGGTCGAGAGTTCAGCAATCCTGGCGAAGATTTAGGTATTGCCATCGAAGTTAGAATAGCCACAAACCAGGCACCTGTGATAGGTCCCACAACAGGTCCCAATAACGGAGCTAAGGCGACAATAAACAACTTGTCCCCTTTCTTCTGGTACCCAGCAGTCTCCAAGGAAGCCGCCGCCAATCTGAAGTGGTCAGCCATTCAGATCAAATATATTACATTCAACAAATGTAAGCCTTACCGACAAAACTGCGCTGCCTCCGATGTCAGTAAGAAATCGGAAGGCGAGAAGCTGGGATTCTGACTGCGAATCCACATCGATGCATGCGTTCAGAGATACAACAGAAAACGCACCACAATCCGACGAAGGCGGCTATACTAGAGATAGTCTTCGTACTTTGTTCTCAGGGCTACCAACAGTCGTAATAGGCTTGGGTGAGAGATCATAGCACTACTAAATAGATGACGACGACATACTTAGCAAATATATCATCAACTCGTTGAGCACGCTCGGGACGCGCGTTAACGCGAAGGCGTATTAAGGTGTTTCACACAGAATGCAACGCAGTCAAAAGCAAGTGTAGGAGTAGGCATGCAATGAAGAATGGTTGTTATACAATTTATTTATTAGACAATCGACAGACATGATCGCATCAGAAGCGTTCAAAAGCGCAGAGAAGTCAGCCTGGCAAGAGCAAATCGGGACAGCTGAGAATGCTTATGTAAGTCCGAGAGACTTCTAAGCTTCGGCCGCTCTAGATCATGTCTTATCGTATGCAAGTAGTTCGAATTCAATCCTATTGCAATGTCAATACTCCTGCCGTTTCACAAATCAATACTTGAGGAGATTCATGACCCTGCAACTTCAGACTTGCTAATCCTTGCTCGTGGACTTGGACTTCGTCGTATCATATGCACGCTCATGCAAATATATGACTCAAAGCAAAGCCTTATTTTGCTCTTAAACGCCTCGCCAGAAGAGGAGACAGCTATTGGGGATGAACTAGGTATCATGGGGTGCAGGCGGCCCGGATTGCGAATTGTGAGTTATGAGATGGGAAAGCGGGATAGGTAAGTTATTCATGTCTGTCGTGAAAAACGATCACTTTGAGAACGACTCGCAACTATTCGTGTTGTTCTTCCGCAGCATATTAACACGACGCTCACAGACAGGACCTCTACAAGAATGGCGGCCTCATTTCTGTCACCTCTCGCATTCTTATCGTTGACGTGCTGCAATCCGACATTCCAACGGAGCTCATAACGGGTATAATCATTTTACATGCTGAAAAGTGCGTGACTGTTCTTCTGCGTTATGCTCGGTGATGAATTGCTGCTCCCCTAGGGTTAGCTGCTCTCTCCCTTGAAGCATTCATTGTCCGGCTTGTATCGAGAAAAGAATAAGGCCGGCTTTCTCAAAGCATTCTCAGACCAGCCGGAGCATATCACCAGTGGCATGTCTCCGCTGAAGAACATCATGAAGGAGCTTCAATTGAGACGCGTTCATATATATCCACGGTGGGTGTCCTCCTTCCTCACTGATGTTCGTGTTATTCACCTTCTAGTGCTCTTGTCAACATCTTTCTCACCCGTTTTTACTCCAGATTTCACGAAGACGTTAAGAAAACCCTCGAAACCCGCAAAGCAGATGTTATCGAATTGTATCAGCATCTTACAGAGCCTATGGAGGCGATTCACCATGCGATAGTCCAATGTATGACCGTCACCCTTTCCGAGCTCAAGAGATCTAACAAGACAGTAAGTATCTTTGAGCTGACCTTATTTGCGCCTGAACGAAATCTTGTCCATTCATCTCACAGCTTGAGCTTGATGATCTTAATGTAGAGTCCGCATACTTCCGCTCCTTTGATGCAGTAGTCCGCAGGCAATTAGACCCCGTATGGCACAAGGTCGGCCCACGGACGAAGCAACTTGTGGGTGACCTCGCGACGCTCAGACGTCTATTAACGTATGTTTTCATCATAATTATCACTCTTTTCATTGTACACCCAGTCCCTGATATTCACCATATTTCCTGTGTTATCGTCTGCTGTCCATTTTATACCGCCACTGACCTGGGCTCCATCAAGGTACCTGTTGTCCTATGACGCTCTCGCTTTTCACGCATACCTTGAAACTCTTGTAGCCTCGAATACTACAACCGCGACCGGTGCAGCTAAACAACACCAATCCCCTTGGATGCTCACCGATGCGGCTAACATCATTTTTAGCACTGCAAAACGACGGTGTTATGTCCTTACTGCTCCAAAACCCACGGCTTCGGTTCCCGATAGGCGAGTGATTGACATTGACGATGAAGATGCATGGGCTGCACTTGATGAGGCGCACGGTATAGCGGGAGGCAATAGTAGAGATAACGGGAAGCAGAAGGAAAAGGAAAAGAAGAATTCATGGGTTCCGGATAACATGTCTCCAGTGCTCGAAGAGCTTCCAAAGTGGGATCTCCTTGCAGACGTACTTCAAGAAATTGAGGAAGAATTGATGAGACAGGAGGCATTGTCAACTCGTGAGTCCTATTGACCGAGCAATTTTCTTGCTTGACGTGCGTCAGGTCCGCCAACTCGCGGGACAAACATGGTACTTGTCATGACCTCCTCTCCACGTTCTTCTACCCTCGTGAGTGAGTTCCTGGGGGAGATGGACGGCACTGCACCGAAAGGCTCTCGTGGGCGATCTATGATGGAGCACAAATTGCGCAGATACCTCTATTGGAAAGGCGAGAACGCCAGACAAAAAAATCCAAGGTACCAACAACCAGCTCAGTTTTCTGCCCCGCAGCCACAGCCATCATTGCAACCCGAGGGCGAGATTAGTGAGGCTTTGAGGAGGAAGGACAAGACGAGACAAGAACGAAGTGCGAATCGGAGAAGGATGCGTGGTGGTGCACCAATGACTGTTGCACCGAGTAAACCAGCGGTTGTCGATCCAAAAGTGGAGTCGATAGACGATGCAGATGATATCGCAGCCTTGTGCGTAAGGATGCTTGTATTTGTGCACTCCTCACTGAGATCAGATCTAGTCTCGCAAGTCAACCTTCAGACTTTCTTGTCTCCTCCGATGCAGACGCTCTCCTCCTTGAAACGCTTCTCTCAAGCGGGGCGGAAATAGACTTTGACACGCACTACGGCTTGCTTGCACCCTCGCAGACGGTTATTGTGCGTGCATATACCGATGACATGGACGACCAGATTCTCGCAGAACTACAGCCGAGATTTATCGTGATGTTTGAACCCAACCTTGATTTCGTGAGGCGCATCGAGGTTAGTCTTTCATCCGGGAGAGGTTGACACTCTTGAGTCTGATGTGGCAACTGGACAGGTGTACAGAAACTCGAACCCTGGTATGGGCGTCCGTGTATATTTCATGGTCTATCAACTCTCTTGCGAGGAGCACAAGTACCTTGCTGGACTGAGGCGCGAGAAGGAGTCTTTCGAGAAGCTGATCAAGGAACGCGGAGTGCGTCGTTTGGTTCACTATCTTGCGCGTGGTGCGAGTCGTTCATCACCATGTCTAGTCTATGCTCCTGCCGATCTTCGAGGACAAGCACGCTGGGAAAAGCGATGCAGTCATCAAAACAATCAGTACCCGTCTCGCAGGCGGAAGGAAGGAGCTGAGTACTGTGGCATCGCAGGTTATCGTCGACATGCGCGAATTCCGTTCAACACTACCTTCGCTTCTTCACGCATCTGGCCTGCTCGTTATTCCGGCGACGCTGACTGTCGGGGATTATATCCTCACGCCAGATATTTGCGTCGAGAGGAAGAGCATACCTGACTTAGTAGCGAGCTTCAATAGTGGTCGATTGTAGGTCTCTCGGATTCATGCCTCTTTGTCGCTGATAAGTTGCAGGTACACACAATGCGAGCTGATGTCGGTGCACTATAAGCAGCCTATATTGCTCATTGAGTTCGAGGAGAACAAGGCGTTCTCACTTGAGGTACATCTTACACGACAGATCTCCAAATATTTACCGCCTCACCTGTCTTTCAGACCGTAGCAGAATCAGCGAAATCATATGCTAAACCCACGAACAAATATCCTGCGAAGAAATCAACAGGTCCAACGGATTCTGATCGCGCTCCACCCTCTGTTCAATCCAAACTTGTTCTCCTTGTGCTCCACTTTCCTCGTGTTCGAATCATATGGTCGTCGTCCCCCTATGGTACGGCAGATATATTTAACGATCTCAAAGCCAACGCCTTCGAGCCGGACCCTAACCGCGCGATTGCAATTGGCGCCGAGGAAGACCCAGAGGCTGGCGCAGGCATCAACGCTGCTGCAGAGGAGCTGCTGCGATGTCTACCAGGAGTGACGGCGAAGAATGTCAAATATGTGATGAGCAAGGTGGGGAGTGTCAGGGAATTATGCGAGCTGGAAAGAAAGGGCGTGCAAGGTATTTTGGGTGTTGAGCCGGGGAATGCTTGTTATGACTTTATGCATCGGGGGGAGAGGAAAAAAGGCGCTTTATGACCTGCATTTACGTTAGAAGGTAAGATACTCGTCGAAATGTTGGATGAAATCGCGCATGATTTGAGAAACACGAAGGCCCAGATGCAGGGCTGTAAGTCGATATTGTTCACGGCTGTTCTGAAAAATATAACGTTGAAACGAAACATGCTAGCGTTGTGCGACGAGACTGAGAACACTTCGTCGCTATGTATGTGACTTACAAATCCTAGACTCGTGCCTTGTCAAGTGACACTGATAAACGGTGAACAAAGCACACAATGGAATTTTCAAGAACGTCCATTGGATACCGAGAAATGTACATGCTGGCATGTACAGTAATATATCATAATACCTCTACTCCACTTCATAACATCCAGGCCCAAACTCTCTCCCACCCCAAATAATACCAGAGTACTTCAGATACCTGTAAACAGGTTCCATCCGATCGAGTAGCCTCCCCTCCAGGACAAATAATACCATCGAATGCCTTTATTGCCTGGGGAATGCCATTCTTGGAGTCCTTCAGCAGGGCTGTGGGCAACGTCAGCAGATGCATCTGCATATTAATTCCAGTAGTGCTCAGCGCTCGTATACTGATGGGGGGTGTGGTACACGGGTACGGCAGTATGACAGTCTGAAGGCTCTTGAAAGATACCAATGGAGCAGTCCCCATCCACTTGGGCAAGTGGTAGACTGTCAGCGGGTTATCGCGGCATAGGTATGTGATAGATGAAAGGTGACAGATTGAAGCAAGGAAAGCAGATCCCTGGGGAGTATCTGTGAGGCATTTCCACTTTGTGCGGCTGATGGGTTCCCCATACGATAGTGTCAGTGTTTGGGTGTTCCAAGGAGGCTGGGAATGTTCTTCGTTGATGGGTATGACCGGACGGGACTTCCATGCGTGTTCCAAGCATTCTATAAGAAGGTCTACACTTGTACAGCTGAGGGCAAGTGATGATGCAGCGAACATCACCAGAGTTAGGAGACTGATGGCAAGCGGGCGCTCAGACGGTTGCAGTGCATATTCCCGGTGATTGGCGAGCAAGTCAGCTGGTGTGAGATTGCCACCATCGGATCCAATCCACATCTTATGCACATGGGGTGCATAATCAAAGTGGAGATCGCTGCTTGCCTGCTTGTATGCCTCCTGTATAAGCAGAGCTTGCACGAACACTCTCATGTTTCGAGATTCCGGTAGCAATATGGTGTGTAGGAGTTCGGGAAGCACTGCACGCCTGAAATCTTTGGAGATGAGACAGAGTTTGAGCGCGGAAGAGTATGGACAGTTGACCTTATCATATTTTTCAGTCTGGTCAAAGGTGGGTTGCGCGGCGTCCCTGAGGATGAGGAGGGCAAGCTCAGTTGGAAGGTCGTTAAACCGAAAGGTAGATCCATGACGGGCGAGTAAGAGGCAAAGCTGGCTTGAAGAAGCCCTGCCTTTAATAGTCACCTCATGAATGGTAGTGTCGTACACAGCAGTGTAGACACATTGTGAGTGAGACCATGCATTGTGACCCGGTGGTCTATAGCAGTGTTCATGTTACTTCTAGGTCGCACAATGTGCTTAGCCCAACGGTTGTGCTCTGACCCTGTGAAAATTCCTGATGGTTAATCACAGAAGGTTTCATAGGAATGATACAAAGGCAGCACAAACCATAGAATCTATCTGTATTCTGACTTCCAACAAAACTCGAAGCATCATGTACACATTCTCATTCAGGTCCTGTCGTGGCACAAGCCCCACAGCACACGGTTCATTACTGAATTGAGTTGCTCCTGGGCAAATTCCACTGTCCTTGAGCAATAGGGATCCTGCGACTGAATGTATCAAACACTCGCCTGATGGCCGTCAGCTTGAACACCACCAAATATTTCCCTGATCCACGAATGCCATGACCGATCACTCCTCCACCTCTTGTAGTTCCACGTAAAATGCCTCGTCTATTTCTTGAACTACGCTACACATGCATCAGATCAACAATAGTTTGAGAATGAATATTAATCCTTACAACAAAACTACCTCGTTCACGTCTTCCAGCTGCACGTGCCGCCAGATTGGGATGAGTTGCAACGGCGAGAACTGGAAATGGCGAAAACGATGTCTAAAAGAAAGACAAGCCCCTGATGAAGAGAGAGGCACGCGGATCGACATAGCAATGTAAATCGCAAGCACTTTAGATTGGTAATTGGGGAAGATTGAAAAAAAATTGTAACAGATGGCAAGGGAAAAATAACTTAGAAGGATGCAGACTTTACCCGCTTTTGTTGGTTTCCTTTAACCTTCTGTTAATTCCAATTCGAGGATTTGGAACTGAGATCCCGCTGCAGTTAAGTTATGGTTGGCTGGTGTATGGTTCAATAACTCAAGTAAGTCTTCCAGCTCGACATGCCACATTTTTTCATGGTGCGCACCAGCGGTGCTCAGTATAAACGAGTTCCTAACCTGAAGGAAATAAGGGTATATAGTAGGCAGCCAAGGGCTGAAGAAACTATCCCACTGATTCTCCCCAGGATACATCCTTGCGGACAGTAGACAATGACGGTCGTAGATGTATCCTAGTTCTAGGCTTGCAGCCTAGATTAGATGTATCAAACTGGCCATATGGCCTGAATGGTCAGACTGGCGGCAAGCCGCCGCTATGATTCGGACAGGGGAACTAGAATTCATCATAAAGTGCTAATAATAATACGTCCCGTATGAAACCTATATGATCCACCAAAAGACCATGAAAGTGTCGCAGTCAAGTGTCGTGCGAGGTACCCATCCAGTAAGTGGATATGAGACGGACACAAATTGGACGTCAAAATAAACGATGTCTACACCAAAATTGTGGGGTGTAAGGAGGTATAAATTATAATGTTTGCTGGTTTTATACTGTCGTTAAATGTATGTCGTATAGCAGGTTCAAGGAAGGAGTGGTATGTGGATGTTGATCATTAGTCAACAGTTGGCTTCGAATAGCGAGTGTGCATGCGTGGTCGTGGTCCATAGCCGAGAGGACTGCTAGCCAGTTGTCCTTTCTAACAGTTCGGGAAGATGCCTGGAGTGCCTAAGGGAGAACTACTCAGCACCCTACAAACATCATTTCAGATAGCGATGTACCAGGGTAAAACCAGAATGTGACAGCCAAGATCAAGTATAAGCCTGCACAAAGCTCAGCATGAGTGCAACTCAAAATGCAGTCGGGACTTACCCATGAGAATCATGCCCTCTAACCAATTTGACTTGCCGTCTTGTATGACGTAGTTTACGGTGAGAACTGATACATGTGTTTGTTTCATCATCATCTGCCTTATTGAGATAATATACACACCAGAGACGAATAACACGATGGACTCCAATGGGTCGAAGAGGAACGTCAATGGTTTACCCATGGTCCAAGCGAGTGTCACGATGAACCTGCAAAAATATGAACAGTGAAAAACTAGTGACAGGAAACACAACTATGAGACGCACGGGGCAACAAAGAGTGCGACTTGCTAGAAACAAGTCAGTGATCTCAGAAAGACAACCAGGTAAACAAACGCACAATACTTGACCCAACAGCAACACCCAAGCTCAGGGTTATGTGACCCTTGAAGGCCGCTGTAACTGAAGTGACATTGCCAACTATTGGCAGCAAGATCACGGCGATAAACTCTTTGCTGATGACCTGAGATTCGTTCAGGCCGTTGATGGAGTCTACGAGAAACTCGGCGGTAGCAGCTATTAACTGGAGCAAGAATATTTTAGGATTGACGTCAGCACAGGCAGTCACAGGCAGTGGCACGCACTGCAGTTACAACGACCAGAAGCCCAAGGGCCACAGGGACGCTCATATATGTTTCTACCTCGGAGTCCGCGTCCTCCGTGGATGCAAACCCAGTGGTATCGATTATAGCTTCTTCGTCATCCATTGGTTCAGGGGATACTATAGGTTTGGCAGCCTTACGACGGTAGAGTCTCAACTGTAGCCACGGATTATGTCCCTCGTAGCCTTTCGTCTTTTGTATGTCCGCATTATTGCCGTCATAGAGGGCTTTGTGTGAAAACAGTTGAACAACTAAATACGAGCTGTAGACTAAACAAAATTAGGTGATTGGCAGCTGTGTTTTGGTTGACTTACTAAAAAGGAGAATGATGGCAAGCTGGATGATGGTGTGAGGACAATTTCATGTTAAGGCATCGGAGACGTACACCATGGCTGATCCTTAGTATGCTGTAATTTGTTGACAACTCGCTATACGAAGGATAGCCCTGTAATGCCATGTGGAAAGCGCCAGGCAGCAAAATAGCAATGGCGCTAATGGTAAGCAGCGATGAATTCAGTTGCATCGTACCTGTCAACAAAAGTAAGAATAGGTATTTGGCACCAGCACAACCATACCAAGTCCGAAACCCTGTTCTGAAAAGCGCATGCCACCTGCAAAGAAGCACATGCCGAGTACCAGGACTGGGGTGTGGTTAATTCATTTTAAAATGGAAGGTAAGAATACCAACGAAGATTGCTTAATATAGATCCTATCACTAAAAATAATTATGGGTCTAGGGTCGCAAGGGAAATCAATGGACATACAGGAGGACTGAACAATTGAGTTCGCATTTTGTGAGGGCTATAAGCTAGAGTGTAACATCAGCATCTCGCTGTGCAAGTTCGCCGATATTAGAACGCACAGAGACGATGAGTTCAACACTATGGAAGAATGCATGAATAGTTAGAGAACGATTAACATGAAAATTTTGACTGACACATTTTCCTAGAATTTTACACTCATTAGATTGAGGTCATGAGATAGTGGATGATGCACGAACCAATGTAGCATTGAGAAGACCTGCTAAAGTTTGGCCAACTCGTATGGAGAGGTCGTCCGTAGCATACGCCCGGAGCTGATGGTGGCTTAGTGTTGTAAAATTACAAAAAAGCGAGCTTGTACTCACCTTATCCAATGATATGATAGCAAGAAACGATGCTGCAGTAGCACGCTGTAGCACCTCAGAAATTTAAGAGGTAGTGTGTCAACTTACAGACGAAGATCAGAGTGTGTTGATCAGGGAGAGTGAAATGAATGGCCCACTTCACACGACGATCAGTCAGAAATGATTCAGACTGATGCAAAAAGACATACTGATAGAGGAATAAACACCAGGAAAACGTTAAACCCTGCCACAAGCGAACATCAACACAATACATAAACTTCGTAGAATTGTCCTGTACATGATGATAAGATGATGGCACGAATGCTTCTCCAGGTACTAGGGGGTTTGGCGATTGGTTTCTCCGGTGTCAGCATCAAAGTCGTAGCTCAGCGGAGGAAGTTTGGTTCTTGATGACAGATGTTTCTTGTTCTTTGTCTACGTCTCAGGGTAGTGGTGGATAGCTCTGATGGGATGAGCTCATCCATATTGGAGATACTTTCGGTGGAAAGCGAGCTGTGGTCTGAGGCGACTGATAGCTGTGACGGGATGGGCTCATTCACGACAGAGGAACTTTCAGTGGAAAGTGCACTGTGATCAGAACGCATAGAGATGGGCTCGACATTACAGAAGAATGTTTCCTAGGATTTTACAGTCGTTAGATTGAGGTCATGAAATAGTGGATGATGCACGAACTAATGTGGCATTGTGAAGATCTGCAAAAGTTTGGCCGACCCATATAGAGAACTCATCCGTAACATACGCCAATTCGACCAGTGTTCTCCATGAGCCATGCGACTTCAATCAATCTCTTGCCCACTAGGTATCATCAATACAGCCCCAAGAGAATTAAATGGTCGTATTCGGGAAGCGGGTGGTACCCAGAAAAGATCGTCGGGTGTTACTACCCATCCATCTTTCAGCAAGAAAGAGTTTGAATCACGATCTTGATGAGAGGTGCTCTCGAGTAGCTCAGTAGGGTGTTGAAGTGCATCTTCCAAGTTTGAGGAGAAGCAGATGGTGCGATTACTTCAAGTATTGGTCGATGGGATAGTTTCTTGCTTGGAAGGTGTGGTGGGACGGCTATCCAAAGAAGATACAGAGGAGTGGATCTCAGTGTGCTCCTGCACCGTTGCTGCATCCCACACCCGGACAGTGGAATCGCTTGGGGGAGAACGAGACTGACCAAACCGAACTAGTGTGCTTTGTAATTTGTTCTCGGGGCTACACTAGATAGATGACAATGACGTACTTGGCAAAGATATCAGAGCTCGAGACACGCGTTAACAATTGGACAGTCGACAGACATGATCGTGACAGAAATTGGGACATTCGCCGATGTAAGTCCAAGACACTAGACCTTCAGTCACGTCTAGCTTACCGTATGCAAATTCAATCTTATTGCAACGTCACCGTTCCATAAATCGAGATTCACGACCCTGCAACTTCAGACTTGCTAATCCTTGCCTGTGGGTTTGGACTTCGTCGTATCACATGTGCGTTCCTGCAAATATACGACTCAAAGCAAAGTGTTATTTTACTCTTGAACGCTTCACTAGAAGAGGAGACAGCTATTGGAGATGAACTGGGTGTCATGGGGTGCAGGCGGCCTGGATTGCGAATTGTGGGTTATGAGATGGGCAAGCGGGATAGGTAAGTTATTCATGTCTATCGTAAAAAAATGATCACTTTGAGAACGACTCGTAACTATTCGTGTTGTTCTTCCGCAGCATATAAACATGACGCTCACAGCCAGGACCTCTACAAGAATGGCGGCCTCATTTCTGTCACCTCCCGCATTCTTATCGTTGACGTGCTGCAATCCGACATCCCAACGGAGCTCATAATGGGTATAATCATCTTACATGCTGAAAAGTGCGTGACCGTTCTTCTGCGTTATACTTGGTGATGAATCGCCGCTCCCCTAGGGTCACTGCTCTCTCCCTTGAAGCATTTATTGTCCGGCTGTATCGTGAAAAGAATAAGGCCGGCTTTCTCAAAGCATTCTCAGACCAGCCGGAGCATATCACCAGTGGCATGTCTCCGCTGAAGAACATCATGAAGGAGCTTCAATTGAGACGCGTTCATATATATCCACGGTGGGCGTCCTCCTTCCTCACTGATATTCGTGTTATTCACCTTCTAGTGCTCTTGTCGTCGTCTTTCTTATCTGTTTTTGCTCCAGATTTCACGAAGACGTCAAGAAAACGCTCGAAACACGTAAAGTAGATGCTATCGAATTTTATCAGCATCTTACAGAGCCTATGGAGGCAATTCACCATGCGATAGTCCAATATATGACCGTCACCCTTTCCGAGCTCAAGAGATCTAACAAGATAGTAAGTATCTTTGAGCTGACCTTATTTGCGCCTGAACAAATCCTCATTCATTCATCTCACAGCTTGAGCTTGATGATCTTAATGTAGAGTCTGCATACTTCCACTCCTTTGATGCAGTAGTCCGCAGGCAATTAGACCCCGTATGGCACAAGGTCGGCCCATAAGCAACTTGTGGGTGACCTCGCGATGCTCAGACGTCTATTAACGTATGTTTTCATCATCTACACTCGGTCTCTACTATTTACTATATTTCCTATGTTGTCGTCTGCTGTCCATTTTATACCGCCATTGACCTAGGATCTATGAAGGTATCTGCTATCCTACGACGCGCTGGCTTTTCACGCATACCTGGAAACTCTCGTATCCTCGAATACCACAACCGCAATTAGTGCAGCTAAACAACACCAGTCCCCTTGGACGCTCACTGATGCGGCTAGCCTCATTTTTAGCACCGCGAAACGACGGTGTTATGTCCTTACTGCTCCAAAACCCACGGCTTCGGTTCCCGAAAGGCAAGTGATTGACATTGACGATGAATGGGATGAGACGCACGGCACAACGGGAAGCAGAAGGAAAAGAAGAACTCATAGGTTCCGGATGTCATCTTCTACTCGTTCGTTTCGACAAGAAACATGAAGGAGAACTTCATGGGCATGGAGGACTTTCAATACCCATCGAACTTGATTTGAGATAATTGGTATCGGAATAACAACAATAGGAATCGACGTTGTATCAATCAAAGAATCATTAACTTGTTACTTGTGTGAGATGCTTTTTAAAGCATCCTGGTCAGAGGAACAACGAAGAGCACTAAAACAGCAAACCATCGCCATCTTGCCTCATCGCGTCGTCGTTGCTCCACGGTACCGGGTATCATCATATAAGCTTATGGTGCGGACTAGATTTTGGGAACCTGCGTTCATGCACTTTGCAACCACAATGATAGCGTGAATGGCCATGTATCAACTTCAGGTTACGTTATTTGCTTGGACTCTAGCGGAGACGTACTAGATTCGAGGGCGACGCCGTCCGATAATACTCCAGAGTCCCTAATGGATCTACACAGGTTCTTGTTTCACCATGACGTTCACGACACCTGCTGTTATCAATAATCCAGTCAGACTCGAGTCAGATTTATGAAGCGAGTATTAGTACAACGAGAGTGAATCAGGGGAGGATGATACTTTACATGAAAGAAAGCCAGTATTACCATAAGATTCTCGAAGATGGTGGGTTCGGTACCGATAGTCACCCAGGCTTTGAAGTGGTTTTGATCATCGACTGGTACGACAGTTTATAAGGGCGACATGCACACAACCACGGTCACTGGATTCGTAGTCCTCAGGATGCACTCGGACCAACTTAGAGCGGTGGCATTTGAGGTCGTGCTCAGTCTGGCTTTCGTCAGGTTATCTCACGTGGACAACTTCAAATTCAAGCTCGGCGCCAGGCGTAGGATTGACATGGAACGAAACTGTACATTCGGTAATGCTACAATTGGATCATCGACAAGTAGGGCTAGAAGTATTGATTTAGCAACTGTGAGGGACCGTTAAGGCTAAGAACTCACGGATCTCGGCAATTCGACCAGTGTTCTCCATGAGCCATGCGACTTAAATCAATCTCTTGCCCACTGGGTATCACAAGTACAGTCCCAAGAGAATTAAATGATCGTTCTTGGGAAGTGAGTGGTACCCAGAAAAGTAGCCGACTATCGGGTGCTACTACCCATCCATCTTCCAGCAAGAAAGAGTTTGAATCACGATCTTGATGAGAGGTGCTCTCAAGTAGCTCAGCAGGGTTTTGAAGCGCATGTTCCAAGTTTGATGAGAAGCAAATGGCGCGATTGTTCCAAGTATTGGTCAACGGGGTGGTTTCTCCTTTGCAACGTGCGGTGGGACGGCTTTCCAAAGATACAGAGGAGTGGATCTCAGTGTGCTCGTGCGCCGTCGCTGCATCCCACACCCGGACAGTGGAATCCCAAGAACCAGACACGATGTGAGTGCCATCGGGGGAGAACGAGACTGACAAAACCTAACTAGTGTGCCCTCGGAAGGGCTCACCTAATGGCAGCCCCGTCGCTGCATCCCACACCCGGACAGTGGAATCCTTAGAACCAGACGCGATACGAGTGCCATCGGGGGAGAACGAGACTGACAAAACCTCACTAGTGTGCCCTCGGAAGGGCTCACCTAATGGCAGCCCCGTCGCTGCATCCCACACCCGGACAGTGTAATCCCAAGAACCAGACACGATGCGAGTGCCATCGGGGGAGAACGAGACTGACCAAACCTCACTAGTGTGCCCTCGGAAGGGCTCACCCAATGGCAGCCCTGTCGCTGCATCCCACACCCGGACAGTGGAATCCTTTGAACCAGACACGATGCGAGTGCCATCGGGGGAGAACGAGACTGACCGAACCCAACTAGTGTGCCCTCGGAAGGGCTCACCCAATGGCAGCCCCGTCGCTGCATCCCACACCCGGACAGTGGAATCCCAAGAACCAGACACGATGCGAGTGCCATCGGGGGAGAACGAGACTGACAAAACCTCACTAGTGTGCCCTCGGAAGGGCTCACCCAATGGCAGCCCCGTCACTGCATCCCACACCCGGACAGTGGAATCCCTTGAACCAGACACGATGCGAGTGCCATCGGGGGAGAACGAGACTGACCGAACCCAACTAGTGTGCCCTCGGAAGGGCTCACCCAATGGCAGCCCCGTCGCTGCATCCCACACCCGGACAGTGGAATCCCAAGAACCAGACACGATACGAGTGCCATCGGGGGAGAATGAGACTGACCGAACCCAACTAGTGTGCCCTCGGAAGGGCTCACCTAATGGCAGCCCCGTCGCTGCATCCCACACCCGGACAGTGGAATCCTTTGAACCAGACACGATGCGAGTGCCATCGGGGGAGAACGAGGCTGACAAAACCGAATCAGTGTGACCACTGATCACGGTCTGAATAGCCGTCCAGTTCACAAGACGTCCATGTATCAGACGAAGAGTGTTCGGAAACCTTGCAGTAAACTGTGGCTATCGTGGACTTGATGGGCGAAAATGGCAGCGCTGATACATACAGATGCGGCGTGCTGTGCAAAATCATCCCAGCAAAGAGTTGGACGAATCTCTGCACATCCTTTGCAGTGGACAAGATATTTTCATACCCGAATTGGCCCTGTGTTCGCGCGTAAGCACTTTGCGCGACACCACCAGGGGACTCTGTCCTCACCTTCAGCCACTGGGAAATAAGTGGAAGCACAGCAACTGCAACACTGAGTCCATCGAGAAGGCCGAGTGATTCGATCCAAAAGAGCAGCCGCTCGTCGTCGAAGAACGATTCTATTTCCTTTGCGAGCTCCGTGTCGAAGTCCGTTGCTCGTACGTGCGTAGCCCAAAATCGAGAGGAATAGGACAGATGCGAGGGAATGCATGTCGCGACTCGATCTGGCAGCCCCGCATCTTCGCTATTAGGGATGTGTGAAGATTTTAAATTACACATATTGAAGCGAAGGCCATGTTCCATCATACGAAGTGACGCAAAAGCAAGATTGCGTTGCGCATTCGATATCTCCACGAAAAAGTCTCCGCTGGATGATTTGTCTGTCAGGAATTCGCGGAAGGATGCGTGAAGGGGTTGGACGGGGTCGGACGAGTTGGTGGTGCCGCTTAGCAGCGATCCCATATCTGCTAACACGACTTGCACTTCGTAATGCTCCCTTAGGTCTGGAAAACGGCGCCGCATCGCATTCAGCGCATCTACAGGGAGGGGTTCGGCTGAGCCAAGTATTTGGCCCATCACGGAATGAAACCTCGCTAGCGCTCGTTGATAACCAGCTTCTGTGGTGTGTCTGTCCTTCCGCATGTTTTCTCCTAAAATGAAGCTATATATGCCATACAACAAGTTTTCTCGCTCTCCATGATCGTGGGACACGACATCATTGAAACGATCGATTGCGCTTGAGCCAGGAGCGATTTCTTGGATGTATTTGCATGCAAGACGCGCCCACTCGAATAGTCCACCAGCTTTGTCAGCGAGGTCTCTAAATTCTTTGTCTCCAAGATCAGACACCTTTTTCAGCTCGTGAGACACAAAAGTATGGATGTCTTTCTTCGAGACTCCTTCTGGAATCTTGTCCATAGATAATTGTTGAATATGTGGAGCACCCCGAAATTCAGAATCGATATCACGAAGTGGGCGAGAGGTGACGAGAATCCGAAAGTTGGATGGGAGTTCGGTAATTTTGGGAAGACCTTCGCCCTCTAATGTACCGGCAAGTATGCGGAGAAGGCTACGCCGTGTCTCGACTTCGCCACTCTCATCCAGCGCTTCGATCACAATTAAGACAGGCCCCGCACTCGATCCAGATAACTTCTTTAGCGGTTCCATAAACAGCTTGCGCCACTGCTGGATGATATCTGACGTGTTCTTAAGCGCGTGTGCATTTTCGACTGCATTCGCCAATGTTCGTTTCATCTCCGGATCACGGTCAGCGAGGTCGCGAGCGATGGTGGAGAAGACTTTTTCATGACGCTTGTCGGCTTTAAGGTCCCGGTTGAAACAAAAACAGGAACCAAGCCCTCCCAAATCGTCAAACCAATTGGCAATTGTGTGAGCGATGGCTGATTTCCCCGTGCCCGCAGGGCCAGATAGCCACAGCACACGCTGAGCAACATCTCCACTGTCGTTGACCCACTCAGTGATCTGGGAGAGAATGTCCGTGCGCGTCCCTGGCAGGCACTGTTTCGTGGTATCTAGTCCTGCGCCAGCTGCATAAGGCATACTGCTGAGGTCCAGTTTATCGCCCAGTTCGTCAGCTGAAGGGGTATTAGCGGATGCAAAGTCAGAAGCACGTCCGAATCCTTACTCGTACACCGGACAAGATCGGCTACGTCCCGAATCGCTTGGTCCCGAAATTGTTGCATAAGCTCATCCAAAGCCTTGTTGTACCGTGTAATCAGATCATCCGTCTCCAAAACAGCATTTTTCCCAAGTCTCTTCCCTGTGATAATAGTGTGAGGTTCACGATATGCGGAGTGCAATAGCTCGATGACTCACAAAAGCTCTTTTTCTCCGAGTAGTCCCTGATGAAACCTGCGCACTCTAGAGTCTGCTGGGCAATCCGTCCAGCGATACTGCGCTTGGATGAAATCTGGCCGAGAGTGTCCTTTTGCGACATGAAGTCGTAGATTTGTTCTAATTTCTTGAGGAGAGATTGTACCGATTGGTCGCGTTCCGTTTGAGCGAGAATAATCTGTATAGAGTCAACAGCTGCTGAAAAGGAGGGCAAAACTACACGTACTTTGGATGCAGTAGACAGCACACCCAGCACCACCTTTGCGTAAGGATGTACCTATGCAACTTAATTAGTCCGCTTCCAACATAGGAGAGTGGCCCGTACATTCGAAAGACCCCCAACGACGGTGTCGAAAAGTTTGAGTGATTGAAGATTGAGTGGTTGAAGATATGTGGTCTGGAAATTGTCTGCGGCATCGAGATCCTTTGGGCCATCCTTGGCTGCGGATGCCACAGCAGTGCTGTGTTTCCCGAGTGGTCTCATACTTTCCATACCCTCACGGGCACCTCGAAGTCCGGCATCAACCGATTGAGGATCAGGAATTTCCACACCAGACAAAGCAGCCCGAAGCTATGCGCCCACCAGAAATTAGAGATGAAAAACAAATGGTTTGGCGCAAATACCTTCGAAGTAGGTTCTCCAGATACTTCTTGGTTCACACGACCACTGAGATTCTCAGGTGTGGCGGGCTTGTCACCATCAGAAGGATGCAGATGCGACGCATCCTTGGTGGACCTCAGATAAGTTCAAGATTAAAGTAATGACCACCTACCTCAATATTCCGATTTGACGAAGCACCTTCGCGATCGGCGTTCTGGACAGCAGGGGTTTGAGGGCGAGAACGCTTGAAGTGTTTCTACACATTATATATTAGCTATATTCTAGCTACCTCAGCAGAAGTTCAAGATCGACATACAGTAATTTTTTTAGCCACATTCTTCTTAAATTTCCGCAGGGTCTGACGAAATCCGCTACGGTGCTGGTTCTGGATGAAGGATGCGTCAGAGGCAGCGACAATATTATTAGCGCTCGTCGACAGTGATACCACGAGAGCACGTACGAAGCTCTCGCCAGTAGTTGCTTCTCTGGATTCAGAGGGCTCTGGAAGAGGTTTCGGCCTGCGGTCTTCGCTCATTGTGAGCAATCAAAGATTGGAATCAGCGTGAGTGAAATAGATGCAAGAATTAGAGGGAGGGGGGAGGACTCAGTAGAACCAAAATTTAAATAACAAGCACCCGAATATCGTTGACCACAAGCCTCAAGGCAGCGCTAATCATGAATCATGTTTAAGTTAAATTATGATTGGGCATTGTAAAAACATGTGTCGTGCTAGGGCTAGTGAAAGTCCAGCATGGTTGAACACCATGCAACACGCTTGATTCATTAAGTTAGTCATGAAATACATACATATGTGTATGTACCATCGGGCTGAACTTCAAGTTGTAAGTGAATGCGGGAGTGATTAGCTTCGGCTAAAGTGTAATTCCGCTCTTCTCACGGTCAACCCTACAGCAGGCTGAGCTTCGCCACGGCCAATGCTCCAGCTGTGCCCGTCATCATTACATGAATCACCTCCCTTTCTGCATCATTGTTTTCATTTGGTAGTACATCGAGGCCTCAACGAGGTGACGGACACCTTGACACAGGCAAGTGTTATACGCCGCCCCAACTGTCGATAAACCTAGCTTATTCCCTACCTCGTCTACTCCACAAATAGCCCCTGCAGTGCCGGGGTACTACTACCACTACGCTTACCATATCGTCCACACTCTCTATGCCCAACCTTTTTGCCAAGCCAGCTGCATCGACAACACTTGCAGCAACCGCAGTCCTTTCATTTTCCTTTGGTCTCACGCCTGTACAGCCGCTGTTCGCTGCACCTACTTCTGCCTCGACTAGGATCTTTATCAGTCCCTCGTTACTGCAACTTACTTTGGCTATTTACCTCTTAGAAGGAGAGAATAAAGGCTATACAAGCTACGATCGGCTCATCTCCTCTACTCGAAAGAATGGTCAGTCCGTCATGCTACCAAGGACACTCTGGCGTACTTAATCTATTCCAATGGAACAAGTGGTCCTCCCAAAGCTATATGTCTCTTTTTGCCACTGGTCTCGTTTCCGAATCGCAGGAATATGGATGCACCGTCTGACCACATTATACAGCTGCCACGGAAATACCACTATCGCTACCCTCTCAACAATAGTAAACGGTATGGAAATGGCTGGGACTCAGGCTGTATGTCTTCCGATGCTACTTTCTTGGTCTCCCTGACTCCCCTGCTAGCCGCCAGCATGGGACACCCCTGATGGACTGCAAGTAATTTTCACTGTCCTTCCGCTCTACCACTCTCTCAGCCTTCATACAACCAGTTTCTTCAGCTTCTTAAATCCCTCCATGATTGTCATGCCCCCGGTATTGGACATCGATATATTCTTTGACAGCGTCCCGAAGTAAGTGAATACCAAGAGCATTTAGCGTGTCCTGTGGTACTTCTGGTACTCATCTGGAGCTGCAATGTAGATATCACATCACGACCTTCTTCCTTGTCCCCTCCCTTCTACACCAGCTCGTTCACCATCTACGCTTCAAAAACTGCTAAGTCGGTTAAGGCAATCGCAAGTGGCACCACATACCTCCCACCCCAGCTCGCCGACCAGGTTTGCGCCCATTTCCCAGACATACCAAGAGTTACTGAAGGTGCATCCTCCACGTATCGTGTGCAAACCCCTAGTGCTACTGTTAATAATCTTCACAGGTTACGGAATGTCCGAATTCGTAGGTGATTTCCCCGTCTGCTCCTTCAAGCTCGTTGACGTCATTGTCTGAGTTAGACAATGGCCATTACCATGAAGCCCATCCCTGGGATGCTCGATGGACGCGCAAAAAACAAGCCTGGCTCTGCTGGAAACCTCCTTCCTGGTGTCGAAGCCTGTGTTGTCCATCCTGACGGGTCCCTTAGCGGGCCTGAATGAGCCGGGCAAGCTTCTTGTCCGCGGAGGCTCTGTGGTGCTGGGATACAAGGGAAATGATAAGGCCACTCGGGAAACATTTGTCAATGGATGGGTGCGTATGGGCAACCAGTCCGGATCGATGAGTACGATATGCCCACTCATACTAGAGTCGATCTGTCTTGTTTGCAGTTTCGAAGACCACGCCCAGGCAAACTCCACCAGTTTCATTGTACTGACCCCCATTCTTACAGGATGCAGCCCGACAAGTTCATTATTGATGTGAGCGTCGCGGGCGTACCTCGGACGAACGCACACCGCATGCGTGGATCGTGTTGACTTCTAACATATGTAAGGATGGAACATTTGATCCCGCAAAAGTAATTCCCGTCTACTCCCATGTCCGAGCTCCACCTGAGCTCCACATGCACTCCTAATCATTCTCACTACCGTAGGGGAGTGGGTTATAATGTAGGTTTTGATTTTCACGTTTTTGCGGTAGATATCGATCCAATTTGTCCGATCTTGTCGCCCCTTTTTTTCGCCGTGAATAGTAATTGGCTGCGTCGATTGGTCCAGGCCCCTCAGCCTAATATCGCCCCTACAATTATGAGTGCTGTCTTTTTATCTACTGCCATGACCTCGTTCGCCGTCTTCCTGTGTCTGTCCCATTTGATTTAGCATCGCAGCGTTGTCTTGTATAAATACATGGTGTTCCCTGGTCTCACTAGACAGCCCTTTAAGCTTTATACACTAGCTGATCCTTACCAACACCTGCTGCTCATTTTGGACTAACAACATAAGGGCGGCGCTGCACCTCAGTCAAGCCAGGCGGGTTTCAATCCCAGTCAGCTACTAGTACTTATGATAAGTGCGAGTTGTTCGGCTCTACACTCCTTACTGCTTGCATCTCGATCAACTACTCAGCCTCTTTCCCCCTATACAGGCTATTTATTCATTTTGTACACTCTGCTACCTTTAAATCACATTCAGCGATCTCGCCTTAAATCTGTGTTCTAGTACATGCAGTGACGGTGTATATATACGTGGGTTTTTCTCATTATCAATCGAAAGGTTGCCACCACAAGGTTCACACTTCACTGGTTGTATGCCACGTCCGAATCTACATTACTTCCATGATTACGAGTGACCTCAACAGGTACTCCTCCATCGTATATACTGAATCAACTGTGATCCTTTCAGCTGAGTCCTGACAGTACTGGTAACTTTTGATTTTCTGGAAGGCTCACTCATGAATCACGTTGGGTCAATATCTGATATACTATGAGTCAAACGTCCAATTCAAGGGCCCCCATTACTCAAGCGACAGTGAAATTTCAACTCTGAGAACAAAAAAAGACATTAATGACAGCACAAACACAAAATCAGAAACGACTCACCCGCGCGACGTGAGCTCCTCGATGTCTTTAGAGTGCTTCTCAAGAGGCTTTGCAATACGGTGTCTCAGTGACATCATTCTATTACAAGGCGCAAAAGGCCAGTCAAGAGATTGATCCAAACGCAAACTGCTAATACTCACATAACAATTTTTAGAGCAGCAGTCGCTGGCAATGTTACAATAGTCGCCATCCTTAGCGCATCGCGAGTCTCTGCCGAATATAGCTGGTGTCGCGCCGACAGAAAGAGTTGCTGTCAAAATAACCACAACGGCGAGGAAGAAAGAACGCATTATTTGCACGAGGTGATATGGGATCTGGCAGAGTGGTTCTCGAATCAGTCTGAGGTACTAGTCACTATACGAGGGAAGATGGCCTGCTTTTATGTCCTGAAAACCTTTCTAACCATTCTAGGAGTTAAGAATAGGTGGTGTGATAGTAGTTGTTCGGCAACTCTGCGACTAGCAGGAGAAATGGAAGCTAACAACATATGGATAGATTCTGGGCTGGGTATTGTATGAGTCTGTTCCCCAAAGTGCGAGCTCGCTGACTGCTCGGGTCCGAGTAGGCAGCATGCTCGACGTCGGCTATATGCCTGGCGAGGAGAAATGGAGGCTAAAAGTACAAGGATAAGTAAGTAGTGATCAGTGACGTGACACAATAGCGGTTGACTCCGTTTACTACTAGGTTGCCCTACCGTCAAAACCCCACGGTGACTACTAACCATGAAAACGATGTAGTATCACACAACACACCTGTATGGACGTTGACAGGTGCTCGCCGACACATCATTTGCACTATGATGCAACGTTGTAAATGGTCCATGCACTGGCCAGCTCTGAATCGTCAGTTGAAATGGACATCTCAAATGCAGCGAGATCCTTGCTCACCCCAAATGAGTAGCAAACTCAAAAGAAAACCGGGATGGTACAAACACCAATACAATCATGGTCTGATCAGTTGTACCATTCTTCTTTGTCCATTTCTGGTAGCCTTCATGTCATGGAAGTGTGTGGGGTGATCGACCTCGCCGTTAATTTCCAGTGCCAAAAGCTTGCCATCTGAGAGGCTGCCATGGCAAAGGGGATGTCATCTTCATCGAGGCCTTCAAAGCGCACATCGTTATGCTTCCCTGTATTGGCGTCCCACTATCCAGAAAAACCTGCCGCCGAATACAAGCAAGGATGACTACTTGGAATAATCATGATAGCGGCTTGAATCGATGGTACTAGTGTATCTAGAAGTGCGATCTTCGCTATTCGGGTATCTCCCATGCAACTGCTCTCCTGTGTATCGCTGGTGACAAGAGACTACTTACTATCCATAGATAGAGCCGCTGGCACGAAAATGGTTTGACACTGTTGCTTGTATTATGTAAGGTCCATACTCTCACTTCTGCTGTAACTGAGCTGCTCGTACCTTGCAGTAGGAGCCGAACAGTTTCGGGGTGGCAACAGGTCACCCGCTTTCAGGGTTTGAAGTCGTTCAATGGAACCGAGAAAGATCCGAATGATAACAGGGTACCAGGAACCGTCTTTGGACCCGAAGTAAGCGCTACTAGTACACAGCACGAATTTGGTTGACGAATCTCTCCAAACTGTGACTGTCTATAACCAATCCATAGCTAATTATGATGTTCCACGTGCCCGAATCGTTCTCGTTTTCACCTACTTGGATTTCCGCAGGATTAGCAATTGTTGTCGTGCTTGGCGAGTACTGCAGAGGAAGATTTTTTGCCAAACATGCATTCCCACTACCCCCTGGACCTCCAAGGCGCTGGTTCTGGGACAGTGCTATGCCATCAAACAAGTCCGTTATATTCATGCTCCTTAAGCAAGTTATTCAATTTCTGCTTCAGTGTGACCCATACAATCACACAGTGGATACAAGAGTATGGTCCGGTTGTCTCTGTACGTCAGGGAAACCAAGTCTCGGTCATCATTGGAAGTGTAGAGGTACGTGGTCAGTTGCTAGATATCGTACTTCACGAGAATGGACGGCTGTGTAGACAGCCAACGATATTATGGAGAAAGAAGGGAGTGCTCTCGTTGATCGCCCCCGTGCCATAGCTGCTGATGAAATGTTTTCTCAAAATACGCGTCTTGTCCTTATCCGCGTCGGGTCACGGTTTCGTCGGTTTCGCAAAGCGGTACAAGTACAGTTACAACCGAAGGCAGTCGAAGCGTACCGAGACATACAATCAGAGGACGCGAAACGGCTTGTGTGCGATATTTTGAAGGCACCAGAGAAACACCAGGAACATGTGAAGCGGTGTGTTATTAGTATCATTCTTATGGTTATTGATTTTGCCCAACCGCAACATTGTAGATTTTCGAACTCGATCATCTTGCGCATGACCTATGGGAAATCGACGCCGACCGCGAACACGGATCCTGAGGTAGTAGGGATGAAACTTGTGGTAGAACGGTTTGGAATTGTTATGCAACCCGGTGCTTTTTTGGTTGATCGCATCCCTATTCTGCGGTACTTGCCCTGGTATGGACGTCAGTTGAAGGTTTGGTTTTGTGAGGAGTATGAATTGGTACTAGGGCAGATGGAGCGAGTGAAAAATGAGATAGTGACTCATTTTTATTGTGATGTGTGTTCTGTGTGCTCACATCTCTTTCAGGCAAGTGGTATCGCTGGGCCGTCTTTCATGCGCACACTTCTCGAGCAGCATGGAAATCAGCTATCGAAAATTGAGATGTCTTTTTTGGGAGGGACGCTTTTTGGTGCCGCTGCTGACAATGTAAATAATTTACGTCTTGGTTGATGAGCGAGATTAACAGTTCATGTTTAGATTTCTGCGGCAATCACCACTGCTATCCTGGCTGCGGCTTGCCATCCCGAGGCACAAGCGCGTGTGCAAGAACAGCTAGATACAGTTGTAGGTAGAGAACGAGGTATGTCTTGCTTTATGGTTCAAATTTGGTATGGGATTAGGATGAGATACTCAATTTCTTATTGATAGCCCCATCTTTCGAAGATATCCACCGTCTTACTGAGTTACGCGCATTTATGCATGAATCATTACGCTGGAGGCCTGTCGTTCCGCTCGGTAGATTATCTTCCTTTCGTTGTCAGCCACCTTTGACTGTTAGCACAGGTTTCCCTCATCGTGCCACGAGGGATATAATATGGGTATGTGAAATTGGTGTTCTTAAAATTTGGACTGGATATCAGATTGCGAATTAATACTCGTACATGTAGAAAGGGTTCCGGATCCCTGCTGGCGCAACAGTCTACGGCTGTCACTGGTACGATGATCGATTCGTCCTCCCTAACTTATCGGTGATTATTGAATGCTACAGGGCCATTTCTCATGATGCAACTGCTTT